TTGGTCATGAAACTCACGTTGATGTTGTAAAAGTGAATGTCCTTGTCGTACGTGATGAATCCAACCTTGGCTCCCTTGGGTATCCTTCGCTTCGGCTCGCCGTCCTCTTCCTTTTCGTCGTCATTGCCTCCGTACAGGGCCGCGAGGATGCCCTCGCAGAATGTCTCCATGAAGCCCTTGTTGTAGGATTCCTGCGTGACGTCGATGACAAAGAGCCAGCGGAGGCCGACGGGCTCTCTGGTCCAGTACTCCTTGGGCACAACGAATTCGACGGTGCCGCGGTGAAGCTCCGGCCGCTGGTCCCGATCCAGGCGCACTCCCTGGGGGCTGACGGCGCAGAAGTACTCGGGCGGCGTTTCGTTGGGGTAAGAGCAGAGGTTGCACACGAACTTGTTGCCGCCCGATCGGAACATCATGAAGGGATTGATATAAGCCCGGCATCTTCGACAACGAGGCGGGCCGGCGTCGCCAAAGTCGAGAACGGGAATCTCCGCCTCTCCCGCCTGGAGAGGGGCCAGAGGCTGGATGAGCATGCCCAGGGGCAGGCCCGTCGCATGGAGGCCCTCGGCTGTGGTTGGGATGTTATTGAGGGTGAGTCGGGTGAATTTGGGAGAGGCATTGCCTTGGTCAAAGGCAACAAACGAAACCGTCGCGGGAGGGGGGACGTGGCGCTCAAATGTCGGATAGACGTTCTTGAAAAAGTACTCCTGGATCGCGTCCCTCGAGGCCGGTATGCTGGGCATGTCGTCTGGCGACACCTGGCTGGGGCCTGCCGAGCCTATTGACGTCGCAGCATCGGGAGAGCCGAACCTGGATGCGAACTCGGCCGGCGACACAGGGGCCGAGGGGGTGAAGGGGGAGGTTGGCGCCGGGAACTGGCCCGGATTGGCCATGTGAGGCGTGCCCATGGGGCTGGCCAGAGGGCTTGCAAACTGCCCTCCCAGCGCCGGGATGCCCTGCGGGTTGTTGACGTTGAGGAACTGCTCGGCGGGCGTCCCCGGTGGCAGGCCATTGAAGGCCTGTGACGAGCCCGTCGGCTCCACGCTGTGGTACGCGTGCCTGTCCTTCTTCTTCTTCCTTGCGGCAGCGCCTCCCGCATCCGCACCCAGGCTCATCCCGCCAAACTGCGCGGCAAGGCCAGCATCCTGCGGCGGCATTGGAGACCCGGGGAAGCTCTGGCCCTGCGGCGGCATTGGGGATCCGGGGTAGCTCTGGCCCTGCGGCGGGCCGTAGCCGGGCGTCGACGGAGGCGGCATTGCCATGGGAGGAGCTTGGTGGCCTCCATGGTATGGGGGAGCGCCGTAAGGAGAGCCGGGGGGGACATAGGGCGAGGATGGGGGCTGGAACTGGGGAGCAGCCGGAGCGGAGGTCTTGTTGGGATCGTTGGGGTCGAGGACCTCGCCGTGGCCCAGGGCGTGATACTGGGTGTAGTCCATTGGAGATTCGGGTCGGTGCGAAGAGGCTTTCGGAGGAGGAGACGACGAACAGGGATCGAGTGGGCGAGATCAGACGACTGGTTGAAGCTGACAATGAGGGGTCTCTTTTGCAGCAGCAGGCATAAACGAAGACGGGAAAGGAAACAGAAAACAGGGTCAGCGACTGGTCGGGATGGACATGCTCAGCGCCGCTTCCATGATCCGGGGCAAAGCTGCAGAGACGCGCCAGAACAACGGGGGAGACAAGATGTGAAGCTGTCAAGGGCCTGTTGCTGTGCCTCGGTGGCCTTTTCGCGGCGCTTCGACTTTCCACAATCGTGGCTTCAGAAGCCGTCGATGCGCACTTGGCCATGATTGGCTTAGCCTGGTTTTCGAGCTATCGACATGCTTATCGGGACTTTTATCGTGGCAGTTGTTGACACGGCATCCCCACATGTATCTATGCGGTACTGAACGTTCTACCGGGCTCCTTGGCTGCACGTGCACGGTCACATGCAGAGAGCATCCAGCCATTCCGTGTAAGTCGAAAGATGGGGACAGTCAGGCGAGAGGGTCTGTATATGGGATATAAGACCTGAAAAAGGAGGAGGCTCAAGCTGAAGGCACGCACAGGCTGCGGGCCTCCAGCCGCCGCGAATGGACGCCATGGAGAAGATGTTTGGCAGAGAACTGTTCTGCCTCTGCTAGAGATGCACACGTTTTTCATAGACATGTCGGGGCCAACCGGCTGCCAGTTGGGTCATGTCGCATGATAAGCGCATACAGGGCCTTATCCAATAAACTCTTTCCTCCTTTTTCAACCCATCTCTGCTCGTGTCTCGTCTGTTCTTCTCCCTTTTGAAAATCAATAAAAAACTATTCCGATGAAGAAGGATTGAAGTGCAGACCCCTCACTTCTCAGGCACTCTAGTGATCGGATTGGCGTGCCTTGCTTCGCTCGGGGGAAGCGCCACGGTCATCAGGCATGACACGGGTCGGGCATTTTCTGAGTTGTCATTCGATAACAGGCACAGCACCAGGCCACTCTCGATGGCTCACATGAAACAGAAATGACAGGTGTCTGCATGAAATCGACTGCTGGCACGCATTTTGCAGTTACTACTACTACTAGTAATCTGTACAAGCCCTGCTGCCGCCACTGCTTACTGCTGCATGATGAATTGTAGAATGCAAGCGGTCGCTGGTGAGCGCGTCAGCACATTGGGCTGCACGGCGTGTAAGACCAGACTGTAACAGAGTCAATGCGAAGGCTGCACGAGTGCCTAGAAGTCCGGTATTGAAGAGGGTTTGAGATAGATGGATGTCGCTCTCGAACGAGTCGTCTGGGTTGGGCACGGTCGATAAAGATGGTTGGGCGCGTGTCGGTATTATTGTTGTGGTTGAGTCGAAGTGCGGGGGCAGGAGAGGTGATGACGGCGGCGCGCCCAGCAAGGAATTGTCGCAGAATAGGGCAGACAACGGCTATTCCAGCAGAAGAAGAAGAGACTCGGATGAAATAATAGGAAATTGCCATGAAAAACAAGTGAAAACAAGGTTGTATCGATATTCGTTGCTTAAAGCTCATCCAGACCGCCGTGTGGTCATTAGGCGGTCCTGCACAAGATGACATGACGGCTGCAACGATCCGAGCCACGAGCCGCGAGGAAAGGACAGCAGAGGGCCGTTCGAACCCGGGCAGGATGGAGGAAACGTGCAATCTGCGCGAGCTATGCTCTGTCGCAGTTCGGTAAAGGAAACAGGGCCAGAAACAGCGGGAGTTTGAGCTCCGAGAGTGGCGACGGTGAGACGATGACAGATGGCCGGTCGCATGACCATCCGCCACTCCGGCAGCGGGCAGTCTTGGAATCAAGATAACTCACCGCAGCGACGAGCTAAAACAATAAAGTTGGTTGCAGTCAATTCGCAAGTCATTCGCCTTGCGACTGATGTCAATAAGATTGCCATTTTAATGGTGGTTGCGAAGCGAGGTGGCTGAGAAGCGTTGCGACGGCGATGTCTGGATAGCTTCACGGGCTTGGTCGTGGGCACCAAGCGCGACACCTCGCTCAAGGACGAAAAAAAGTGACTTTGGCTGCGAACACGGATAATGGCATCAAGACGCAGCGGCGCCCAAGCAAAAACAGGCTCGGCGAAAAGCCCGAGAAACAGAGATTCAAACACATACATTCACAGCACCGCGAACGGGGGTCGCTGCCGCGCAATTCACAATGCGACGACGACCATGGGCGAGCAACGACGGCCTCGACCATCGAAAGCGCACCACGTAAACGCTGGCGATGACCCGCCGTCCAGCAGCGCGCCTCTTACAACCATGACCGCTACGGCCGCATGAGATCTGACGTCAAACATCGCATGGCGGCAAAAGGCACAAGACACGAAGCAGAAGCTCGAAAAAAATGACTCACTGTCGCGGCGGGAAAGGGGGAGGGCGAGAGAGGGCGAGAGGAGAGGAGAGCAGAGCTGGACAGGAATCTGGCATTCGAAAGTCGGGGGGAGCGGTCGAGGCAGCCAGATCAGAGGTCGAGGTACACGGCAGACGAGGTGATGTTGGCGCTGGCCAATCAGAAAATTGGTCACGAGGCAAGGGATTATTTTCGCAGCCGAACTGGCGTCGATTTTTACTTTGCTGCGTTGAGTGGACGCACGACAAGGGCCGGTGGGGCCCGGGCTAGCGTGGCAGCGGCGGAGGTACCGGTACTTGCACGCTGGACGTGCATGGCATGGGCTGGGCAGCGCAAGGTACCGGGCTGCTGTACAGTAAGGTAAGGTAGCGGGGAGGGGGGGCGCTTCTGGTGCGTCTTCTTTTTGTTCTGTAGTGTGGGCTGGCCTTGTGTCGTGTTGGGGGTCTGCTGTTTTTGTTGTCCAGTCTCTCTGACTTGTCTGCCTGCCTGCTGCAGAGCATGATTGGGCTTCAATCAACGGGATAGGGTACAACACTTGACATTTTGGAGAGATTGTCCTCTTATTTCTCTGAATGCATCAACTGTCAATATAGAGTACACATTCGAAATGATCAACCAGTTGAACAAACACAGAAAATGCGACAAAACATCGCCCGACCACCGATTACGTGGTGGTATAGGGTGGGCGACGACATCAGCTCGAACACCAGATGAAGCAGAAACAGAAGACAAGACAAAACGCATTGAGTGGCGGCGCCTCGGCTTTCCGCAGATTTGGGCTGGCCGCAGGATCGCTTCCCGGCCGGGGAGAAAGAGGGGCTTGTACCGGTACGCGCGCAAGGTGTGGTGACGGCGCCGGTCTGGCACGTCTGGCCACTGGAAAGCCACCCTCGAGGGCGCTAGCGGGCGGGTGCGGCAGACAATGTCGGTGCGAAGCATCAGGTTGGATGCCCTGCACGCACACGCACACGCACAGAGTACAGGGTACATGCCCCGACAACACAGACCACCCTCCAGCAGCCGCTAGCGGTCCAGGGGACGGAACCGCTGGAGCTCAGCGCTGGACCCCTCGAGCTCTGCTTGCTCTCATGGATGGATAGGACAAGCTCTGCTCTGCTCTGCCCAGCTCTCTGCTGCACTTACTGATTGCGGCGCTGCCCCCGCCCCGTATATAAACAAGCCCCATCGCCCTCCCACGCGCCCGACCTGTGCCTCGCCTCTGCTCTCGATCCCTCATCGCTGCTCTGCCAAATCGTCGCCCGTCTCCGTTCTCGCGCATACTCGTCGCTCCTCTGCCGCCTCTTTCAATCACGTTTGAACACGTTCGCAACTCCGTCGCCATGCCTCCCAAGAAGACCGAAGGCGCTGCCCCCAAGGCCAAGTCCGGCGCTGCCCACGCCAGCTACCAGGTTCGTCTCTCTACCTGCTCTGCCTTTTGCCGGCACGCTTGAATGCGTTATCACCGGCTGCGTGATTGGAGGCGTGCTAATGCGAGGCCAACTGCAGGACATGATTACGGATGCCATTGTCAATGTATGTGGGCAGCCCTCTGTGGCACCAGCGCATCTGTTTGCGCTCGCTCAATTTCCGCTTTCTCCCCCCCTCCCTTCTCCCTCACTGCTGTCCTCTTCACTCTCTCACTGCGACCCTTTTTCCCACGGCCCGTCCCTCTTCCCTCTCCCTTCCCCTCTTCTCCCACCGCCAATCTCATTTCAATCATCACGCCATTCTACGTCGCGTAGCGTCCCGCTTTGTCTTTCCCGACTGTGCAAGCAGGCATATGATTGAGTGTAAACTGACTTGCTCCGTTTTTCCTTTCGCTACCAACAGCTCAAGGATCGCAATGGTTCCAGGTAAGCGTTTCGGCCCAGGCAAGCCCAACCATTGGGCAGCGCAGTACAAGTAGCTAACATGGCCCCCAATAGCCGTCAGTCTCTGAAGAAGTATGTCAAGGCCAACAACACCTTGAACGTGTCGGACAACATGTTCGACTCTCTCTTCAACAAGGCCCTCAAGGCCGGTGTTGAGAAGGGCATCTTCGCCCAGCCCAAGGGCCCCTCCGGCGGCACCAAGCTGGCCAAGAAGAAGCCCGAGCCCAAGAAGCCCGCCGCTCCCAAGAAGGAGAAGGACGCCACTGCTAAGAAGGCCACCACCACCAAGAAGGCCGCCGCCCCCAAGAAGGCTGCCAAGGAGGGTGAGAAGAAGGAAAAGAAGGAGAAGAAGGAGGGTGCCGCTACCACCACCAAGAAGGCTGCTGCCCCCAAGAAGGCTGCTGCTCCCAAGAAGGAGAAGGCCGCTGCCACCAAGGTATGTATTTCCCGCTCACGCTGAGAATCGCCCTTTTGCTTTTATGGCTCTCAACCCTAACTCCTCTCCCCTTGTTCAGCCCGAAAAGTCTGAGACCGCTCTGACCAAGACCAAGACCGGCCGTGTTGCCAAGGCCACAAAGCCCGCTGCCACTAAGAAGGCTGCGCCAAAGAAGGCCGCTGCCCCCAAGAAGGAGAAGGCCGCTGCCGCGCCCGCGGCCGCTGCTGCTACCGCCAAGGCGTAAACTCGACCTCGCTGGGGCGTGAGCAAAAGCAGCTTTTTCTTTCAACTTTTTGTATCCTTGACGAAATGTGGCACGGCGTTTTTGGGGTTGCAAATTATCACTACGGGTCGGGCAAAGGAGAGCCTGGGTAGGCTCGGGACTGTTTGATTGCTGTTTTGGCAGTGCGCAGGAATGATGTTTGTTTTGATACGACGCGCACTACTCGGACGCGCTGGGCACTGCATTATCGCACTATATATGTGACTTTCCTGGAATGAGTCTCCCGGTGGGGGGGGCGGATCACTTATTGTTTTCTAATGACTACCGCCTGTCAGTGTCCTGCTCTGCTGTAAGAGTTTTTTTGCGCAAAATCGGGGTCTCTGGTGGGTGATTGTCGACAAGAGCAAAAAAACAACAAAAAAGCGGGAGGGTGCCTGGTGGAGTTTGCGTGCGCGGCTCGTTTCTGTTTGCTCAGGAGAGGTATGGATACGGTGTAAATGGTATGTTGAAAGAATAGACTTGTACATTTATTATCACTCGTTTGATCCAGAGCTTTGATTGAATTTGCTGGTGCAAGTGAAAGTTTTTTGATGTGAATCTGGCTTGCAACTGATCTTGATAAAGCGTGGTTTGAACAGCATGGCTCTTGATGATAACGAGGCGCTTCGTTATCCTGCGTGTGTGTCTCATTCGAGTGCAGGCAATTATACGTAGAATGGCGTATTTATATGACGTAGACACAGAGTTCCTTTGCCTTTTATTGATCAACACACATGCTTGACATCGCAGTTTGCTCTCATGAGACAAAAAATGAGGAAATGCCGCTCATTCTCATCTCATTCATTCTCTTCACTCACCGTCTTGTCCGACATCTTTCCCTTTCATGTCTCGACTCACCACAAAACCCACAACCTTGCTGTACAAGAGGCGCTAACCCCGTTGCGACGTCAATGTCGTTCCCCCAAGTGGCGGGCGCTCAGCCTCGTCTGGTTGGTTGGTCACCATGACGTTGTCGCAAGGGTTTCCGGGGAGGGATTTGAGGCTTTGCAAGTACATGTACTTGCGTCTGCCGCTGGGCATACAGCGCTGCGCTGGTGCTGTGTACATGCCACGGCCGCCACAGACCTGTTCCACCCCCCAGCTCGCGGCGTCTTACCGTCCACGAAGCTGGAGCTATTTCCAGTTACTATAGTACCTTGGCCGGGAGCTGTCGTGTTCCTGCGGCTGGCTGCCACGTAGACGCAGCAACAGCGTGGGCGTGCAGTGGTGTTGAGTACGATGTCAAACGTACCATCAATGGTATTATATGGTGCTTCTATATCAGCTTGAGCTTGGCTGCTGTATAACCCTCAGTTGGTTTTGCTATGCCATCTTCACATCACCATCGCCCTTCCGCCTTGTAGCCTCTATGACGCACTCAACCCAACCTCAGTGATTCTGCTCCTCTTATTTCCCTTTCTCCTGCTGGGTCACCAGACTGTGCGGCCCCGTCAGCGAATCTTCGTCAGCGCATCCCGCCATCGCCGGCCGTCTGGCAACTGCTGTATTACCACGAGTACAGCTAGGTACTATCAGAGGAACACCCGCGGTACCTGCCGACGACGGATGCCTGGCCCGTGCACGGCCCCCGAGGCACCTCTGCCATGTTGGCAGGGCTGCGATGGGGCGGTACATGCCCGCCGTGGCTGTCAAGTGCCTGCGAGTGCTCTGCGCGGACGCCCCGGGCAGCAGCAGCAGGTACCTCGCTAACGCGGCCTGGGGCACCCCTTGCTGAGGGCGCCGTGTAGCTGCAGCACCGCCCTCGGCGTACCTTCCTGTAGCTTCCAATGTCCTTGGCCCCTTCGCAGGGGGAGTGGAAAGCCAGTCTAACCGATTCTTCCGAAAGAGACGCAGCTCTCGTTCATGGCCCGTCTGTTTGGCTCCCTGGCCACACGCCGATTGTTTTAGCCAGGCAAAAGCTCTTGTTGTGCTTCTTTTTTTTTTTTTCTTCCCGTGTTGTACTTGTATATTTCTGTCAAGAGGAAGGAAGCTCGGACGTTTGTTCTCCTTTCCTTCTTTACGTCGGCGCTGGAAGATGGCGGACCGGCCCTCTGTCTTCCTGTCGTGACCGAAGGGAAACTCGAGGACCAACATCAACGCCCCCCATCTATAAAGTCCCATTACACTCGAGCCAGACGAACAGCACACAGCGGAAGCGGCATACGATATCTGATTTGGACCGGGGCCTCTTCTCTCTCTCTCGCAACCCGCCGCCATGGCCTCGTCATCGAATCCATTCCGCAAGAGTGCGACGCAGCACCCTGAATACCGCTCCTCCCCGATCCCCTCCTCCATAGACGCCGCCCAGCTGTTCCCGCCCCCGACGACGACCTTTCGCGACGAGAACGTGCCGCCCGCGGCCGTGCAGAACACAGCCGTCGACGCAAGCAAGGCAAAGGTCGTCAAGAAGGTCCGCGTGCTGTCGCCGCCCCCGCGGACGCCCGAGTCGCCAGAATGGACGGCCAGCTACTTTGGCTCGGCCGCCGCCCCGGCGTATGCCCCGGAGCAGGATCCCTTCAACAATGTCGACAACGACTGGGATGAGGCTTCTGCTGCCTCTGCTGCTGCGTCTACTGCTGCTGCTGCTGCTGCTGCGGCAGCCCCGCCCCCCCAGCCGGCTGTTCCGCCGGTGCGGTCGCCGTTGACGGCTGTGGAGACGCAGAGGCCGGTGAATGTGGTGGCCAATCCGTTTAGCAAGAAGAAGCCGCACGAGGCTGCGAATCCGAGGGATTCCAAGCAAGATGCGAGGGAGGAGGGCGAGGTGCTCAAGGCGGCACAATCGGCGAGGAGGTCGCTCAACGTCGATTCCTTCAAGCGGCTGCTGATGACGGGGGCGGCCAGCCCGCCCAGCTCTCCACTCCCGACGGACTCGTTCGAAGACGAATCTGCGAACCACCCCAGGCCTGTTTCTATGCCTCCGCCGGCACACGGGACCTCGACGACTGTGCCTACTCACAAGGAGAAGAAGGCTCCTCCGCCTCCTCCGAGCTCGAGGCACGGCAAAGTGATCAAGCCCGCGCCTGCGCAGAGCCCCACCGGTACCGAGAGTGCCGTCACCAGCCCCAAGGAGAAACCGGCCGAACCGGTTGCACACCATATCGAACCATCACGACCATCGCTGTCTCGGGAAAGCTCGGCCAGTAGCGAAAGCTCGGACAGCAGCAGCAGCTCCTCGGCCTCGGTGGAGGACGAAGTTGTCGAACTGGACACTCACCCACCCGCTTTCACAGCCAGCCCGGATCATATCGACACCCCCATATCGCCCCCGACAAGCAATGCCAAGAAGCCTGTCCCAGTTCCTCCTCCAAGGCCGAGAAGGCAGCCGCGAACCGAGTCGAAACCAACCAGCCCGGATGTGCAGGAGAACGACCCGCCTCCACGCACATCGATGGACTCGATCTCGTCCAGATCCAACAGTGTTCGACACAGTGCCAACGCGCCGGCACCTCCGCCGCCCCGGAGGACGACCTCGGGATCGAGACACCCGGCCACCCCGCAATCATCTGCCCTCATTCACCCCCCTGACCTGGAGACACCTAGGACGTCGTCGGAATCGGCATCTAGACCCATGGCGCCTCCGCCGCCACCGCCGACGCGCAATACATCCACTCGCCGGCCTCAGAGCTTATACGGACTGGAATCCTCCCACCGACGGGCCCTGGCGGAAATGAAGCCGCGGGACGTGGTGGCGCCCCCTCCGCCGCCTTCGAGGATAAGGGGCAGCAGCCAGAGCAGCGCGGATGGGCCGTCTGCACGGGCGAGCCTCGACTCTGCCAGAAAACCGAGATCGTCTGCAGACGAGTTTGGGGATCTGGGGGACGCGCAGTATTCTGGTCAGAGTGTGGACATTCTGGCTGATCTCGAGTCGCTGCAGAGGGAGGTGGACGCCCTGCGGGGGCGAATGAGCTGACACTGGGACGAGCAACTCGTATATACGCCACGGGGACAGAAACTTGGAATGTGTCGGAAGATGAATCGTAAAAAGATGATACCAGAAGGGGATATTACATTAGAGGGGAGATGTGAGATGGGGAGGGACCAAAGGGAACTGAACAAACATCTTATGGGAGTTGGCTGTATAGTATATATGGGAGGCGTTCTTTTTCTCTCTCTCTCTTTTTTTTTTTCGTTTGCTTACGTTTAGTTTGTAGTGTCCGGAGCCTTGGGGTATGCCGGATATGAAAGTTTTGCTTGCCTTTTTTTCATCTTGTTCACTCGTTTTGTTTGGGTGTATATAATAGGTAAGGTAAGGGAGCTGTTGTAGTGTAGGAGGTAAAATGTCCTGGTAGCATTTTGACGCGCGCTTTGCAATGGTCGTAGCTGGAAACATATGCATCGTGAGATTTGAGCTTGACCTCTACCTTGTCCGTGTACAATAACTGCCACCTCCTTACCTTTATACTCACATAGACGTGATATCATGGACTTGAACAAGAAGCGCTGCGATGCGAGTCCTACTATGTCCCCATTTTCCTGAAATGATGGCTGTCTATTATGGCGCCCCCTTTCTACGTCCCAGTGAAAACGCCCGAGAAATGCATGCCTGTTTCTGTTGCACACAAGATATTGTACATGTCAAGATGGTTCTTCCCATCTTGAGATCTGGAAACTCCGTCTATGTATATATGCCTCCCTTTGGCTGACTCTGAATTATGTTTCTATGCTGAAGACTTCATCCTGCTCATTTCGTACTCCCCCGCGGAGCTCGAGCCGCCCATGCCATCTTCCAGATCAGGAGGCAGCGATGAGCCCCCCTCCCTAGCGGCAGCACCTCCGCCTCCTCCGGCGCCGGCGGCAGCGTTCCTGTTAGAGGAGGAGCCGGTGCCTGACGTGCCGGAGCCGAGGATCCTGCCGCCGAGGAAGAAGACGGGCTGGAGCTCGCGGTAGCGACAGCCCCACATGCCGAGGCCGACGGCGGCGGCGGAGGAGGCGGCCATGGTGAGCCACCACATGGAGTTGCGGGGGAGGGAGCGCGTGTAGAGGCTCGTGAGGAGGAGGTGGAGGAAGTGGATGGTGAGGGCGAAGTCGGGGACGAGTTTGCTGCGCGCGATGAGGATGACGATGGCGACGGACCTGATTATAAGAAAACAATGGCCCTGGGATTAGCTGAAGAACTGTGATTGCGACGTTGGAAAAAAGAAAGGGAGAAAAAGGGGTGTGGGCTCGGGACGTACATGCAGAAGCCTCCGTCGAGGAGCCATACAAAGGCCATGAGCCATCCTTGTGTCGTGTCGCCGCGCACGCGGTCCCATGTGAGGATCAGATCGAAGCTGAAGGGCATGCCGGCGACGAGAGTGGTGAAGAGCATGAGGACGAGGGCGGCGAAGTAGTAGAGGCCTTGCAGCGTGGCGATCTGGGCGGCGATTTTGAGGGGCTGCAGTTCGGACAGGGCGCCGGCGCGAGGGGGTCTGCGGCGACGAGCCATTCTGGTGTTTTTGCCGTTTCTATTTTTGCTGGGGAGAGCGGTGGGTTGGAGGAGCGGGTGGAAGGGGGGGTGAGTGATGGTCGAGCAAGGTCTATCTGTGGGCGCTTGGAGATGCGGATCGAATGGGATGAGGCGACCAAGGGTTTGCGTGATGCATCGGTTCGAGGGTTGTTGATTCTAGTCCATGGTGGTCGCGGATGGAGAGAGAGGTCGGAGTCGCAGCTGCTGATGTGGGCGATGCGAACACGAGTCGGGCATCTGCCGGCTGGCGCGAGGAGAGAGAGAGAGGGAGAGGCAGAGGCAGCTGCTGGCGATGGCAACTGATGGCGGTTTTGCTGAGAAGGAGTTCAGATGATGCTGGATGGCGGATATGATGATACGCCGGTCCAGGTGACAGCTTGGCTGCAGGCAGATGCTGCGCTAGGCCGCATCAGACGTGTTGCGCCTTGACCGCCCGCGGGATTCTGCCGGCCTTTTCGTCGTCATACTTTCATTGTAGCACTGCGGCTTCTAGTAGCACCCGGAGTTCTCTATACTACTACATCGATTCACGCATCGCACACAGCACCTCTGAGTCTTTACACACACCGAGATTGATTCAATTGAAAGTCACTGGCAAGTGATTGATGGGCTTTCTTTGCTGGACAACTACATGAGAAAATCGACCCCCGGCAACGCGATACTGATCGATACTCTCTGTGCCCCTCTCATTAGAGCAACGACTTAAGGTTGCAGCCTCGATCTCGTTACATCCCTACTGGAAGTCCATTGCGGGCACAATCTGCTTGACATCTTCATCACCCCTCTCATATAAACGCACCGTATACCGAAAAAGCAACGATGGGCTGGTGGCCGTTCTCCGGAGACACCCGCGCCGACGCCATCCGCAGCGGCACCGCCATCCCCAACCGCCAGGAGCGCACCGTCTGCTGGGCCGCGCGGGACGCCTACTTTGCGTGCCTGGACGCCCACAACATCGTCGACGCCAACAAGGACGCCTCGGCGGCGGCCAAGGCGTGTCCCCAGCAGTCGGCCGACTTTGAGCGCGACTGCGCCGCCGCCTGGGTCAAGTACTTTAAGCAGTGGCGCGTGGCGGACATTCAGAAGAAGAGGAGGCTGGAGGAGCTGCGCAAGCAGGGCGCCGTCGAGATGGAGGTTGCGACGAGCTTTGCGCCGGAGGGGGGCGCCGGGGAGAAGGGCAAGGGGAAGGGCGATATCCAGGAGATGCTGGATCGGAAGAGGGGGAGGTGAAGGGGACTTTGTTGGCGGCGGGCTTTGTGCGGTGACGGACGGGGTGAGGGTTGAGGGCTCTTTTGAGGGCTGGGAAAGGGTGGCATGGACGGGGTCTGATATAGATGCCAACGTGTATGTACTGTACGACATGTGTATACTATTTCATCATGGGGGGTTATTGGATATGGAACTACCCTTCTCTTCACTTGCAATAAACTTTGGCTTGAATCGAGATGGTGGTTCAACGTTCTCGGTAATGGCCTCATTCCGTGTCAATAAGAGATTATGCCATATCAAATTGGCCTGTGACAAGCAGCATTCGATTGCATGAGAGGAAGAAGAAGTAAGCAGCAAAAAAGGGTCCAAAAAAGAATCACGTATGGACGAACAGGGAATCGAACCCTGGACCTTTCCCAAGCTTGTGGCAACTCGGAGGCTGCGCCATGCTAAGGGAAAATTATACCACTAAACCATTCGCCCATTTGACTCGTGATGCCAGCTCTGTGGTTCTGAACTGGAATATGATTGTTGTGTCGGGATCTGTGACAGCAAATTCTGAGCTTTTTAGCATCAATGATCCGAACTGGCGGAAAAGTCCCAGCTTCAAATGACTTATCAATAGCCGCTGGCTAGCCTCACGTCTCTCGTCAGTCTTGTAATATGCAGAATACGACGTGTTAGCGGCCATGCACAGATTTAGCTCAGCCCTCTCCCTTGGCTTTGGCGCATGGTGTCGTTTTGTGGCCAGCTGAGGTGATGCTTTACGGCTCGTCGGGCTCGCCATCAGGGTCTCCCAGATGGCCTCACACGGGAATCCGTCGACGGGACTGGGGTAGTACACATGTAGTATCTGGCATCTCATACATCCTGATGCTGCGACGACGGCCTGTGCAGATACTTGCACTATATATGTATAATATCCTCGCATTGCAGCTGTTGTCGATCATCATCTCTCCCATCTATTGGGAAAGCGAAGCAGGATCCATAAAGTCTCGACGGGAAATAACGCGCGTAATAACCGTGGCATGGCCAACTCTGGATATCCTCAGCAGGTGGAATAAGCGAATACCTACGGACGGACACACACAGACAAAGGCCCCCAAAGCTGCAGCAGGCAGTAGGGATCTTCATGCCAGAGACGAAAGTGATCAAGGAACATGCGAGGCTCTAGTGTTCAGCGGGTCAACATACGAGGACTGCGTAAAAGCATCGAAAGTGATGTTGCCGATATCCATCAGGTGGCAAAAGAACTTATACCCGTCAGGTAGGTAAGCTTGCATGATACATACCATCACCACCTCCGAGCCTTGTCTGTGAATGCAACCGCCAACATGCAAACTCCCCCACAGACGGCTGCCGAGGCACGCCATGGATCTATTTGAATTCCAGAGATGAAGCCGGATCGATTTCTGCCTCCACCGCTCCAGCCCCAGCCGCCGCAGTCGTTCTCACAATGTGCTTCCATAGCCCTTGTGCAACTATCACGACTTCTTTCCCCCTTGATTCGCCCCTCCTCCACTCCTGCACGCATTCAACGTCCCTTGCATGGCCATTCGTCTTTGCCATATTAGCGCCCTCCTGGCGTTTCACAGCTCAGCTCTGCATGTTTCAAGAGACTGTTCCCTCTGCGCTTCTCGACTGCGATTGGACGCTGCCCGGCCTATCCCTGTCCATCTGTTTCCCGGCAAAAGGGAGCCAATCTTCTAGCGGCGCGTGAAAGTGGACAAGCGGACAAGCTGCTGGGGGGGAAGCCGATCGTGAAATGGTGCCTGCGAGCGCTTTTGGTTGGCCAGGGGGGCCAAAGAGATGCCAGAGATTGCTGTTGGGTGCATTTTGGCCGCCCAATCAATGCAAGCTCGTTCTCTTGGAGGCCGATTTGGTCGCCTGCCTGTCCATGTGGCCCCTGGCGAAGCATGATTCAAGGCCCCTCGCTCTATTGTCTGGCTGGTGAATGAGGAGGGAGCAAATATACAAAAGGGACTGGGTCAGACTTCACGATGGCATCCCTCATGATTTCCTTCTGACAAGCGCGGTTCTTCTTCCATCTATCCGTTCATTCCTTGTTTTCCTGCGTCGCTGGCTGGCACCGCATCACTCCTTATCTCTGCCTTCTTGACCTGTCCTTTCATTATTCAAGTTTCTGAACAGTTCTTGATTCATCACAAAGACCTGGTGTCCTCTGTTGCGCTCTCTTCCGGAAGAGAATCTGCTCGTTGCATACACGCATCTACGCTCATATACCCTCTGCGCCCACGCACGTACACACTCACTCACTCGAACCTCACACGACACAACAAACCCCTGCATCATGTATTTCTCAACTGCTTCCGTCGTCCTGGGCCTCGCCTCCCTCGCCGCCGCCCAGCTGCCCGCCGTCCCGATCGTCCAGAAGATCGCGCCTACGGCCACGTCCTGCGCGGACACGTCGCCCTCGAGCGAGTGCCGCACCGCCGAGCAGGCGGCGCCCTTCATCGCCAAGAGCATGTCCGACTACGGCATCTACACCACGCCCGAGATGGCCGCCATCGTCTCCCTCATGGCCCTCGAGTCGGGCGAGTTCAAGTACAAGCACAACATCTCCCCCGGCCGCGCTGGCCAGGGCACCGCCAACATGCAGATGGCGCAGTTCAACCTGGCGTATGCCATGAGCATCCCCGCCCTCAAGGACAAGGTGTCCCAGTTCACCACCGTCGACGGCCTGGCCGACGCCGACCTCAACTCGATCCTGGCCCTGGTCCAGCCCGACGAGTACAACTTTGCCAGCGGCGCCTGGTACTACAAGACGTACTGCGAATCGACTGTCCAGGCGGCCTTCAACGCGAATCCCGATGATGGATTTACCAAGTACATGGCGTGTGTTGGAGCGGCGGTTTCGGATGACCGCCTGGCGTACTGGAACAAGGCCAAGGAGGCTTTTGGCATCAACTGAGCTGCTGAGGCTATTCCTGTGTGCATATGACGACTGCTATTCTTCTCCTCCTCTTCTTCTTCTTCCTTTTTCACTTCCTTTTAGGTGGTGTTGTTGTCGTTGTCGCCGGCGTTGGTGTGTTAGAACAAAATGGTACACTTGATACCCTCGTCAATAAAAAGCATGAACAATGAGTTCAACCCTCTGTACACCCATGTTCCCTGTTTCATGCCGCTCACACAAGTCCCTGGCTCATGTTGCTTCCATGTGCGTTCTATTCATAGCAACTGTGATGACCGTGGACGGTGACGCTGACGCGGGGAGCTTGCCGAAACCCTCCAATTGATGGAAACAATAACCTTGCCTTACCATTTAAGCCCAACAACCGCAAAAGAACGGTTGCATTTGATAAGGCGCCTCAGAGGGACAGCACCGATAGGGCCTAGATTGAGCATAAACGGACCATTTGTAGGCGCCGCTGCCTCGTATTGCATTGCCAGACAGACGATCCTTGGACACGGTCCAACAGCACGCAATTCTCGAGGCTGGTTGCGCTGCACTGTTGTAGATCGGGTTGGTTGAAAGAGGAAGCATGGACGTCGCGTCTGCACTTTTGTGAGACAGCGGTCATCATCGCTTGCTGCATCCTGGATAAGCGCATACGAGACACAGCGGTATACTATCAGAAGGTACATTACCTGTAAGATGCAGATATAGACAGCCTCTGCCCGCCACTACGCTCCAAGACGCATCTGTACACGAGACGGGCTCGGCATGAAAGCATAGGTGGGAAACAATGGCGTCTCATGGTGAGGAATCCTTGTTCCTCGCGCTGACCACGGCGACTTCGCTCGCATTCATTCTCCTTGGCTCATATCGGCTGTGGATTCTCCGCCATGAGAAGACCAAGGTAGAGCCGAACTGGCTCGCCGTCTTGAAACCCGTGTGTGCATCTTCATCCCGCGCGACGCGTTCCTTCATGTTGTTGCTGCAACGCTGACTTTGCGCGCTCAAAACAACAAACAGCTCGTAGCTTTGCTTCTGCCTGCGATTCTGCTGTCCCATCTTGTTCTGGCTCTTTCAGAGGGATTTACACAATGGCTGGGAGTTGTCTCGCGCAGTGCAGCGTTGGTTGCATCCGCCGGCTTGGTCTGGCTGTCCATCGCAGAGCACAAGCGTTCCATTCGCCCGTCTGATCTCATCGTGCTCTATCTGTTGCTCACTGTTGTCTTTGACACTTTCGCATTGACGTATCCCGGCTTCTCCGACGTTCGCAATGGCGGCCGAAATCATGCGTTCCTGGTGGCCGAGGTTGCCTCTCGAGCTGCCATCTTGGTTCTCGAGTCCCAGGAGAAGACATCCATCCTGAGATCGGAATACAGCAGGTCTTCTCCGGAAGAAACGACTGGATTGATCAGCTCTATGCTTTTTGGGTGGCTTATTGGGCTGCTGAGTCGAGGCAACCGAAGTATCCTTCGTGGGAGCCATCTGCCGCCTCTGGACAGTGAGCTGGAGGCAGAGGGCCTGCGACGGAAGATTCTAAAGGCATGGGAGCACAGATGTGAGTTTGACTGGGCGGCAATGGCACCAAGTTTGGGAACACAAGGACTGTACAGATTCTGACTTGCTGTAGCAACAAAGTCGGAGTCGATCTTGACGCTGCTGAAAGTCTTGCTGCGGTGTCTGGCAGGCCCCTTCTTCGCTGCCACTTTGCCACGTTTGGGCCTGGTCATATTCAGATGTGGCCAGCCCATTCTTATTGAACAGGCTGTTCGATTTGTCCAAGGATACACCAAGGGAGACGATGCCAGCGAAGGATATTGGCTGGTCGTGGCGGCGGCCTTTGTCTACTTGGGCCAGACTGTGAGCATCAGAAAAGATACGTGCGGTGTGGTGTATAGAACAGGCACTGACGATGATCGGCTAGTTCTCGCATGCCAGATATTTCCACCTTACCAACAGGCTTGAACTGATGACGCGTGCGTCCCTCACGACGTTAATCTACAACAAGGCGTTGCACATTGGCTCGCATGCCGCCGAGACGGGCAAAGTGATTACCATCATGAGCACCGACGTGGACGGCGCAGTCGAGGCGGGAAGGATGGTCCACGAAGCCTGGGCAAAGCTGTTTGAGCTCGTCCTCGGCGTCGTTCTTCTGGTTCGCCAAGTGAAATGGCTTGCTCCTCTACCCTTCATCATCATCGTCTGTAAGTTGGCCTACTGCATCAAGTTGCTTGGCAGAACGGGTTTTCTGACTGCAATCATTGGCATGCAGTTTGCTCGCAGGTGAGCCGCTATGTTGCGAAAAACATTCGGGTGCGACAAAAGGGCTGGAACATGGCTACTCAGCGGCGGATATCCGTTCTGAGCTCGGTTCTTGGGTCGATGAAGAGCGTCAAGGCTCTGGGTGTGTCGGGAGCAATCATGAACTATGTCGATCAGCTTCGGGAAGACGAGATCAAGGCTTCAAAAAACGTTCGCTTCATGAATGCGGTTTACAACGCAAGCGGTAGGCTTCAGTTGCTACATCATAATGCCCTGCCCGTCTTGTGTCGTACGCTGACGCTCCTCGAATAGCGAACGCGCTTGGGATTTTTGCGCCTGTGGCCACCATCGTGGTCTACGCTGCCGTTGCTCGTCTTCACGGCTCCCAGCTGAACGTCAGCACCGCCTTCACGACAGTTGCCATCTTGGCACTCGTCACGGAGCCCGCAAACATGATCATGACAATCGTGCCCAATGCCGTGGCAACCTCGGCCAACTTTGAGAGGATCCAAGCGTATCTGCTTGAGCCGCCGCGTACAGACAAACGCCGTGTGACAGCTCCTCCCTCAGATGCGCCGAGAACCCATTCGACAGGCGCTGCTGTGCGCCTCGACGGCGTGACTGTAGACTCTCCAACGACAAAGGATACTCTTTTGCATGATGTCAACTTGGTGCTTCTTCGGGGATCTGTAACGACATGCTCCGGCCCCGTTGGAAGCGGCAAATCAATCCTTGCCAAGGTGATACTGGGCGAGATTCCGCCCTCTGAGGGCACCGTTACGGTTTCTTCCGTGTCTATCGGGTACTGCGATCAGCAGGCCTGGCTGCCAACAGGTACCGTTAAGCAGATTGTAGGTGGCTTTTCAACGGTCGTTGATAAGGAGAGATATGATGCTGCTATCACTGCTTGTTGTCTGGACCATGATTTGGCAGGTTTTCCCGATGGCGACGAGACTGTTGTTGGCAGTCGGGGTATCAACCTTTCAGGAGGTCAAAGGCAGAGACTGGTAAGATGATGGCATTATCTTCTACTGATGCGTTTGATAACTGAGGTTGTCTACAGGCACTTGCGCGCTTGGTATACTCCCTTCACGATATTGTGGTGCTGGACGATCCTTTCAGTGGCTTGGATGGCAATACTGAGAACACCGTGGTTGATAACCTGCTTGGGCCGAATGGCTGGTTCAAAAAGAACAACACTGCCGTCTTTCTAGTCACGAATTCTGGTCAGTAACCTGTCCGCCGCCTCTGCTGTTTGTCTGAGATTAACGGCCACGAAGCCCAGCATTTCCACGTCGCAGACGAAATCTTGGTCCTCGAAAAGGGTCGCATTGCCACGCGAGGATCGTGGGACGAGCTCAAATCCTCCTTATCCGAACTAACAAAGTTCACCTTTGCACAAGAAACGAAGAAGCCAGAGGCTGTTGCAAAGGCCGTGAAAGGAAAAGTGCAGGCAACGGCGGACGCCGAGGAAGATTTATATCGAAAGACGGGAGACTTTTCGCTTTATTGTAAGCTCCTATCAACATTTTTCCTCTAAAGCAGCTTGACGAGTCCTGATCTGATGGCGTGAACAGCATATTATCTCAAGTCCGCCGGCACCTTCAACGTGGTTATGCTGCTTATATGCACGGCCTCGTACTCCTTTGGCATGTTCTTCCCACAGTACCTGTTGAAGTGGTGGACGGAAGGGCCTCCGGATAAGTCGTCTTATTACATGGCTGGCTATATCGCGCTGGCAGTTCTAGCTTGGGTGGCAACGAATGGTAGCACATGGTGAGTCTAAGAGAGAGAATGAAGAGAGTAACTGCAATTGCTGACCGTGAGGCAATCAGGAGTACAAACATAATGATAGCCCCGAGATCTGGCGCTTTGCTGCACAAGTCTCTTCTTCGAACTATATTTGGGTATGGCCAACACCGCTTCTTGATGGAATACATAGACTCATGTTATCTAGCGCACCACTTTTGTTCTTCACCACTACGGACATTGGCGTCATCCTGAACAGGTAAGAGACAGATTCACCGTTCTCGCAAGACATTCTAACCCAGCTATAGGTTCAGTCAGGATATATCCTATGTGGACAGGCAGCTTCCCTTTGCCCTGATCACGGTTTCTACCCGTAAGAGAAGCATCCTCCTTACTTAGGTGTCCCTCCCAACCTTACTAACACGTGTCTGTCATATGGTAGAAATGTTCAAAATGCTATTTCAGCTCGTGCTCATCCTCAATATCCAGAGATGGCTAACTGTCTGCCTCCCCATCTGCGTCGTTGCCGTTTATCTCATTCAGAGAATCTACCTTCGGACGTCCCGCCAGCTGCGAGTCCTCGAACTAGAGTACCAGTCTTCACTATACCAGTGGTTCCTGGAAACGGCAGAAGGCGTCGTCACGATACGGTCTTTTGGCTGGTCCTCTGCAGCCGAGAAGAAGAACATTGAGGCGCTCGACTGGGCCCTCCGACCGCGATATGCGCTCATGTGCGTGCAGCGGTGGCTCAGTCTGATACTCAACCTGATCGTCAATGGCATTGCGATTGGGCTGATTGTTCTCGCTGTGAGATGGAGAGGGACGACGACGGGAGGAGATATCGGTGCTGCGCTCAACCTCATTTTGGCTGCGAATGCGACGCTGGTGAGATTGGTTGAGTCGTGGGCGTCCTTGGAGGTGTCCCTTGGTGCCATTGCGCGACTTCGGAACGTGGAGAGGTATACCCCCCAGGAGGATCGACCGGAGGAGGACCTCGTGACGCATGCCGGGTGGCCGACCAAGGGAGAAGTGCAAATAGCCCATCTCGATGCGGGATACAGGTGAGTTAGGCTGAAGTTGATGCGTCAATCTACAAAAGGCATGTATGTACAAGAACTGACGGGAGCAGCCCTGAGCATCAGATTCTGCACGACGTCAACATCGACATCAAGGCTGACCAGAAGCTCGTCCTAATAGGTCGAACTGGCAGGTAAGTAGCTTACAAGTCCGAAATATTGTTCTTCTGATCGCTGACAGTTCAATCAGCGGGAAGAGCACGATTGTTGCTGCTTTGCTGCGCTTGATCGACAGCACTGGAGTGCTCAAGGTGGACGGGCAAGACCTGCTTCGTACTCCCAGGTCGGTTGTGCGGCAGAAATGCTTCATCACCATCACCCAGGAACCGTTCTTTATACCGCAAGCCACGCTGCGTTTCAACCTGGATCCCCATTCCGCTGTGTCGGATGAAGTCCTCCAAGACGCCCTGGAAAGGGTCAACGTCTGGCCCTTGCTCTCGACCAAGAGTGACAGCACGGCAGCAGACGTCTTGAACAGCGAACTCTCTGCGTTGCCCGCCCTGTCAGTGGGACAGAGCCAGCTGCTCGCCTTGGCTCGTGCCATCGTTCGTAAACATGCCTTGGCTGCTGAAGCGGACTATCCCGGGGCTGATGCGCGCAAGCCGATTCTTCTGCTGGATGAGGCTACTTCGTCGCTGGACTCGGAAATGGAGGAGTATTTTTACACGATTATGGAGGGCGAGTTCAGACGGCATGGATATACGGCTGTTATTGTGGCGCATAGGCTGCTTGCGGTTCTGGGCAGGTGGAGGCCCGGGCATGATAAGATTGCTTGGGTTGAGGATGGGAGGGTTCCCCTGGTAGGGGACTATGAGGAGGTTATCGAACATTTGAGGAGCAAATGACGGGTGTATTTTACCTTTTCTCTTTTCTTGCGTTTGATGGATGTTGCCTGGTTGCAAGCGGTAGAGGCGAGGTCTTGTGAAGATACTATTGATTGTGGTCCTGTATCCTGTCCTTGCGCGAGAGCTCCTTGGCGAGATTAATGTATGCTGAAAGTAGACCTGGTTAGGTATATCTGACATATAATACCAGTCTTTAACGATACACAAAAGCGTCAAGCCCACTCGTTAGCAGCTCACATAGACACGGAACTGAATGAATGGAGCCGTTCAACGCCATTTCGCAATTGAACTTCTCAAGCCAGAGAAGTGGAGTGAAGAGCTTTCGAAATTAAGCTTATAATCTCATGACCAAGACCTGACGAGCATTGGTCCAATATCGTATCCAGTTATACTTGCTGAGATACTGCATGTATATCATATCCACAGCAGAACCCGCGGATAAATGCGAAGCAGCACTCACCAAGTGGGCTTTCTCTCCTTAGGTAGCCAAGAAGTCCTGCGGGCGGTCATTTTTCGTATGAGCATCACCCTCGTAAGCCGTAGGTATGGAAGAGGATTTTCCGATTGATGCCTCCAAGCGAGAGAGAACTCGGGAAAGCGCCGATTCCATGCGGAGTCTCTTGTGCCTTTTTATACAAATCAGCCTGATTGCAAGAGTGATTTCTCCACACGGCTAAGTTGGAGAAAGGGATCTCCTCATGAGTGCCGATTTCGCATACATAGAAAAGTGAAAAAGGAACAATAAAATAACAGTGATTTGATGTTTCATTGCAATCTGGAAGGGGAGTTTGAGTGAGGAATCAAGCGATCCGGATAATAGGAGACATAGAATCGAACTCGATAAGCTGACATCGAGCGTCCTTCGTCATGCCACTGGTTCGCAACCCCATCTTGCCAGGGTTCAACGCCGACCCCTCGATTGTGAGGGTTGGCCCGGACTATTACATCGCCACCTCGACCTTTGAGTGGTACCCGGGGGTCCAGATTCACCATTCCACGGACCTGGCCAACTGGGAGCTTGCCGTCCGTCCCCTGAGCCGCCGCAGCCAACTTGACCTGCGAGGAGAGCCGGACAGCTGCGGCGTCTGGGCGCCGTGCTTGACGCACGATGGCGACAGGTTCTGGCTCGTGTACACGGACGTGAAGCGCAAGGACGGCTCGTTCAAGGACACGCACAACTACATCGTCACGGCGCCCCAGATCGAGGGCCCCTGGTCGGATCCCGTCTACGGCAACTCGTCCGGGTTCGATCCGTCGCTGTTCCACGACGATGACGGCCGCAAGTGGTTCGTCAACATGGTCCAGGATCACCGAGAGCGGCCGAGGACATTTGCGGGCATTGCTCTGCAGGAGTTTGATCCGGCGCAGGGCAAGCTCGTCGGTCCTCGCAGGGTTATCTTCCCTGGCTCGGAGCTGGGCCTCGTGGAGGGGCCTCACTTGTATAAGAGGAATGGATGGTACTATCTTTTGACTGCCGAAGGAGGTACCGGATATACTCATGCTGCGACGCTTGCACGGTCTCGCAGCATATGGGGCCCTTATGAGCTTCACCCGCAGCAGCACATCTTGACCTCCAAGGACCACCCGTTTGGGGCACTACAGCGGGCTGGACACGCGGACGTCGTAGAAACCGCGGATGGCAAGACGTATCTCGTGCATCTCGCCGGACGACCGATTGGGCAGAACCGAAGATGTGTCTTGGGACGGGAGACGGCTCTGCAGGAGGCGTACTGGGGTGACGACTGGCTGTACGTCAAGAACGGTCCGGTTCCGTCGCTGGACGTTGAAGTGCCGGGAGTGCGGGACGAGGATGCGTACTGGAAGGAGAAGCGATACGAGTTCCACGATGGCAGTCTTCACAAGGATTTTCAGTGGCTGCGGACGCCCGAGCCGGAGAGGCTGTTTTCGTTTGACAACGGAAAGCTGGTGCTCACTGGGAGGGAGTCGATTGGCTCTTGGTTCGAGCAGTCCCTCGTTGCTCGGAGACAGACGCACTTCTCCTTTGACGCCGAAACGGCCATTGACTTTTCGCCCGAGGACGAGCGTCAGTTTGCTGGCCTGACGCTGTATTACTCGCGATATAACTTCTTCTACCTCGCCGTGTCGGCGCACTCCAACGGCCAGCGCGAGGTCCAGATCCTGCGGTCAGAGGCATCGTGGCCGAACGGCAAGCTCCAGGACGTCGGGGAGAATGCGTATTATGCGAGAATCCCGCAGCAAGGAAAAGTTAAGCTCGCGGCCAAGATCCGTGGCGAAAAGCTGCAGTTTTACTACGCTCTCGTCGCGGAAGAGGGTAAAGACGAGCAGCAGCAGAAGCAGCAGCAGCTGCTGCAGAAGATTGGGCCGGTGCTGGACGCGTCGATTGTTTCGGATGAGTGTGGTGGGCATCAGGCTCATGGGAGCTTCACGGGGTCTTTTGTTGGGCTGGCTTGCTCGGATGTGAATGGGACGGAGGGGAAGGCTGCGTTTGATTACTTTGTGTATCGGCCTGCGCATGACCCGACGGATCGGTACAGCGTGTCGATGGAGGGGATTCAGAGGGTTTGAAGGAGCTTGATGCTTTGTAGTTATGATGTGTAAGTCAGATAGGGAGCAGCCGTCACTGTTTTTCTTGCTGATTAGGAGGCTACTACTATGTGTTTACATGACCAATGTGATACTACGTGGGATTGCATATGTCAAGGGGGATCCCCGATGGAACAAAGAATAGCTGGAGCTGATGCTACCGTAGGGAGATGCCGGAACTGTAACCCACGAGGTGGTACTGGGAACGCCTTTCTTCTCTCCGAAATCTCAGTGTGTGAGATTGAGGATGTCTGGGATTGGCGTATGAATGCCTCGTCCGGGTGGTTGAGGTCCCTCCCCCAGAATCCATTCGAAAAGGTCAACAAGCTTTCTTTTGCTTTCCAATAGACGTCGGATAGTCCCCGTAAAGCAAAGCTCTACGAGATTGGCGGTAGTAGGATAAACACCGAGTATGTTGATCAACAGTATGCCGTCGCACGTCTCTATGTGCAGACGCGGCTGGATAGCAATCCCTTTGCTTTCTATATTAAGATCAATCCTTCTACTACTACTAGTAGGCATTATCATGCATGCGTGTCTCAGTTTGGCTTGTCTAACGCAGTGTCTCCGTGCATATCGGTGCTCGGAGGGCCCCCGACATGCGAATGCCGCCAGTACATGTAGTATCAATTTCCGCGCCCGTTTTTCTCTATCCCTGACCTTTGAGAAGACAAACAAAGTACACAAAGTTCGGGGTATATTCTTTAAGCATACCGGTAAGTCAGCGAGCTATGCCCTATATCACACTCAACCCCGGACTCGCTTCGTGACTCCCCCGGCCAGCATACGGCATTTGATGGAGCGGCAAGTGAGGAGCTGCCTAATGGGGCAATGCTTGCTAATGGATCTCGCGAGAGGCCAACAAAGGGAACAAAGTCCAACAGTTTTCGTCCCCACTGGAGGTGAGATGGTGACGGCGGTAGCGGGTCTCCGAGTTGGAGAAAGCCGAAAGCCAGCGGCCGTTTCGTGCTGTGTCAGGCTGAAGGATCGGAGCGTCTCTCCCCGAGTTGTTCCTCTGGATAGAGCAATGCCGTCCCCCATGGGTGCTTTTGTGCATGGGTTTCTGTCTTCAATGCTCTGGGGTTCCCCGACTTCATCCGTAGACCATGTCCATCCGTCAAGCTTCCCCGCGCTTTGGATCGTCTCTCCCCGCAAAAGCGAGATCTTGGCTGTTCCTCACGAACGCTTATATCGGCCTTTTTACTCCATACGACCAACGTCTTTCCTCGTGCATAGAGTGCTTCATGCTGGCGTCGGAGAGAATGCGAATGAGAAGACGCAGGGAGAGTGATTAGACCGGGAGGCGCACTCGGCCGATTGGTGAACCCCCCCATGAGTGGTCGATATCAGAGCAATGATCCGGATCCGGATCTGCACAGAGTCAATGTCTAGCCGGTCACACATACGTATATATTACGGGGCAGCATCGCTCTACGAGGCAACTTCTGAATGCGAACTGAACCCCACGCGACTCTCACGCAATCAACATGCTGGCACAAAGCCTTCTCGTGCCCGCACTGCTGTCCTCGGTAGTGGGAGCTGTCCAAGAGACTGTGGATGTTGGATACTCTGTCTACAAGGGACAGGCACTTCCCAACGGCGTGAGCCAATGGCTGGGCATTCGTTACGCTGCGCCGCCGCTGGGTCAGTTGCGGTTTGCGCCTCCTCAAGATCCTCTGCGTACGCAGGGAGTGCAAGACGCGACCAGGGTCAGTGTTTGTGCCAGATTCAGTTGGCGACTGTCTTGTGTGACTTACAGTCTATGTATAGCATGGGAAATACTGTCTCGGAACAGGTCGCTCGCCTACAGACAACTCGACGTCTGAAGACTGCCTGTTCTTGGACGTGCAAGCTCCGACCAAGGCCACGGTACTTTCCAAGCTCCCTGTTTTTCTCTACATCCAGGGCGGTGGTTTCAACCTCAACTCGAACCCCAATACCAATGCCTCCGGCCTGATCATCAACAGCGGCCACGACATTGTGGTTGTGAGCCTCAACTACCGCGTCGGTCCATACGGCTTCATGACAGACAGTAACCAGATCGTGCCCAACAACGGCCTTCGTGACCAGCGCAAGGTGCTGGAATGGGTGCAGACGCACATCGCCAAGTTTGGAGGCGATCCCCATCACGTCGTCCTCGGAGGAAGCAGTGCTGGTGCAGCCAGCGTGACATACCATCTGACTGCCAACAACGGAACCAACCGGGGGCTTTTCCACGCTGCGATTGCCGAGTCTCCCTCGTTTGCAACGACGCTGTCGGTAGCTCAGTCGCAGTACATGTACACCCAGTTTGCGACCCGTGTGGGTTGTGTTGGGAGAGACAGCCTCGCGTGTATGCGCAGAAAGACGGCCGTCGAGCTGCAGACGAGCAACTTCAACATCCCTCTTCCAGGCGCAGCCAAGCCGCCAAACTACATGTGGTTGCCTACCCTCGACAACGAGTTCGTGCAGGACTACACGTACAGAGTCTTTCAGCAGGGCAAGTTCATCCGGATGCCTACTATCTACGGGGACGACAGCAACGGAGGGACCAAGTTTGCTCCCAAGGATACCGCCACGCTTCAGGAGAGCAACGGTTATGTGCTGGACCAGTATCCAGTCCTGACGCTGGAGATGCTTGGCGAGATCAACCAACTATATCCCAACCCCAACACGAGCTGCCCTGCTGTTGGCTGCTACTGGCGACATGCCAGCAATGTGTACCAGGAAGCCCGTTACATGTGTCCCGGCATGTACATCAGCTCTGTCGTGGCCACGCACGGCAGGGACGCTTGGGTGTATCGATGGAACGTCGAGGATCCCGAGCAGATGGCCTCCGGGCTGGGCGTTCCTCACACGGTCGAGCTCAACGCCCTCTGGGGCGCGGACTACGTCGACGGTGCGCCGGCGAGCTACCAGGAGGGGGGAACTAACGCTGCGGCCTCGCCCACGATGCAGCATTATTGGCTCAACTTTATCAAGTACTACAACCCTAACGGGAGGAGCGTGTTTGACGCCGGCAAGTATCCCCTGTGGACGAAATGGGGTTTCGGGGCGCAGAGCCGGCTCACCTTCCAGACGGGAGGCAAGGCGGAGATGATTCCGGTGGACGCGGGCCTGAAGCGGCGGTGCGACTTCTGGACGAGGAACGGGGTTGCCTTGACGATGTGAACAAGATTCATGGGCTGTTGTTATCTGAAGAGAAATCTATTGAATGCTGCTTCTGCTGGTGGGGAAACATCTGCGTCTATATGAGCTGGTAGTGAATGGCTCAGACGCCTTTGGCCAGAGTGCCGTATATTGGTATATATCGGAAAGTACCTAGACGAAGGATCGAGATGATGGCTATTGATTGTTTTCATACACTGACTTGTTGATTCTACTTTGAACCCATTGGTTGATGTTTGCCATTGTAATCTGGGGTGTGTGATTGAAGCCGGCATTGAGTTCAAGTTGCAGATGCATGCGCCAATTTCCCAGTCGCATCGAAATCCACCAATCTCCTGTATCTAACCAATGAAACTGACAACTCTCCTCACTAGGAATGAATCAAATGGATTGAAAGCCCTGTCTAATGCGATTCTTACAGACGATGAATAGGCAGTCCTTGTTAGCATAGAGGCACCATGACGACACGTGATGGTTGATATCGGGATTCTCCCCGCACGCTGACTGCAAGCATCTGATAAGCTCTCAATTAGCCACATATGTACTGTACATGGATTGTCTTATGCGGCAATAGTTGCGTGCATGTGAATGCTTTGCTCTTGAATTTCTCAAAGTCATAGCCACAAGAAACTGTCTTGAAATGGAAGATAATAGCCTCATGATGTGGGTTGGGGGTGAGAGACTGGCGGGCACCGGTGAGCTGTAAGTCAAGGATTCCACTCACATCTCTGTGGGTTGAAACGACCTCAAGCTCAGAGTTGCTGTAGCTTCAACGTTGAGAACCCAGCTACAGCGGAAACAATCGCAGAGTAAGGAATCAATCCTCGCCCCTCATATGTGGTTTGTACGATGTGTATGCCTTTGGCCGTGCTCTAACCTGCCGTCTCCATAGATGTCGCTCCGCATCACCTCAAGACGTCGATGATACGATCCAACTGGCTCATCGTGTCTTCAAATCCGGCGTCTGGTCCAAGGCGCCTCGCCATGCGAGGGCAGACGTGCTAGATAAAGCCGCCGAGCTCCTCACTTCGAACCTCCCCACCCTGATCAAGTGCGAAGTCGAGCAGACAGGACGTGCCATCAGAGAGATGCAAGCCCAGGTCCCATCTCTGGTCCGCTGGTTCCGATACTACGCCGCCGTTCTGCGTACCGAAGAGCGCCCTGTGCTTCCAACGACGGGGAAGCTGCACAACTGGCTGGAACGGGTTCCGCTCGGCGTCGTCGTGCAGATCACGCCGTTCAACCACCCTCTCTTGATCGCAGTCAAGAAGCTTGCTCCCGCTTTGGCGGCTGGGAATAGCGTCGTGCTGAAGCCGAGCGAGCTCACGCCGCTGACCAGCTTGTTGCTGGGGCCGATCCTGAAGGAAGCAGGGCTGCCAGATGGCGTCTTCAATGTTGTGTTGGGATTTGGAGCTACGACTGGGCGGTCTCTCGTGAGCCATGCCCTTGTGCGTAAAGTCGACGTGACCGGCGGAACTGTTGCCGGTAGAGCGATCGGCTCCATTGTTGGCAACAACTTGGCGCGGCTCACCGCGGAGCTGGGAGGAAAGGCGCCTCTGATCATCTTTGAAAAGGCAAATGTTGATCTTGCCGTGAATGGCGTTGCCTTTGGCTCCTTCATCGCAAGCGGCCAGACCTGTGTCGCAGCAACCCGCATCATCGTCCACAAGAGCATCTTGCCAGCTGTGGAAGAGCGGCTCGCTCGCAAGGCCGAATCGATCACGCGGCGGATGGGCTCGCCCATGAATTCAAAGTCTTCCATGGGCCCTCTCATCTCATCCAAGCAGCTGGGCAACGTTGTCAGTCTCGTAGATGACGCCATCGCGAACGGCGCAAGCGTCCTTTGTGGCGGCAAGAGGATGACTGGCAAATCGTCGCTCGACGATACCGACCTTTCCAAGGGCTATTTCTTCCCTCCGACCATTCTCTGCTCAAGCCCAACGTGCGACATTACCAAGACCAGGATCTGGCGCGAGGAAGCCTTTGGACCCGTGATCCTGCTGGTTGGATTCGAAAGCGAACAAGAAGCTCTGGGGCTGGCCAACGATAGCGAGTTTGCCCTAGGGGCCGCGCTCTGGACGGACGACTTGAGCCAGGCCTTTAGAGTCTCGGAACTGATCGAGTCTGGCATAGTCTGGGTGAATACGCACCATCGGAACGATCCGAGCAGCCCGTGGGGAGGAGCTTCGAATGCGAGCGGAGTGGGAAGCGAGAATGGCGTTGATGCTTATCATGCGTATACGACGACGAAGAGTATTATTGTAAATTATGCTTCCAGTGATGAAGCTGCGGCGGACGACTGGTTTAGAGAAGATGACGCTCAAGTTCGCTATGGATGAAGCGAAGATGCTTGATTGAGGTTTCTAATGAGTTTACTCACATATTCAATGAACAATTGACGATACTGGGTATTTTCCTGCTGGCAATGCAAGAGCATCACTTCTTTCTTGTTCCTGTCACCATATGCTGTGGTGCGTTGATGAGTTGACAAGTTGCTATTCAGCATACTCTTTAAAGGGATGCCGTGAAATTATGTTATAGGCCGCTTGAGTTTCGAAGCATGTTTCAAGATGACTGGAGGGGACTTTTGTAGTGATAAGAGAGGCAGAACTTGAGAGCCCGGTATTCGAATAGCTGGGCAGCTTAAACAATGCCTTGCTCAACTTCATCTCACCAATACTCCCAAGACTATTGCTTCATGAGTTGCCGTTCGCTAATTCTTTCAAGTTTGGGACCAGCTTCGGACCGCCTTTTGCACAACTCATCTCTTCTGTTCATTACTTTTTCGTTACTCAGAGTTGTCGCTCTGATTGCACTACTTTATGATGGCAACGTGTGCCGGTTGTAGAGCCTCCTGCTGATGCTTGTTTGTTTGTTCCAGACAAAGGGACGAAAAGTCAACAGAAGCCCGTCGGAATCATAGGCGGATTCCCTTTTCGGCACTCAATGCGCCAACCAGCAAACATATTGCAGAGTCAGTGCCAAACTTCAACTGGAAAGCGATCATGGGCGTTGCCAATTCCGCAGTTTGAATTAATACTTCAGACGAAAGCATAAGACAGTTCTACCAATCTTGTAGTACCTAAGAAGGGAGTCTACATGAATGCGCGGACATTTGGGCGGAATCATATCCGCCGAGGCGCAGCGCCATAGTGAGCGGCCGTCTCCGTCGGAGTTTGTGAGGCGAAGCGGCCGACTATATCCATTTGGAAGTTCTGATCGATTTGCAGCCAATCTGGCGGGCTTGCGGAGAAGCAACAAAATGGAGAGCGTCAGATCTTAGTCACCTGCAACGCAGTAGTCAGCAAGACCTGTCGTTTCTTCGTCTCGTTGTCGCGATTGTGAGCTTTGTGCTGATGCGGAGCGGTAGGGCCGTGAATCAGGCGGAGCGGATCATAGGCTGAACGATGGCAGCGGCGTGTTTGTGCCCTCACTGGCTTCCTCCTGCGCGACACAGGATGGGAAAGTCTATAAGTAGAAGAAGTCGAGTGACGACTGGCAGTGGAAGAAGAAGGATAGAGTCAACCGCAAGTTCCAGTTCACCATACCACAGACCCAAGTCGCGCCTCCTAAGCCAATGAGCAATTGCTTGTCAAGCCAGAAAATGCCTTCGTCCAAGTTTGCCCCCAATTCTATCCCCAGCCTCCAGGGGCGAGTGTATCTCGTGACTGGAGGCAACGCTGGCATGTAAGTCGAAACCTCCTGGCATGAAAATTCTCATGAAAAGGTGAATGAATTGAAGCCAACACGAAACGCCAGTGGAAAGCAGACAGTGATTGGGTTGGCAACCCGCGGCGCCAAAGTGTACATGGGAGCTCGCAGCAAGGACAAGGCGCTGGCTGCTATTCACGAGATTCAGGAACAGCATTCGTCGGCCGACATTCATTTTCTCCAGCTCGACCTGTCCAGCTTCCAGAGCGTCATCGCTGCGGCGAAGCGGTTGCGCGACGAAGAGCCTGCGTTGCATGGCCTCATCAACAACGCGGGCATCATGGGCGTGCCCTATTCGCTGACGGCGGATGGCTATGAGTCTCAATTCCAGGTGGGTTTACGTGTATCGACTCACCATAGAAGGATATACCAGTGCAACTGACATGGTCCAGACCAACTACTTGTCGCATTGGCTGCTCACGCACCATCTGCTTCCTCTTCTTCAATCCACCGCCCAGTCAAGCCCCGAAGGAACCGTCCGCTTGGTCAACGTTACGTCGGATGGGCACGCCATGTTTCCACCGCCAGGCGGAATCCGTTTTGAAGACACGGGACTGGAGAAGGAGTCTTCCATGATGAGATACGGCCAGAGCAAGCTCGCCAACATCTTACATACGGTGCAGCTGAACAAGAGATACGGCCCTGCTTCAGCCGGGGATCGCAATGGAGCAATCTGGTTTGCAGCGGTGCATCCAGGCCACATCGACACGTAGGTTGAGGGCACTGGCTATAAGTTGCAATGAAGGGCGCAATCGAAAGCTAATCGGAAGCCAGCGACCTGAACAAACAAGCCACAGGGGCCGCGCCTGGAGTCATCCTGCGAGCTGCGACGCCCATCATGCGCTGTCTCGGGGTTTTGGACAAGCAGGAGAAGGGCGCCTGGTCCTCGCTGTTCGCCATCGCCAGCGACGATTTCAAGCAGGCGAATTCGGGGGCGTATGTCGTGCCGTATGCGAGAATTGGGACGCCGAGCGAGTATGCGCGGGACGAGAGCCTGGCGGAGAAGCTGTGGCAGTGGACTGAGACGGAGCTTGGGAGCAAGGGATTGCTTGGAGAGCAGTGAGCTGGACGGGACAGAGGATGCGCGGGGAAGCGAGTGTCTTTTTAGTTGAGAGATCCAAGTAGATTAATAGATCCAAGTAGATGAATAGTTCCAAGTAGTAGATGAGAGATATAGACAGATGGGATACATACTTCAAACATGTTTGTGATTCTTTTTGTGATAAAGCCATGCTGACTCTGGTCCCCGTCTTTGTACTGTCCCCTGAGCTGACTTGACACGGCCACTGCTCCATCCCACTCCAGCCAATCACTCACCAGACTTTCCGAGCAAGCCAATAACGTGACCGAAGCATTTGCCAACTCCATCGACTAGATCCGGAATTCTCATCACGAATAAGCCGGGACGGTGGCTCCACACCAGATGAGAGTCGGGATATCTGGAGGAGCCTCATATTCGACTCCCACCTACTCATCTCGAGCAGCGATCTACTATGTCTTTCTCAAGTCCCAAATTGAAAGATTATCACTGGAACATCTGTGTATCTCCGTCCCTTGGATAGTCTAGTGGTAAGATGAGAAACCTTGATAGTATCTCACAGGATCCTCCAGCCAAGACCGGGCGCCGGAGGGTCAAGACCGGGTGCCAGACTTGCAAGTATGTACATGGAGTTCCCCAGCACGATATGATGGACATGTGATGAACATTCCGATATATGGTCCTACATGCCACTAACCCAAAGAGAGCAGAAAGCGGCGAGTCAAGTGTGACGAGGGACGACCAGCGTGCCAACGATGCCTCTCAACTGGCCGCGTCTGCGACGGCTACGGCATCTGGGGCGGCGGCAACAACGCCTACGGAAACCCCGACAAGGCCATGTCTGCTTCTTCAACCTCTATGGTTCGCGTCAAGCCGACGCAGACCCTGCGGACGGTTGTCGTCATGTCGCAGAGGCGCTCCATCGCCGGTCAGCCCGCAAGTCTCGGCTATGAGTATTTTCGGAGATACACCACCACTAAGCTTCCCGGCCTGTTCGAATCCGGCTTCTGGGACTCTCTGGTTCTGCAGGCGAGTGAGCAGGAACCGGCTGTCCTGCATGCTGTCACGGCGTTGGGGGCCGCACATAAGAACGAAGAGCGCATCTCGTTGACCGAGTACAACGAGGCGATTCGGCATTTACGACAGAGCTTGAAGCGTTCTGACAAAGAGGCGCTTCGTGTGTGTCTCATCACGTGCATGCTGTTTGTCTGCATTGAGTTGCTCAGAGGGGGCTTCACAGCAGGACATGCGCATCTCAGCAGCGGTCTCCGCCTTCTCCGCGAGATTCAGAGGCGTGATGGGGTCATTGCCTCTGACGGCGACATTATCATACGATCACACGCAGAATCAATAGAAGACACTCTTGTCGAGGTCTTTTCGCGGCTCAACGTGCAGATTGCGCTGTTTGGCCACGTCTCTTCGTATCTGCTGTTTGTGGGCGAAAGTTCAGAGACGTTAAAGACATACGACATACCGCCATCTTTTCCATCCCTGAGAGAGGCGCGGCAGCATCTGGATACTCTGATCAATGGGTCGCATGTCCTCGGAGAGCAAGCCAGCCGTCTGGTTCTGGAACAGCAGCCCATCCCGGAACTGCTGTACGAGAACCAGCGACGTCTCGAGGCGGCGCTGATGAGCTGGCTTCGTGCCATGGACGCAAGTCGCGAGGCATTGGTCGCTGGAGCCGACGTTCGTACCAAGTTTGCCATACCGATGTTGCTCCTCTATCATACCATGACGAGGATCATGACAGCTACCTCGTTGCGCGGGACGGACGAGATGATATATGACCGCCACCTACCGGATTTCTCGCTGCTGCTCAAGCAGTCGCACGACCTGTGGGATATGATGCGTGCAGCCCTCAGGAGATTGTATGGGAAGCGAGGCGCTACCAAGCCGGACATCAACGTCACCGTCGACATGGGCTTCATCCCGCCGCTCTATTATGCACTGGCAAAGTGCCGTCAGCCGAATCTTCGGAGGATGGTTCTCGAGCTACTAAAGGATGTTCCGCACCGTGAAGGCGCCTGGGACGGGTTCACAGTGATCAATATGGGTTACTCGCTCATCGGAATCGAAGAAGAAGGCATATTTGACGGATGGAACATCGTGCCGAGTTGCAAGTTGCCAGAGCCGTCTGTGGCGGACGCTTTGCCCGTCGTCCCGGCGTCACAGAGACTGAACAATGTCAACGTAGCGCTGCCCGACTATACGAATGGAAAGGCAACCTTGTTTGGCAGGCAGTATAAGGGAGATGGCAAGTGGGAGTCGAAGATTGTGCAGTTTGATTCGGTGTTCAGGAAACTGAATCCGATCTCTTGGGAACGTCTCCAGAAAACATCCAGTCTCTCATGATTCTGGCTCACATCTGTGACGGGGGTTAAAGACGCTTGACGTGGGCAATCATCCTCCGACACCAGGGCGAGGAGAAACTGTTTCTTTCAGGTATCAATCCACGCTGATGAAAGAGAAGCTGGAGGGGGCACCAATAGCGCAGTGAGACATTGAACCCAGCCCCCGTCAACCCACGAATCTTGAGCGTCTAGACGAAATTAGGAGGCTCCTTTGACGATTCATAGGCACTGCCTCATGCAAAAAGATAGATATACTGTACTCAGTAATGGCAGATCCGGCATGAAGCACGTGGGCATTTCGCATATACCGCATCTTCTAGGCATCGACTGCATGTCTAAACCACCTCTTCAGCTTGATAGTTATACTATTCAGGTCCAGCAGTTCGGTGGGGGTCTTATGATTCAGCCTCCGCATCGTCTCGGCTTTGGTGGCGCAACATTAGTGAGGAGATGGCTAGATTAGGAGCGGAAGCTGTGACATAACAGATAAATGGTCTGCATGTGTACGGGCTTCTAGAAACAAGCAAATATGGCACTTCACACGTGGTGCAAAGACTACCTATGACGGCTCGGTTGTTCCGTGTCAGCACACTCATTGGCGTTTGGACATTGCCATTGGGTCGACTGTTATCGAGGCTTGAAAGGAGGCGAGTGAGTTTTGACTGACGTGAAGTAGTTCGCTTGTTAACGATAGCTCAGAGCAAATGGCCAATTCTCGAGTTCATAGCCTGTATGCTTCGACGAAGGAGCTGAAGCATGCTCGATATGGGTTGTTTACTGATAGTAATATGCCCGCAGATGTGATTTCTCAAAGTGGCACGATAGCAAGGGTTTGGCTGCCGTGTGCAGTATAAGGTGCTTGATTCGTACCAGCAAGATAGATATGCACAAACAATCTGATTATTGATTCCATACCCGATATTCCGTACTCTGAATAGTACGCAAACGACGCTCCACATAGCTTCGCTAGCGACAGGAATCTCTTATCAAGTACGAGCCGAACCCTTGCCAATCTGGACTCATGAGCCGCAGGGATGAACACCCGACGGCGCAAGGGACGGCAGCCTACGAGGGAGAGCAAGTTGTGTCGCCGCGGTTTTGTGTCTTTGCGAACCATTGAGCGACGACTTCGACGCTTGGCTCGTCGTCTAGTTTGAAGCCATTGAGCGTGGCGACACTGTGCGAGGGAGATGATTGCAAACCACCGTCTTTTCAAGATCAGTTGTGAGGAAGAGTAGCCTATTGAACCCCATTACGTGGGGGATGAGTGTTCTAATAAGTCTCCCAAGCGCCTCTCTCCCCGGTACGAACTCCAAGAGTCTGCAGATAACACCATCATCCACGAGAGAGATGGCCCTACAGTCGATACGATACTAGTGACAACAGCTATCATCCATGCCTCGTTGACCCCACAGAAGAAGCTTCAGAATGCGGGGGAGGAGAAGGCATCGAGAGAAGTGCCCCCGTCTAACCCCCCAAGCTCCCAAAGCCGGCCAACCCTCTCCCTCGCTACCTGAGCTGACGAGGCCCCCACGAACAGACCACCGACTTTCTCGCCATTGTCCAGGAGGCTTGCTCTTCCCCACAACTTGGGCTCGATAAGCCCAGAAAGATGGGAAGGATCCGGCATTCCAGCTCGCCAATTATTGCCATGTTATCCGCGGCCAGGCTATCGGTCAAGTCTCCACGCCTGGCTCTCGGTAGTACAAGCATCTCGCTGCCTCTCTTCCCCTCTATTCCTTCACCTCGCTCGCTTTCCCTTGTTGACGAGTGCGGTGTGGGGGAGGATATCTTCGTCTGTCATCCATCACTCAGCGACCCCCCACCGTAGCTTTCAGATCCTCAGCAGAGGCTGATTGACCTTCCTTGATATTGCGTACACAGGCATTAAAAAGGAACAAGGGACCATGCCATGCTTCCTGCTTCCGAATGCAACCCTGTGATAGCAGCTTTCCCTGGCACTAACCACGGCTCTTTGTCTGAATACCATCACATCGAAGTGGTGTGTGTGCCATCCCTACCTCTCCTGGCCTCTGAAGACGCCCATCCATTTGTCTTTGCTGGGAAAGAGACGGCATTCCGGAGCCATCCAACTGAGCATTGGTAGAATCTTTCGAAGCTACAGAGAAATAAAGACGGATCCCGGCCCCGAACAGATCCGATCCCGATCCCTCGCGAAGATCGTCACCATGGGCAAGCAGGAGTTCAACGAAAAGGACGAGGGGGGTCTGCAGTCCGTGTCTTCGTTCCGTGCCGGAGTGGCGGGCGGCGTGCTTGAGGACTACGCAGACCCGGATGTCCAGAATGAGGCCGAGAATACTCACAAGGGAGAGTTTGGCACGAAGCGTGATCTTGTAAGTCGATGGAGGCTAGCGAGCAAAAGAGAGCATTATTGTGACTGACGGAGTCTCTTGCCCATAGAAACCTCGCCAAGTGTCCATGATTGCCGTTGCCGGTACTATTGGTACCGGCCTCTTTCTAGGATCTGGTGCTGCTTTGGTGAATGGTGGCCCTGTGGGTTTCTTCCTTGGATATGCAATTGTTGGATGCCTGGTGGGCATGATGATGTACTGCCTAGGAGAGATGTGAGTTCCATCACGAACAACCTCTCTCACTGGAAAACTGCTAAAGAATGACTCTACAGGACCGTCTTCGCGCCAAACATTGGCGGCTTCATCGAAATGGGCAACAAGTACATCGCTCCCGAAGCAGGATTCGCCATGGGCATCAACTACATCCTCCAGACCGGCCTGGCCATCCCATCAGAGATCACCGCCGCGGCCGTCATGATCAGCTACTGGGATGACGCCTCATCTCACGTCTCAGCCTACATCGCGGCCTTTCTGGTCCTCAGCATCGGCATCAACCTCCTCGGCGTCAAGTACTTTGGCGAGGTCGAGTTCGTGTTTGCTTGCATCAAGGTGCTGATGCTTGTTGCCCTCATTCTGTTCGGATTGATTGCCGATGTCGGCGGTATCAATGGCGTGTACACCGGTGGCCGCTATTGGAGGGAGGAGCCGTTCAACGACACGTTTGCAAGCTTGTCGCCAGTATCGCTCGCTCGCTTCCTTGGATTCTGGAAGGTCCTCACGCAAGCTGCCTTTGCGTTTGGTGGTATCGAGGGTATCAGCGTGTTGGCCGGTGAGGCGCACAATCCCAGGAAGACGATGAGACGGGCTGTCCGAACCGTCTTTTACCGCATCGGTAAGTGGAAGAGAATCTGCTCCAGAAGGGGTACATTGGTATTGACCTACTTGTCTTGTAGTTGGACTGTACCTCCTTACTGTCTTGATGATCTCGCTCAATGTCAGCCAAAGCTCGAAAGATCTCATCGCCGCCGTCTCAAAGGGTGGCTCGACTGCTGCTTCATCGCCCTTTGTGGTCATCTGCCAGCAGACTGGTGTCAAGGTCCTCCCCAGCGTGATTAATGCTGTGGTCATGACGTCTGCACTCTCATCATGCAATGAAAACATCTTTGCTGTGGCCAGAACCTTGCTCGCTCTGTCTCGTCAAAGTAAGAAGGCCATTGTTCCTACAGTATGCAATCCTTCTGTGTCGGCGAAATACTGATTTCCTCCGCTCAGGATCTATGCCCAAGTGCTTTCTCAAGACGAGCCGCTTTGGCACGCCCTTTTACGGCGTTGTCGTCTCTTTCTGCTTCGGCCTGCTGGCTTTCCTCTCTGTTTCCAACGGTTCAGCCCAAGCCTTCATCTGGCTCTCTAACCTGTCGGGTAAGCTTACCTTGTCTAAAACGTTTCTCGGCGCTTTCACTGACAGTTCCGCCTTTAGCCCTGAGCAGCTTGATCGCTTGGATCTCCATCTGCATCTGCTTCGTCAGGTTCCATCGTGCCCTCCAGATCCAGAACATTGACAGAAAGAACCTCGATCTCCGGGGATGGTTCCAGCCATACATGGCGTGGGTCTGCATCTTTGCATTTACCATCATTCTATTCTTCAATGGCTTCCAGGCCTTTATCCACACATTCTCAGTGTCGAGCTTTTTTGCGTCCTATGTGACGCTGCCGGTGGTTGCCCTGTCTATATTTGGCTTTCGTTTCTACCTGTGGCGGACTGGAAAGCCGTATGGCTTCACGGATCTGGCTGAGGTGAATCTCGGCAATGGGCCGGCCAAGGCTCTTCGTGGTACCAAGTATGATCTTGGGTCTTAGATACAGTTGAAAAGGCTTGCGAGAACAGTGGAGGATGATGAATTAATGTAATACAAGTTGCTCAATGCTATATTATATGACCTTAACCAATCGTGAGTTGGTTGTCATCTCGGCTTCGAACAAGTCCTAAGCTGTGGACTATCTTCACTAGATGTTCATCCAGGTGGAATCTCAACAATCCTTCCATTGACCTCTACTAGGAGCATCACAAAGGTGCCTGCATGGATGTCATATGGGGGGCGGGGTTAATAATACGACGTTGCCAATCACTACTGGGATCTTCATGACACTGCTCTTTTCAGGCCTTAGCACGGAGTGAAATAGATATCGGGCCACAAGTCGGGTGTCACCTCCTTGTTCGCATCCGGCTCGGCATCCCCAAAGTCTGTCCAACTGCTGAGACTATTCCCGGTCACGATAAGAAATGCTACCTTTCCACAGCATGTGACTCAACTCTCACAGAAGTCTGAGCATAGAACTTCCCCCGCTTCCTCACGCGATACTCCGCGTTCCGATCATTTCACGGCGCTTGAGATGAATCGGGCAGTTCGTTATCGCCAGTGGAAGATGCGGATAGTTTTGGAGGACAAGAACTCCACCGTGTCCATGGAACATCCTCTCACCACCTGCAATCTGTCGCCATACGTTACTGTTGCTCTGCATAGACGCTAATAGCCGGTTTCTAGCTTATGTGACCACAAGTAAACGGACTCATGGTCATAGACGACTTGAAACCTTCGATATGAGATGACGATACAATCATACGAAGCTGATGAACGTCTCGTATTGTCACAGATCCAGATCTGAGATATCTTGATTGAGCCCCGCCAATCATGGGGAGCATTCATGTTCATCGCCTTTCGGAGACAAAGAGGGGGAGGAAAGCGTGCAACCAACGCGCTGCGGCAGGGTTGCAGCCATTTATCCAGGGGTACGCAATATAAGCCGGCATTCGACAAACTGGGCAATGCACCTCCCCCTCTTGGTCCGAGACATGCTCATCACAACCAATGGCAAAATGTCTCAAGGCACAGAATGCCGGTGCGGTACATGACGTCCGGAATGCATCTTTCAAAGAATTGTTGACCCGACGGCTGGTGAGTCCTTGTGATCAGACGCGGGCGATGTAACGCAGGAAAGTGAGAGAGACGGTTGCTGAGCAATCTGGGGAGTTGCGGGCGTTGGTGAGGGATAATGGAGATACATATGGAGTTGCGACGGCACCCTTCATGGGGTTGAATACTCTTCGTCTACTTCTTCTCTTCTGTTTGTTGCCCAAACAACAAGAGGCTGTGAGAACATGGCAAAGCTCAACGGAGCTGTCAGGGCAGCAAGCCTATTCTACGGACTGGCTGCCACCGCAAAAGTCCGGGCCGCCTCCTTTGACCCCTTGACATATGTCGACCTGCTCATCGGCAGCAGCAACGGCGGCAATGTCTTCCCCGGAGCCACTCTTCCGTACGGCATGGCCAAGGCCGTAGCCGATACCAACAGCGGCAGCAACCAAGGCGGCTTCACCCTGGACGGCTCGTCCGTCACCGGCTTCAGCGTCATGCACGACTCCGGCACTGGAGGCTCGCCGTCTTTGGGCAACTTCCCGCTGTTCCCGTATACGTCGTGTCCCGGCGGCGAGGTGGACGGGTGCTCGTTCCCGAAGAATGATCGTGTCAAGTTCGGCGCGTTCTCTAACGAGAGCGTCGTTGCGAAGCCGGGATACTTTGGCATAACGCTCAACAGCGGGCCCAAGGTCGAGATGACAACTTCGCAACATGCGGCGCTGTTCAAGTTCACATTCCCTGACGCAAGCCCTAATGACAAGCCGCTTATCCTGCAGGATCTGACGGATCTGTCAAATTCGCGGCAGGACAACGGCACCGTGAGTGTTGACGGAGAGACTGGCCGCTTTACGGGCAATGCTGTGTTCGTTCCCAGCTTCGGCACTGGCACGTATAAGCTGTACTTTTGCACCGACTTCTCAGGCGCTGACATCTATGACAATGGCATCTTTGTCAACTCACGCGCCAGTGCCGATGTCAAGGATTTGACCATCTCACGATCTATCAATGGCTACCCCTTGCCAGGTGGCGCCTTCATCCGCTTTGCCAGCGCGGAAAACCCCATCTATGCTCGGACGGGCGTCAGCTTCATCAGCAGTGCCCAGGCATGCTCCAACGCGGAGAAGGAGATTGCGGAGTGGGATGTCGACAAGTACGCGAGTGACGCCGCCGATATCTGGCGAGAGAAGCTGTCCCCGATTACCATTGAAGCAGGTGAAGGCGTCAGCGACGACTATATCAAGTCGTTTTACTCGGGCATCTACCGCACCATGGTCAATCCCCAGAACTACACGGGCGAGAATCCTCTCTGGGATGACGGCGAGCCGTACTATGATTCGTTTTACTGTATCTGGGACTTGTTCCGGTCACAGATGCCGTTCCTGACTATCCTAGATCCGACGACTCTTACAGAGCAGATTCGGTCGCTGATATCGATCTACGAGAATGTCGGCTGGCTGCCTGATTGCCGTATGAGTCTCTGTCCGGGATACACGCAGGGAGGGTCGAACGCAGACAATGTGTTGGCAGATGCCTACCTCAAGGGCCTCAAAGACGGCATCGACTGGGAGAAGGGCTACGAGGCGGTCGTCAAAGACGCTGAAGTCGAGCCCTATGCATGGTCCACAGCCGGCAGGGGAGGCATTGACTCGTGGAAGAAGCTAGGCTATGTCCCCGTCCAAGATTTTGACTACAAGGGCTTCGGAACCATGACCCGCAGTATCAGTCGGACGCTTGAGTATAGCTACAATGACTTTGCCATTTCCCAGATTGCGGGAGGATTGGGCAAGAAAGATGATCAGGAGAAATATATTGAATCCAGCGGCAATTGGCGGAATCTGTTCAAGGCTGACCAGACTTCCTTTTTCTCGAACGGCACCGATACCGGGTTCAAGGGGTTCTTCCAAGCCAAGTTTCTGAATGAGACGTGGTTCACGCAGGATCCTTTGATGTGCAGCAATCTGGATTCCCAGAGCATCTGCTCGCTGCAGAACTCTGGCGCTGAGACATTCGAGAGCAGCACCTGGGAATATGGCTTGTGAGTTCACGCACACTCCCCTGATTCTTACGTCTGAACCGTCATACTGACTCAGTTCCTTTACAGCTTTGTTCCGCACGACCAAGCTAGCCTGCTCGACCTCTATGGCGGCCCTGATTCTTTTGTCGACCGTCTCTCATACATGCACGATCAACAGATTACATAGTAAGTGTTTCATCAGGGGCCTTTCTTTGACATGCAACTACTAACCATATCCCAGTATTGGCAACGAACCAAGTTTCCTCACCGTGTTCCAGTACCATTACGCCGGCCGACCGGCCTTGTCCGCCGAGCGCAGCCACTTCTACATCCCCAAGTACTTCGCCCCTACACCGGACGGCCTACCAGGCAACGACGACAGCGGCGCCATGGGCAGCTTCGTCGCCTTTTCCATGATGGGCCTGTTTCCCAATCCAGGGCAAGACGTCTATCTCATCATCCCGCCCTTTTTCGAGAGCGTCAGCATCAAGAGTCCCGTCACGGGCAAGACGGCGACCATTCGCAATGTCAATTTTGATCCTACTTACAAGAACGTGTATATCCAGAACGCTACTTTGGATGGCGAGCCTTACACCAAGAACTGGATCGATCATAGCTTTTTCACGGAAGGAAAGGAGCTTGTGCTGACGCTGGGTGAGACGGAGAGTTCATGGGGTACGAAGGTGGAGGATCTGCCGCCGAGTTTGAGTCCTTATAATAGTAGCAGCGAGGCTCATGCGGCTGCTCCGGCGAAGAGGTCTTATGTGCCGCGGTTTGACGGTGGAATTTTGGGGATGATGTTTAGTTGAGATGGTTGGATAGTGTAGCAACGAATATTATTACTCGATACGCAGTGCCACCTGAGATCAGAGATTGCGATTGCAAGGCGCGACTAGAGCTCATACACCATTTCAACCGATGCCAGACAGGAGACATATAGACAAAAGTCAACCAAGCGCTGTTGGCAATATTTTCCTTTCCCAGAATTGGAAATGCATATATCATGACCATTTACACAGTGAGTATATCCTCCAAAGCACTTTTTACGCCTCACAAAAGAATCCGTACGCCAAACCAACCGCAAAGTCCCGCTTTGAAGCCCATCACCAACAAGAAGTTTTTTTTTTTTACCAAACAAACATTTCCTCAAACAGTTCAACATCAATGTGAACCTTCCTCGTCTGCGTAATGACAGCCTGCCTCGTCGTATCGGCAATCTCGGCCGGACCGCACACAAAGACGGCCGTCTTGCCCTGCGACTGAGTGACAAAGTCATCCACCGCGGTGTGGATGTCAGGCCGCATCTTCTTGAATCGGGGATCGTGTATGCTGTTTCCTGCTTCTTCCGTCTTGGGCGTGGAGCTGGCTGAGCTTTCGGACGTGATGTAAAACTCCATGTTCAGCTTCGATGCTCCTTCAATGGCGCGAAGGTCGTTGGCGAGAACATCCCGGACGAAGCCCTCGTGTCGAACGACCCAGACAAGACGGACGTTGGGGGGAGGTGACTGGGACTGCTTCTGGTCCTCGAAGAACATGCGGAGATAGGGAAGCACGGTGGTGATTCCGCTACCACCAGCAATGAACAGAACGTCGTCGAAGTGGTCGAGACGAGCAGGCGTGCCATATGGACCTTCGAGCAGGACTCGCACGCGAAGAGGGCCGGACTCGCTCTTGCTGACGAGCTTGTCTCGCAGTCTTCGGGTCATTCCATCGCGGGGACGGATCATAAAGGTCATGTAGCTGTCACCGGACCCGGACTCGGACGCCAACTCTGTCACATGTGGAGACTGAGTGCCCGTCTTCTTCTCGGTAGGCTGGTCGCTGCTGCTGCCGTAAACAGAAACATCCTCGACCTGCTTGGACCGTCCGGCCAGGGTGAAGGGGTGAGACTCCCAGAAGCGCATGCCGGGGAAGTAGACGAAGTAGTAAGTTCCGGGCGTCTGGCGGCTGCAGTTGATGGAAGGCTTGACCTGAAGACGAATCATGCCAGTCTCTTCGCTGTAGCTGGCCAGTGCGAGAGAGCCTTTGCCGAGGAGCGTCTTGTAGTTTATGGCGAGGACTCGCAGAATGCGGAGAAAGTGGTCGCCGGCCCAGAGACCAACACATGCCCACACCCAGACGAGGTACATACCCTTGAACTGGCCTTTGACGTGTCTGATGTAGATGTAAGTAGACGTAGATAGATACCTGATGGATCAAGACAGACTGCTTACTGGTACAGGCAAGCAAGGAAGACGGCCGTCAAAGCGACGTGAGTAGCCTTGAAGAACTCGTAGACTCGGTTGCGTATAGGAGCAAAAGCAAACAGCGCTGAGAGGCCCAATGCGGTGAGCATCTGTGTCTGTGTAAGCGTGCTGCAAGAAAAGGTCTAGTCATAAGGTGATGGCTTACAGTGATGCCGTAGCGGAATACCAAGTCTTCTTTCAGCTCTTCGCGGTAGCCCTCCCATCCTTGTTCTTTTTTCACCATATCAGCACTGGCGACTATTTGATATTGTCTAAAAGGGTGCCCTTACCATTGACGTAATAGGCCGAAAACACAACGCCGTGGATGATACCCTCTACGACCAGGGTCATGGCGAGCCAGCGGTGGAAGAGGCTGAAAGTCCTGTAGCTCCATCCAGTGGCGTAGATGAGGATGTTGGCTCTTCCACTGAAGAGGAAAATGAACGGGAGCTCGGCCGTCATGAAGATACCAAGTCGATCGGCGAGGATCCGGCAGACCTGTCCCGGGATTGTTTTGTAGCTATTATAGAGCGTTAGAACAAGTATCATCAGACAGAAAGATGGTCAACGCCTACTAAATGTTGTTGTGAAAGACAGGGTAGTGGAATGCCAACATAAAGATCTGGATAATGACGTAGCCAGCAATGACCAGGGACTGCAGACGGAGAGGAATCGTGAACCATCCCAAGGGCTGGTGATGGTGATATGAGAACGTAGGAGCCATCATGAGGTTGCGGTGGAACCAGCCCTTTACTTTGGCTCCCGCATCGGTCTTTCGCACGGGTTGACTGGAACGCTTCACCGGGAGAAGTGCATAAAGGTGGCTGATTGTGGCCAGACCCAGCACTAATCCCCAGTAGCCGTACGGAATCCATCTATAAAAGAACGCTCGTCAGACAAGAGAGACCTAGAGAAGAGAAGGTGTTTGATGATGAGGCCAACCAACCGGAGCTTTTGGTGGTATACAATGTTGGTGTAGTACGTGTTGACACTCCGATGAGCAATGTTCCAGTTGGCATCCGAGGGCCTCGACACAACGTCCACCACCGTCTTCTGCGTCTGCTCGACGGTAGGAAGACTGTCAATGTACTCCTGCGTGACATTGGCGACTGTGCTCTCATATGCCTCGAGGTTGACCAGCTTAGAGGACTTCTTGCACGTGGCAGCCCACCAGTTGATGCCCGGCACGAGGTCCTGTTCCTCGCAGTGCTCCCACAAACACAAGTACGTCGAAGTAATCCTCAGGGGATGCGTGCAGAGCGTCTGCTCCGTCACGTTATCGGAGGCGAACTTGGTCTTGGCGAAGGTGTAGTAACAAGAGGCTCCGCAGACCTCGTGGCCCAGGGGCTTGGCCGCATTGGCACAAGCAACAAGAAGGAGGCATACGAGGTAGGAGAGCCGTGACAACATCTTGCTATCTTGGGCCTCTTTGGGAGCAGCTTACGGTGTGCTTTGGAGAGTAGCTGACATGCCGAATGAGCAGAGCGAGAACCCGGAGAGTTTGATGATATATATGCCCGACCCGAAAAGTTCGAGGCCTTCCATGCCATGGTTCAGCAAAAAAACAAGGTGTATCCACAACGGCCTGCTCATGGCAAAAGAGTTAATCGGCCGTCATCCGAGGATGGCGATAGCGTGGCCGTGGTTCCTGTTCCTTCTCTTCCATCTCTCCACAAAGAAATCATATATCAGAGCGCCCAGCCAGTCGGCCTGCTGCGGAAGACTGTCCCTTCTCGTGGGAAACCAGTCCACATTTTCGGGCGAACTAACCGTCTTGTCACGACTCAAACGTCACAGAGTCCAGTCGGGAGAGACATCGGAGTCGGCATTCGGGACAACGTTGTTCTAGGGCTGGGCTGGAGATGGTAGGGGTTTGTTCTAGCTTCAGATCTCTCAACAGCCGAAAGGGAAACATTTGTGGGAATTGTCAGATATGTATTGCCCTTGACAGCTTCCCAATCATGCGTGAAACGGGGCTGCGGAGCCTGGCGGTTCCCAGTTCTGGATGTGGAGAGGGGGGGAGGGGAGGGATCATGGATGCTTCATGTAATGCTGATGAGCCTAGGCAGGCATGAGGTGGTACTATGTGTCCAGTGTACCGTACGAGAAAGCCAATCGACACACCTCCCCAACCTGACTTAAGGGGAGTGTTACGATATTCATCAAGAACCGATAGAGACAAATTTAAGAGTGGTAGAGTGCAATGTAACGGTGATCTGTGCTGAGAGTAATATGCAAAAGCCCAAGGGGTCGAGGCAGGCCATCAGTCGTTTCCTCTCACGCACAAGCACCAATTCTTGGGACTCGAACGGCTCACGAACTGTACCAACACCGGGAGACGGCCGAGTTCGCCAGTCTGCTATCACGACCTAAGGTAAACTAAGTGGGTAGAACTGCAGACAAAGCCAGGGATGGTGGAGTGACGATGCCTGCTTGGAGATTAGATGGATTGATAAGATGATCAGATAAAAATTTTCGCAAGCCACCGCCCGTCACCAAAAGTACTTTGTTCTATGAGGGCTCCTGTTTTCGCTCCAGTTAGCTCCCCTGATTGGCCTGCCGGGTCTTGGATCGGGGTATATTTTTAACGTGAGAGGGTAGGGGAGGTGGAAAAGGTTCATGTTTCCGTGGTGGGCGAATCCACAGAGAGCCACAAAAAACCTCGAGCTTTGCTGCCCTCTCGATTAGCACGCCATTTATAATCATTCGACCCAACAAAGATGCATTTTGTTTGTCCATTTGGGGCCGCTGCAAGGAGATGGAAATGTTTCTATTGAGCCGAAGGCCGTGTCTCTGGCTGCGGGCTTTGCTGGGGGACGAGATTGCCCAGGAACGAGAGGGGAGATGGAGGCGGTTCTTGACGAGGAGGGACAGACAGACACATCTGCAGACAGCATCACTTCGTGTGATGTATTCCATATTGCAATTCCAAGGGCAAATTGACGGGCTGCCAATCCAATCTCTGAGAGTAACATTAGCCTAGAAGTTCAAGGATGGTCAACCTTCGTTGGATCAGCATCAAAGTGCCGGTTCAATGTCGGCGGCAGGCCTCGACGATGCTTTACATCCTTGCCACGATGCTACGCTCAAACGACCATCGTGAAGCTTATTTCGGCCCGGCAAAATGCCAGGCGCAAAGTCTTTCCTGACGAGCAGCCGGGGGGCTACAACGCGGCGGCAGTTTAGCCATCCATTCACATTTCTGCCCTTTGAATTAAGGTAGGCTGATAAATGCCACGCATGGGGGTGGTGGGCGTCCAAATGCCGCAGATCGATAAGACTCCCCTGGTGGAGGGTGTCATTGGGGTGGTTGCTGCTCGGCCATTCGGTGATACCGCCAGTTGTCATGATGGTCTACTCTGCTTTTGGCTATCTTTCTGGCATTGATTCTGCGCGAGACATTGGCGACAGCATCTCGTATCTACTTCGTATCGTTGGCGGAGTTTGACGCTGGTATCTGTCCAAAGATAGTACTGCTGCTCTTTCTTGATAGAGCAATGCTCGACCATGACTCTCGGCGCGGAAACATGGATCTAGCCGACCAAGATCTCCATCCTTGCACTCTCGTCCAAGTAGCATAGGCCCCATTGCAAGATAATGCGACGCTGCTATATAAAGCAGCAGCTTACTTACGATTTCAACAGAAGCTTCCCACTCGAGGGACTGCTTACTCCGTCTGATGAATCATGCTGGCTGCCTATTATGGACGCTGATGCTGCTGTACCTGGCAGTCAAAATGAATGCGACCCCCGGCGAGAGAATAAGCATCGCATGCAGCTCATCTCATGGTATCCGGGGTTTTAGGTGACACGACAGAATACTCCGTAAATGTCTGGCTGTATATTGCAGCAACTGGCTTGACACGACCTGGCGTTCCATTCCATCCAAGATGAGATGAACGTCTGGCGCCATACATCCGCTCCGTCACCATGTACATCGCTTGACTGAAAAGAAGGAGAACAGAAACGAAAGACACAAATCATCCCGACTCTCGCCTCACAGATCAACCTTGACGGCAATGACGTTCGAAGCCTGATAACCCGTCACAAACAGCCACGCCCGGCGTCTGCCTCCCTCTTCTTTTGGGTCAATGGCCACCAAAACGGAAGCACTCGAAGTTCGGAGTCTCCGCCCGTCGTCCTGAAACAGGAGACTGACATCCCAATTCTTCCCACTGCCGGCTACAGTACCATCTTGTTCACCTCTGCCGTCCCTTTCTTTTTTGCCGGACCTGGGAGTGGCCTTCCACACCATGACGGGGTCTAGAACGGACTCTTTGCCCTTGTTCTCAAAGAAATCGATCCCTCTCGTCGGTCCAGTGGAAACAAATCCGCTTGCGTCAAACGTACCGTTCGCATACGGATCCCGAAAGTAGCTCGGATTGTCAATGGGCGAATCAAACTCGACAACCTCCTTCACCCGGATGACCTTCTCGTCACTCTCCTTCTTCCCCCGGATTTCGCCCACGTGCAACAGCCCGTCGACGCACCCCGTCACCAATATCTCGTCCTGGCCGCCTCTGCCGTGGCCCAGCCCGTTGAGGTTATGCAGCTTCTCCAGTGCAATCGACGCATGGACGCCTGCGCTGTCACCACCACCTCCATCCGGAGCCAACCCCAGGTTTTCCAGCCTGATGTGGACGACATTTGTCCATTTGGCCGCAGGCACCACGTCCTCGATGGCCCTTAGCAAGCCCTCCGTGTAAAAGTGGTCATTCGTTACGAAAAAGGACGTTGGCGACTCGGCAACGATGTCGTTCGGCGTCACCATGAGGGGATGCCATATTGTGCGGATGTGTCGTGCCGTCTTGGAGCCAATGACATGGTGAAAGAGTTCTACAACTGAGTGCGACTTGGGGGCGTTTGCGTCGCCGTTCTCACCATAGTGCTCCGGGTTGGGCTTGTGGTTGACGGCAAAGATGTAAACTGCCTCGCCTTGTGGCTTTTCGGGATCATCAATAACGTCGATGCCATGCGTCACAAAGGGGCCGCTGAAACCTTCCAGTTCTAGGACCTTTGCTTCGAACGTCTACCTCAGAGCGTCAACACATCGAGCGCATGATTATAGAGCATGCCCACCGCTCTTTCGCGTCCAGCAACAGCATTCTTACCTTGGGATCAATAACTTCAAGCTTTCCTTTCATCCTCTCCGTCGATGGGTTGAAGAAGTGTTCAATTGGGGGAAACCATTTGCGGCGACTGGCGACATCATCTTCGCAGGCAGTGAAGAGGAGGCCGCTTGGTTCATGGAGATGCAAATCCTCGCAGTTTATCGTGCCATTGACCACCACAAACTCTCCAGGAGCCAATTCAGTGCTCCCAGGCTCTCGAAATACGCCAGCGACCCGGATGAACCGTTGCACGTAGGCATTGTACACATAGCCGAGTAACACGGCCAGCAGTACTATCGCAATCGACAGCCGGCCAGCCATGGTGACGCTCAGTTGAACACAATCCTGGATGAGGGGCAATTGCAATCTTCACAAGACAGATTTCAGACCTCAAGACTGCCGCGACGCTCACAACGAGATAACACTGGATAAGATTATGGTCTCTACTAAGATTCAACTCTGGTGTTTCGTCATTTGGCTTGAGGGGATCGAGGAATGCGGGGACCGAGGTTCGGCTATCCATGGATGGGGGAGCGGGCTTGAACTTGCAGCTTTGAGCCTAGGCTTCGGAGGCATCTCAATGCCCGCCATGGTTCCACAAGTTGAGGGGATGAATGATCAGCATCCCCAGTTTGAATGAGACGTTGAATGAGAGCAAGAGAAGGAGAGCAAACACATATAAGAACTTGCATGACAGACGCGGAGATTGACTCGTTATAAGACGTGGAACTTTCCGGCCAGGGTGATAATGGAGACTATACGAAGTATTACACAATCGACGCATCATATCCGCAGCGATGAGATGAACCCGTAGGGTCGAAGTTTGACACAGCTCTTTCATTCTCTTCTTGCTGCATAGTTCATCCACCACTCGTCGATGCTCACTTCATGTTCTGCAGCAAGTACTTGAAGCCTGCGTATGCCTCCTCGCCGCTGGGCAAGATCTGGTCCGCCGGGAGGACAAAGCCGTATCGGCCCGTGTCTCTGAGCTCGGATGTGAAAGTGTAATCCGCCTTGATAACATCGTTCACATAATCTACACTGGAGCCAGTGGCTTGATAGATGGTCGAGCAGATGGGGCCGTATTCAAACGAGGTGCCGTGGACCGCACGAATAGCAGCAACGGCGCCCTTGGCCAGTGATTGCAGATCGTTGTTGTTGGGCGCGACGGCCGTGCAAGAGTATCCATAGGCTACAAGCATGCCATGGTCAGTATAATTCTGCAAGTCATTGCCATAGAAGTGACACTGGAAAGACTCACGCGTCATGAAAAGTTGAGAGTAGGAGTGGTAGTCAATGTAGAGCTTGAGACCCTGAGCCGTCTTGATCTTCTGGATGTAGGCAGAGAGGGCCTTGAACTCAACCGAATCGCCAGCAGCGGCACCTTTGTAGTCTTCGGCACAAGGATTGGTAGAGGCGCCCCCAGGAACATTCCACTGGTAGGCCCAGTTCCGGTTGATGTCGCGACCGACGCACGAGCTGCCAGAGTTGGACTGGCGGTTCTTTCGCCATAAGCGATCGGTGCTTTGGGTATATAGGAATCCTGAAGTCCAGTCAGTGGTGCAACTTCATACCACGAAGGAGGTCAGCAGTCTCTTACCATCTACGTTCACGACCGGGAAGAAGTAAAAGTCGTATTTATCCAGGAAGCCCTTAGTGGTGGCATCAGTGCTCGTGAGCAGCGTGTAGGCGAAGTACTCGACAACCAATGTTGTGATCCATTCTCTGGCGTGAACCGTTCCGTGCAGGATGACGGCAGGCTTCACGCCTTTACCAGAGCTGCCCCAGAAGTGAATGCCGGTAATGGGGTTTCCGTTCAGCGAGTTGCCGGAGGTGACAATCTCGGAGGTGTTGGGGAACTGCGCAGAGAGATCTCGGAGCCATTGCAGATGGTCCGCATAGGCGTGGTACGCATTGAACCACGTGCTGTTGACAGCATTGATAGCATAAGTCGGATAAGATGATTCAGCTTCGATCGAGAGGCCAAGATCTTCGTGCATGACAACGGGCTTCAGATCTTGCGTCTCCTTCTGGAAGGCCTCGAGCTGGTCGGGCTGGACTACTATGTCTGCAAAGGACCCTGCCTTCTTGGCGGCCTTCCAGGTCTGGAGGTTCAGCCTGTCCACGACGTCGTTGATGCGGCCGATGTTGCTCTCCTCGACAGACACTCGGAAGACCTTGTATCCATTGTAGGAAACTCGGGGAAGCTGAACAGTGGCAGCTGATGCCGATGCAAGAAAGGCCGATAGCAGAGCGAGGTACTTCATGATGAACGATGCTAACGATGCTGGCGAGGTTTTGGTTTGTGTTCCAGTAGCACTTTGCTGCTAGCGGGAGACCGGATTCCTGACATATAAGTAGAATGTTGATGTCGCAGATTATATAGTCGATCGTTCTCCCTCATCAATGTGGACTGCAATGGACATTCTTGGTATCGCATGCCAATGGGACTTGCATCTTTGCTACGAGTAGAAGGTGGTAGCCGAGAAGAAGGCATCTAAGTGGCCCTCAGATCAAAGATGGTCGTTCCCCGCCAATGATACGGCACCTTAGACGAAGGCAGTGCAACACTAGGAAGCCGAAGAGCAGCAAACAAGCCAAGATACGACCGGGCTTTTTGACTTTGAAGCCTTTTCAAGGTCGAATGCCGTCGACGATCAATATGCCGCCCCCAAACCGCCCGCTAATCGGATCACGTCAAGAGGATCCGGCATCACGCCGATCCCATCTTGGATCTGGAATTGCTCGAATGATGGCTCGAGATGCTGTGCCTAGTCGATGGGAACTGCCGTAGAGAGTTGCTCTTCCGTGAGTGGCGATAAGAGGGAGGGGTCGGGCTTTATGGGAAATGGCATAGGAGCCTGATCGACCTGCCGGAAGGAGAGTCGCTGTTTCTTTCTATACGATGGGACTTTTGAGCAGCTATAATTAACACGATACCTTGGATAGCGAAGCGTGAGACATGCGACGTCACTGCCGATGAGATGAGGCCTGATGGATTTGACGCTTCGTAGAACTCCCTTACTGCAGTCTTCGTACCAGAACGCCGCTAAACTTCTCTTGCAAAAGTCATCAAGTTTAGAAGAGAATCTTCTCCCTTTGCGCGTTTCTTCTGAGCATCTAACAGAGATCTATAGGTAGTCGTCCTTCAGAGAACTGTGCCGGAGGTCATGAATCCCTCCGCTCCGCTCAAGGTGGCACCGATGTAACGGTATGTCGACGCGGACAGAAAACCACCAACCAGGTGGGTGACAACATATTAAGCCCTTACAAAGTTCCGTTTAAGCATGTCTCAGCCAATATCGAACCAAAAGATTTTTCCTGCAGCTACTGGCACAAGAGGAAGCTGCATCGGCGCATCGGCTCTAAGGGCACTGGGGAAAGTGTCCATTACGTAGACTATTAGTACGAGAATGTTGTTTCTCTGCCCCGTCTCCTGTATTCTGGAGTGTTTCCCGCGTGTACCCGAGATTTAGATCGATGAAGCCGCATTGTGTCTACTGGACCGAGATATGGGTGTCCGATGGCTTACACCAGAATAGGTTCGAGGGCCAATGGCTATCACCTCTCGAATCCCATCCAATACACCTCTAAACACACTGCGATGGCGACATTCAACGAGCAACTTTATACTAGAGATAAGTTGCCTTCCCGGTATTCTCGATTTGTCCTCATTGACCCTGTCCCCAGGGTGCCAGTTGACCAAACATACTGAAGGATGGTGTAAACACCGCTGGTCTGCCATAAATCAGCGTTTCCCTTTTATAACCAGCCTCTACAGAGTCCCGCTGTATTTGAAAATGGCGATTCAAGCAGCCCAAAAATCACAAAGTGCATGACTAGAGCCGCCCCATATGTCAGCTCATCAACCTGGGACTGTAAGTAGTATTTGGCCCTCGTTGAGTGATACGAAGAACGTGAAAATACGCGTAAGCTGGTCAGCTTCGGATCCGAATTCTACAAAGTCCTTTGCACGTATCACTCCATTTGCTGGAAAATTTACTCCAGAAAATGAAGCAGAATATATACCTCCAAAACATATCGTGGATTATCACCCTAGTTGCCTGGTTCATTAATGGCTCTCCTGGGCCGTTGCTCAGCCCTTCAGACTATTGAGTCCAGTAATCAGCTGCATGATGCTAACGGCACTACGACAAAGAAGCCAAAAGCTTATACAGAGCTTATTGGCCTACTAATCAAGCCTCACAGCAGACCGGCAGTTCTATTGCGGGGATTCAGGAAGCCTCTACAGTACTGCTCATTACGCGTTACTCATTTCTCAGATTTCAGTAGACGCGTGTGCTCGGCTAACACGTCGCCCTGCTATTGTTGCTTGCGGTCGGTATCTTGTTCACACTAATGATACTGTATGTTTGCTCTCCTAGCCCCCTGCAAAAACAGTATTGATGCAAGCATTCGCACGCAACTCTAGAAGTAATTTGCTCTCGAGAGAGCTTCGGAAACGGCAGTCGCCGAGTCAACTCAAGCCGGGGTAATCTGTAACTGTCTGACATATCCACTCAGCTCTCAGGCACAGCCTCATGTCATCGTGATGACAGTTCCAGTCGTTAGTAGTTGCACATTGCTGCGCTCTACTGCCTGCGATCAAATAAGATTGAAAAACAATAACCCGTCTGGATTCTTCTCTCTTCAAGGTTAACCATCCGATCAACATCAGAAAGAAATCCTGGTGTTGGAGTGCTTGGCATGGCTCGAAACCTCAGGGCTGAATATTCCCTGTCAGCAGAAGCCGTTATAGCCGGTGGGATCAAATGCTAGAACGAGTTCCGGGTCTGCAAGTCTCGGTCCCGTAAGACTTCCGAGCTATTAATAAGGTAGTAATTTCTGGGAGGGGTTATTGATCAATGGGCGCTGTTTGGCATTTTCGATCAACAAGCCACCAGCTACTAGAGAAATTCTTCAGCTTTTCTGTCAGAGGATGGGCAGTATGTGCCATCTCTTCACGCGGGAATAACTTCACCGTGACAAGCCAAGAAGCCAAGAGGCCAAAGAGCCGGGTATCGAAGCCAATGCAGATCGTGGACTATCAACTAAAGACTGCAGTATCCACTACGAAAATCCCGAGATGCTACATAGAGCTTTCGAAACACCTCGTCTCTGATACACAAAGTCTCGCACTTAAACTTCACACTTTCCCCTGAGTTAGGCCCGCAGAGGGCGTAGAAACAAGCCGCAACTGGGGCAGCGTGGAGTCACATTTTGTGGTCCAGAACGCTGAACGAGGTAGAACGAGGCGTTACCCCTGTTTTGCGTTTCGATATTATTGGAGATGCTAAGTTTCGTCGATGACTTGCTAGTCTAGTCTTTTGACGATCCAGACTTGACATCACAGATATGCCAGCTGGAGTTGAGCGAAGTATTGTGGACAGGTACCAGATCGACACCTCCCCTGAGCCAACTCCCGCCCCTGAGAGAGAATGTGAAGCTTTGGGTGACCGTAATCACTTTATTTTCTGACTTTTTTTTGTCTCCGGATGCCGAACCTGTCATCACGTTGTTATTAAAGCCGAGGCTCTTGCATGAGGGCTGTGCAAGACGACACCACCTCGTACTTCGTATAGCGCCCTCTCTTCCCGAGTGGCTATGAGCAACTGCCAAAATCCCACAAACCTTACTCGCACTAATGTGGGCTGTTCCCATAACAAGATTCGCTACGAGCATGTACGGAGTAGCTAGAGAGAGGTGACGAGTCTTTTCATGCAGGTAATCCTGGGGCGGGCGAATAACGAGGCTCCGGGTGGCACCACGGCTGCTCTGGATCGACACCCCGTCTACGTCAGCTCCTCGAAAGCTGGCGGCGCATGATACATAGCATGGCCTTGCAACACGGAGTTTTCTGCGCCTCATCAAGGGAGTTGGAACATGGATACTGCGGCGTTTCTCACAAACTAGCGCTTATTGCTGTGTACCCGTCGTCTTATTCGGTGGTCGTTGGATGATCGAGGCTGTCCAGAACCTCGAGTGGCTGTCCTTCCATGGAGACCTTTCATGTAGGCTATACCACTAGGGAGTTGGTCCAGATGGTCAAAGTAAAACGAAGATCCCTGCGGGTTCTCTTTCATATGAGTAGTGGCGCTCCTCGCCTGAGAAGATTCCTTCTGAGAACACTTACTCTCCTGTTAGACAAACCGCACACAGCACCTTTGCTTTATGTCGGGGGAGGTTGTGACAAAAGAATGCCCTGATGAGTAAACCGACCTCCTCATTATTGCGGCACGCTACCGACCTCCGCGTGGTCAACTTCGTTCTCTTCTTGATATGGTTGATTGCGATCCGGTATTGCCAAGTAACTACATACTACGACCCATCATCGTACTTCTTTCGCTCCGATGCCGCCTACGAACCATTCTACTCTGCTATTAGAGAGCAGGAAGCGGACGACTACCTCGACTCACGACACTCACACCACAACCGATTAACAAAAGGGGCAAGAGCAAACATTCGACAGGCCGCCCCATCTTATTGTATCGGAATCCCAACCCTCCAGAGAGAAAGGGCGCAATTCTTCCCGAGGACAGCGGCATCCCTCGTCGATACCTTGACGCCCGAACAGCGAGAACTCATCCACATTATCGTCCTCTTGTCCGATACCGATGCGACTGAGAACTCAGCTTTTGGCCAGGACTGGCTCCATGCCATTGCCGATACAGTCATAGTCCACGAGGACACGCCGGAAGATCTGGTGTCTGAGAATGGCTATCAGACGATTCCACGACATTTCGAAGTCGCGGCCAGGGACGAGCGAGTGAGACGCGACTATGCAGTCCTTTCCGAGACGTGTCGTCTAAACGAGGCAGACTACTTCATTCTCGTTGAAGACGATGTCATAGCCGCGAGGGATTGGTTCGAGCGACTCCAGGCGGCCACACCCGTGGTGAACGAGCGGGCGGTTGCCAAACGCCAGGACTGGCTTTACATTCGGCTCTTCTACACGGAGACTTACATGGGATGGAACTCTGAAGAATGGGGAACATACTCGCGGAATATTGCCCTCATATACATGGCCGTGCTGGGCGTGATGCTCGCAGTCCGCCATCTTCACCAGAAGACATCGGCTTCTCTCAAGGAACGTACATCCAAACACTCGAAACTCTTGATGGCGAATATCCTGATGATTTGGGTGCCACTTTTTATTGCACTCGGATTCATGGCTGGCCGGTTGACAGTCAGTCCATTGCCAACCGGCGTGTTGGAGATGCCGCGATACGGCTGTTGCAGCCAGGGCTTGGTGATACCAAATCGGCATCTGACTTTGTTGAAAGATAGGTTTCTTGATTCTCCGTTTGACCTGCCCGCCGACTCGACCATCGAAAAGACGGCGGATGATCTTGATTTGGGCAAGTGGGCGGTTGTGCCTAGCGTTTTGCAACATATCGGAGCGAGGGGGTCGTCGGCGAAAGGCGGTGCCATCAAGTCAACGTGGAATTTCAGTTTTGAAAGATTTTACTCAGCTTAAGCACTGATAGATACCATACATATATACCATATTGTGACTTTTTCACGCGCAGGTTTCTGAGTGAGACTCAATGTGGGTTCATATTTGTAGTGGAGAAAGTCTATACCTCCGTATGGTGACCTTCGTACATGGCGGAAGCGCATAGGCACAGGCGGGAGTGACATGGGTTATAAAAGAGCAAGTATCAAGAGATATATAGTAACAGTTGAATGAGGAGAGTTATGTCAGGGCTTTAATGCGGCATCTTGGGTATCATAGCTGGGACACCTGGGTCCATGTGAAACGACGTTCTCACAACATCAACCGTTTTCGAGATTCCAAGAAATACCTGAGTATCGGAGCCGCTATCATTCTCTTTGAGGACATCGTTCATAAAGAATTGCTCATCGCTTTTCCTCTCACCTGGTGATTGGGGCCCCGAAATGGACACAACTTGGCGAGTGTGTCCTACCGGACGCCACATTCCCGGATGCGATGCTTGTCCGGACAAGTTGGACAAATAGAAGCCTCCCTTTACCGGAGATCTGTTGTCCCCAAAGTGTGAATCCTTCACGATTGAGTCAAAGAGGTGAGGGAAGAGTCGGGCCAAAGGCTGTCTCAGAGCGGGAAGACAGGCGCCGATGATGCCTGCGTTGGCCTCGATCAACGTCCATATCCCGCGCTCGATAAAGTTCCAGGTGGTGTCTGCTTTGTTGGCCAGTGAGTTTTTGACAGACGTTGCTCGGAGGACAGATGTGACGGTGACGCTGTTGCATGGCCATATGAGATTAGCACATCAGTGAGCAGGGGAAGTCTGAGCCTGGGGAGGAAACGGTTTACATACAAACCACCCATCATGAAGATGGCGCATAACATCAACTTATTCCTCATGCTAAGCTGGAGCGACATGATTGGGGCAATAGGAAGAGCCAAGACCATAACGTCCGTCAGGATGTTCATCACCGCATAGGCAACCCAGAACCTATCCGAGTCGATACAGGTTGCATCGACCGACTTGTCCCAAGCTCCAGCAATGGGCACGCACTGGAAGATTGTCGCTCCCACGCCGCCGATGCTCCAAGCCACGACGATGCCCATGACAGTGTACGCCGCGATCTGGAACCTCGTGGTCTCGAATATTCTTAAATATAGCAGGATGGTGGCTACTTTGTTGAGGCATACTGTGACCTTGTAGGGTGTTTGAGCGATGAAGAACCACCGAAGGGCAGCGTTGAGCTCGGCCACGGTGAGATCGGCCTTGTGTACGCCGTAGCCATTTTCTATGGCCAGCTGAATGGCCACGGAGAGGACAATAGAGAAGAGCTGGAAGAATCAGCAATCAGTTATTGCGACATCAGAAAGCATGCGCTCTCCACTGGTGTGTTATTCCAGACGGGGTGCAACAAAACTCACCAACGAAAAGATGATGACGGTGTCGTCGGCACCGAAGTTGAAGGAACAGATCCGGCTTGCGCATCTTAGGGCAACAAAAACTCCGGCAGTGATGATCATCACCAGCGACGTGATGTAGAGTTTCCATCCATGGTTGTCCGTCCCATCGGCAGGGAAGCCCATACCCTTCGGCCCCATTGTATATCGCACTTGTAGCCCTGATTACGGCTCAAGCACAGGAGACATGATTTGAGACGGCAGTAAGTACTATCTGTTTAAGCTTGTGCTTTCTATCAGACGGTGGAACTGCTCGAAGCAGCCAGCTGGTACTTGGGTAGTTGCAGATGGGTCTCGTCGGATCATCCAGCCGTGGCGATCGAATGCAGAAGCCAAGAGAGCCTCGACCGGGAAACCGGCCAAGGTAGATAAGAGAACAAGAAAAGGGGCACGTATGAATGAACCTGCTCGAGTGTGTGAAATGCGAATCACGGTCCCAATATGAAAGCAAAAGCCGGGCGCCCCCTGCTCGGAGCACAAGGGAAAATAAAAAGCCGTCGAGGAGCTGCCAAGAGATTCAAGTAGAACACATTTTTTGCGTATTACCACCCGGCAGGTCACGTCTGTAACCAGTAGGACCTGCACTAATCCTGCAGCCAGAGCGTGTCATATTTGTCCCTTTGATCTCCTTTCCCGTTTGTTCTCGTACAGACAGCGGGTGCTATTACTAATATGTCACCAACGAGGAATGCAAATGCAGGGCCTGCGGATGCAACGATGAGATGGCAAGGCTGGGGTGCTGCAGTTGGTGGAGCAGGCGTAAGACGTCCGCGAAACAACAGACTTCTGAGGTGACATTGTTGGTGAGATGGCTGAAGATGGCAGTAATGGAGATTCTGCCGGTAGTTTGCCCTGTCATATATGTAAAACACATGTCGAGTAACGTATTCATGTGCAAAAGCAGTATATTAACGTGCAGCAGTGCCTGAAGCAGGTACGCAATAATACGTGCCTTGTATCAAAAGGCGTGAAACAGCGGAGTTCTGACCAGGCATCCCCAATCATTGCACAAGTTGTGCCTTGAATCCGCAAGAGGATACGGAGAGTTCATGTGGCCCGTATTACTCACTCTGCCAGAGATATAAAACCCTCCCGGAAACCCGCTTCTGCCTCCAACATGCATGCACCTGCTTCCCCCTTATTCCTTCAGTAAATTGTTTTACTAGTATAATCGACACGCAGCCGCCTTCATGCCTGTCATGCCACGCAGTCGAGTCTAAGAGTTCCATGCCCCGTGCCCTGGTTTACATGCAGCAGCGCATCGTCGAACCCTCAAAGATGTTCCGATGAACGCTTCCGCTCCCGTCTACGCGAAGCCATGTGTAGAGTACGTGTCAGTTGCTAAACTGCTTGCAGCCCGTCGTCGCTGTTCACCTTCTGCTGGCGGAACTCAGCGGTACTTCCGCTACATCCATGCAAAGCAAACGCACAACCAACAACATCTCCACTCCGCCCCCCCCGCTATCCCGCCGTTCCGTCCCGTAGGAAAAGAAACTGTTGGCTGGCGAAGAGATGCCAACGAAAGAAACTGAGCAATCGCTCTTAAGATCTTGCTTCGAAAAAGATGGCACGATTTCCTTTGAAGCTTGCCGGGACAGACGTCTCTCGCTTCTATGATGTTAGGGGGGCAATCACTCTCGCCTTGCTTTGTCGGAATCGTGCTGTATCGTGTCTCTGCGGATGAGCTAAGTTTATCGCCAACTTAAATTCTTTCTGACAGTTGCTCCGAAGGACTCAGGAAACGACGAGGGCAGCTTCAGTTGTGCGCTAGTAGTTGGATATATCCTGGCAGTGACCACTTCGTGGGCCGGTTATGAACACCGAAACCCGCTCGGTACATGCAACGGACCCGGCACCTGTACACTATGGTGATGGTGCCGCGAACCCTGTGTTTTCGTCTTTGACTTCAGGTTAGTTTAGCGAAGTGACAGGAACCATAACGCGCTGTACGGAAAATGAGGACAGTAGGTTTTCAGAGAGCACAGATGCTGTTTCCTTGCTCAACTGTAGTACCTACGACTCGGAAGAGACGGCCTCAACCCATTAACACGCTACCAGATGACATATGCCCTTGGTCTTCACATTCATATGACTGGGGGGCCAAGTTCGAATGGTTCATTGATGGCCTCAGCGATGCTCCGATGCCGAGCATACCGGCTTGAGCCTGTCCGAGTACTGATTGAACTATTAGTTGTCATTATCCTCAACGACGAGAGTGCTGGAGAAATGAATGATCCCCTACTGCCTTGCCTCTATCTGGAGTTGGTCTGGGCAGGGGCCATACGACCGTCGCATCGCTTTCAAAGCTGTGGACAAGTTCCAGGATGGAACCTTACAAACATGCCTCCGCTTCCCGGCATGGGACACCAGCCAGCGGAAACAAGGCCCATTTGAGCAGTTTGAAGAGCAGGGACAAAGTTCTTCAGTTGAAGACACCAACTGCTTTCTCGCTCTGTAATACTCTACTAATTAGACATGATCCCATGGCGGACATTTGAAGGCATGCAACCGTACCTCTATCATCAGGAACATCTTGTTCCTTATTATCATGGTTCAGCTCTCTCTTCGCTTCACATCTATTGCACTCCATCCCAGAACAATCGATTCGTAATTTCTCGACCACAACTTGATGACCTCTCAGCAGGGATTCACCCCAAGTGGCTCGGCCAAAAAGGCTGGCCAATAGCTATTCCCATCCCTGTAAACAGGCTATAAAACTGATCCCCGGCCCATGAAGTCTCGCGTCTTCCCGCCTCAAGCCTGGAGAAGCGTTTCTGTTCGGTAACATCCTGGAGCGCGACCTCCGCAATCGCCTGAGATAATGGAGGCCCTGCTGCTTGTATTCGTGCCTGTTAGAGGTTCTATTGGCGGCATGCTTGCTGAATCGGGCTGCAGATGCGAGCATCTCGAGGCCTGCGTTGGCTGACGGCAATCAATATGGGGTTTGCATATGCAAAGCGACGTGAAATTGCGCAGGAACCGGATCCGCGCCGCATCTTGGCCCAAGGGTAACACAGGCAACAAGATTGAATACACTGGTCCGAGGACTACCGCAAAGACGATTGTATATAGATATAGTATATATATCTGTAGCTGTGCAGTTGCACACCACGCTGTTGATGCCCAGCGGCTCACCACATCTCCAGCAGCCTCGCTTTGCACGTCCCACCATGCTTCTCCTCCCAACGTCCAGCAACGCAGCCCTCATCCTCGGCGCTGCCGCCTTTGCCACAGCGTCTCCCGTGGATGTAACAAGCTCGAGCTGTGACACAAGCCGATTCCTCACCGTCTCCACGACAAATGGCCCCATCACAGGCCATCCGGCGTCCAACTCGGCCTGCGTGCTGGAATACTTGGGCATTCCGTTTGCGCAGCCGCCCGTCGGAGACCTGCGATTTGCGCCGCCTGCAAAGATCCAGTCACAGAAACCCTACGTGGCTGCCAACTTCGGCGCCGATTGCCCCTTGACGCCGTCGAAGCCCGTCGACTACCCCGGGTTCACGCCCCAAGCGCAGCAGATCATCAACTATTTCGCTTCTGCGGCGGGAACTCCCCAGAGCGAAGACTGTCTCACTCTCAACGTCTGGGCCAAGACGACGCAGATCTCATTAACATCGAAGAAGCCCGTCTCGGTCTTTTTCTACGGCGGCAGTAAGCAATAACCCTGATTGCTTTATCGATGAAGGTCATAGATACTGACAACAAGAGCAGGATTCACCATTGGAAACACAGACAGCCCATTCTATTCGGGCAAATACTTTGCCGACGCAGAGGACATCGTCGTCGTCACGGTCAACTACCGGCTCAACATCTTTGGCTTCCCGGGTGCCCCTGGCGAGACACAGAATCTCGGGCTTCGGGATCAGCGAGCAGCCGTCGAATGGGTTCGCGACAACATCAGGCAGTTCGGCGGCGATCCCAGCAAAATCACAATCTCTGGCCAGTCTGCCGGAGGAGTCGCCGTCGACTATTGGACCTATGCGTATCAGGAGGATCCCATCGTCAACGGCGTCATTGCGCACTCGGGCAACGTCTTTAGCTTCCCTGTGAATGCCGCCGGCGTTCCTGAGAAGAACTGGAATACGGTAGTGGCTGCTGTCAACTGCTCCTCTGCTGGCGATGTCATGGCTTGCATGCGCCAGGCTGACTGGCAGGCCATCAAAGTCGCTGCAGCAGGCATCAAGCCCACGCCGAGCAGCAGCGTTTTGCGATCGATTCCGGCCTTCTACCCGATGCCAGACGAGGAGGTCGTCTTCTCCGACTATCTCACACTGACAAGCTCAGGCAGCTTTGCAAAGGTGCCCCTCCTGCTCGGAAACAACAACAACGAAGACGGCTACTATCGCATCCCGGCGTTCGCATCCGGTATTGTGCCCACCGCCGACCAGGTCACGTCTTTCTTGCTCGAGTCCTTCACCTGCCCCGTGGCCCACCAAGCCGGTGCCCGTCGCGATCACGGAGTTCCGGCCTGGGCGTACCGCTACATGGCCGACTGGGACAACACTCGCCTTTATCCGACCAGCGGCGCCTACCACGGCGTCGATCTGCACATGATCTTTGGGGCGTCCGCGGACGTCAGCGGATTGCCCACGACTGCGGACCAGAGGAGTCTGACGAAGCTGATGCAGCACGCCTGGTTTTCGTTCAGCAACGACCCGTCTTCGGGACTCAGCGGCATTGGATGGCCTCAGTTTGATCCGGAAGCTGCCTCGTTGATTGTTCTAGGGCAGAATAACGAGCCCACAGCCCAGTTTGTGTCTCCGTCGCAGTTCGATCTTGCTTGCCCGAATGTTACGTTGGCGGGAGTGGGAGCGGCTGTGTCCGCGGTCGCTGAAGCGATATCGCTGCCACAGTAGATACACACCAGTAGTAGGTGACTATGGCTCAAGGCTAAGAATAACGAATGATATGAGTTACGCCAGCTTTGAGGGATTGATAACAGATGTGGTTTCCAACGACTAATAACGGAGGGCTTTTCTCCACCATAGCTATCCAGTTTGATGAGTGCTGTCATCGCTGTCTGGTCCTATTGGTTCGAGCTAAGCCCACGATACACAATTACTACCGGCATTGATGAAAGGCAATCTTGGCAATCAAAGTATTCGATACACGGCAGCTTATATCTGATGGTCCTTGAAGTGTTACAGAATTGCCGAAGCCGTGAGAGAGAGGCGCATACACCCGGTTTTGAGAACCATGACAGTCGTCACCAATTGATGATCATCGTATACGGGCTTTTTGACCTCTTTATTCGGACGTCAAAAGAGAACGAATCGATAATTGCCCGCTGAAGTAAAGAATGAACCTGCAGTTCGTGTAATGTCAGCCTCGTCCCACGAGCAGAAGCTGTCATGATCAACCCCTCACGGCACCTGTTATGTAACTTCACATCTCCCGAGATTCCTCTCCACTCTCAAGTACAATCTACCTGTCAATTCTTCAACAGTCATTATCGTATGTTTAGTACTATCGCGCCCGGGTATTGACGGGCACTTCAACAACCACTGAGCTGCAATGCGCGATATCTGACCTTGGCCATGACATAATTAATACCCACCGTGAGATTGAGGGGTAATAACCTTTCGACATCCTGAGCTTCCGGTTCTTGATCTTTCCCCTCCTCTCTTCTCTTCTTCTTCCTTACGATTCAAATCTTCTTCTGTCTACAGATTGTTCAAGTTCCATCACAACCCGATCCCAACACAAAAAACAATTCCGGTACGAGGCTTGCCTCCGAGGAGCCATGTCACTTGTCGCAATGGAACTATCCAGTCATCGAGGTAAAGTAGACTGAGCAAGCATCCGGGTGTTCGACCTGCCCTATTATGCTGTCCTCTATCCATAAAACACTCGCTTGTGGTCGACCATGAGCTCTCACATTGGTGTTGGATACGAGACGCGGCATAGTAGAGCAGGTTGATCTGAGAAATACCGGCGAACTTGATCTGGATAATACCAGCGAAAGGATCTGCTTCTTGGGCTTTCCCCCCTACTTCCCCCAATCAAAGGCGTGCAGACTAACCCACGTAGCTTTTTGCTCGATCCTCCAACATGTCGACGGATAAGATCACGTTCTTGGCCAACTGGTCAGATTTTATCCTCGTCTATTGGCTAAGTGATCAACAGGGTTAACACAAAGACAGGCACGCTACCCCGTACCACGCTCCCGTGTACCTCGCTCAGGCGAAGGGATACTTCAAGGACGAGGGCATCAAGGTTGCTCTTCTGGAGCCCAATGACCCCAGCGTGTGTACCGCCTCCCAGATTGTTTCGTCAACATAGACTCACCCTTAATGATAGGATGTCACCGAGATCATCGGATCCGGCAAGGTGGACCTCGGCTTCAAGGCCATGATTCACACCCTTGCTGTAAGAAGGATCTTTCTACTTGATATATGTGCGCATACTTACGCACAACCACTATAGGCAAAGGCCCGTGGCTTCCCAGTGGTGTCCATCGGCAGCCTGCTCGATGAGCCATTCACGGGTGTCATCTACCTCAAGGAGTCCGGCATCACCACCGATTTCCGCTCCCTCAAGGGCAAGCGCATCGGCTACGTGGGCGAGTTCGGCAAGATTCAAATCGACGAGCTCACCTCCCACTACGGCCTCACCCCAGCGGACTACACCGCCGTCCGCTGCGGCATGAACGTCTCCAAGGCCATCATCAGCGGCGAGATCGACGCTGGCATTGGTCTGGAGAACGTCCAGATGGTCGAGCTCGAGGAGTGGCTTGACAAGCAGGGCCGTCCCAAGACGGACGTGCAGATGCTCCGCATCGACGAGCTCGCCGAGCTGGGCTGCTGCTGCTTCTGCACCATCCTCTACATCGGCAACGAGTCCTTCATCGAGAAGAACCCTGAGAAAGTCCGCGCTTTCCTCCGAGCCGTGAAGAAGGCCACTGACTTCGTGCTGGCCGACCCCAACAAGGCCTGGGCCGAGTACGTCGATTTCAAGCCCGTCATGGGCACTGAGCTCAACCGCAAGATGTTTGAGCGCAGCTTTGCCTACTTCTCCAAGGACTTGAAGAATGTCCAGCGCGACTGGAACAAGGTGACCAAGTACGGTCAGAGACTGGGAGTGTTGGATGAACAGTTCAAGGCCAACTACACCAATGAGTTTCTCACCTGGGAGCTTGAGGCCGATTCTCAAGACCCGACCGGTGACCAGAAGCGCATGGTCGAGTTGCAGTGCGATGTTGCCTGCCGAGGAGGCTTCCGCCGTCTCCCAGCTGTCATCAAGGCTTAAGTGTTGCAAGTCAAATATGCCCTCGGCTTAGGTGACCGAGGGGGTTATATGCAGACTGCTGCTTCACTCATTGCCGAAGCAGTCTGTGGATCTGGCATCACCACGCCCATTGCGCTCAGTCGCTCATTAAGCTATCTAGCTACGCCAGGAATCCAAATATAAAAAAATTGAATGCCGGATAACAATAGTTACTGTGTTCCTTGTGATGACATTATGGGTTTGTATTACATTCATCTCCTCCGGGCCTATAACACCATGGGCCCCTACAATGGCTACTTCGTCCAGTCCAATTTGTGGAAGTTCCATCTCCGTCACTGGGAAGATGAAGCATCAAGGTAGAAGAAGCGATTTTATTCGAGCTAGTGCACTGTTATACCTTACGAAACGAAGAGTTGAATCCAGTAAACTCAGTTCTTGACATTTAATCTGCATGCTGTCGTAACTCATATCTACTAGTATGAACTCGGCATCGCAAACCTCTCCTCCGCTCCTTTCCTGTCTTCAAGAATAGCACTACAATACGCAGCCATATGCTTCCCCCAAGTCCAACCATAGAAGAGGACGTAAACTACCACGCAACCTTCGCAACAGGCCCGTTAGGAAACAACCGAACAATCAGCTTTCGCACCTCATCCAGCATCAAAATACCCAACGCCAGAGGAATAGGAATCAACCAAAACTCAATAGGCACAGGCGCCGTCAAGAACAAGCTCTGAATGCCCGGAACCTCGGTGACGAAGACTGCAATGGCGAGACTGATCATCATGCTGAGCAGCAGCCAAGGATTGCGGCGCTTCTCCGTGAACGGATCGGCCTGGACAATGCTCAGGCGACGGTTCCGCACCGACAGGATGTTGCCCCATTGGAGGATGACGAGGGTGACGAAGTAGACGCACTGGCCGGTGTAGTTGAAGTGGTTCAGCTGATCCTGAGTGTACCCGTGGAAACCCTCAGAGTAGCCCTCGAAGAGGAAGAAGAGCTCGTGCACGGGGATGCCGGCCTTCTTCCACATGTACAAGAAGAACATGGAGTGAGCGCAAAGCGTCTCAGCGGTACCAGTAAAGAGATACGCCTGGCCGTAGATCTTGAAATTGATGAGGTGGTCCTTTTTGTGGTTCCGAGGGGGCAGCGACAAGAGGTCAAACTCTTCCTTTTCCATGATGAGCGAGAGGGACAGGAACAGATCCGTGAAGACGCAGATGATGATCATGAGGAACGAGCTGAGAGGCAAGGGGACGCCAAAGAAGACGTTGAGGAGGACGGGCCAGATCTCCGACCAGCTACCGGCGGGAAGAAGGTATGCAATGACCTTTTGCAGATTCTGAAAGACGAGGCGACCAAGACGGATCGCGTCAATGATGCTGTCAAAGCGATCCAGTAACACGAGATCAGCCGCCTCAATAGCAACGTCGCTCCCAGAAACGATGGCAACGCCCACATCCGCAGCACGCAGAGCCGGCGCGTCGTTCACTCCATCACCAGTGACAGCCACGACATTGTCCCTCTTGCGGAACTCCTCCACAATGCGCAGCTTCTGCTCCGGCGTCGTGCGCGCAAAGACAATCTCCTGGTACTCGCACACAATGCTCCAGTCGTCGTCGGAGAGACTGCCCAGGCTGTGGCCCTCGAGAAGGAGGCTGCGACACTCTCCGGCGATGCGGGCGCCGTTGAGCTTCTTCGCCGCGTCGACGTCGCTGCTGTTGGCTTGGACGACGGCGATGGTGTCGGGGTCCCGCTCGCAGGTGAAGATGCCGACGTTGCGGGCGATGGCGGCGGCCGTCAGGCCATAGTCGCCGGTGACCATGAAGAAGCGCGTTCCCGCGCGACGGCACTCTTTGACAGTGTCCAGCGTCTCAGGGCGAGGAGGATCGGTGATGCCCAGGATGCCGACAACAGTGAGGTCGTCCGTGGCGCGGCTGGTGACTTCGTCGCTGAAAGCATTGGTGCCCATGGCATCTTGAACAATCATCTTCTTCATGCAGAGCACAATGACGCGCTCGGCATTCTTGGAGAGCTTGTCCTGGTACTCTTTGAAAGCAGTCTTCGCCGCAGCATCAAGAGGCATGACGCAGTTTGATTTGCGAGACCAGTAGGCTGAGCAGGTGGGCAAGAGGACGTCAGGGGCTCCCTTGACGAAGACCTGAAACTCGTTGAGCGCCTGGCTCTCCGAGGGCATTTTGTACATGGTGAGCATCCACTTGTTCTTGGAGTTGAAGGGGATCTGGAAGACCTTGATCGGCTGTTCTGCTTTCTCGCTGTTCAAAGGAGCTTCAGCCGAAAATCGAAGAACGGCGCCGTCCGTAGCGTTGCCCTGGATGGTGCGAGCAGCGACAGGGAGGTGAAGAGTGGACGGCTCAAAGGTGGCGTCGTTGCACAGAGTAGCTGCCTGATGAAGCTTCTTCACTCCAGCGTCGACGTGGTCGCTGGAGAGGCTGCTGTAGATGTCCTGCATGGCAATGGGCTCGTCGACAAAGGCAACAGAGTTGACATGCATCTGGTTCTGCGTCAAGGTACCCGTCTTGTCAGAGCAAATGACATTGACGCAGCCCAGAGTCTCGACCGTGGAGAGACCCTTGGGCAGGACATTCGTCGCCTTCATGCGTCTCGCGACCATCATGAGAGTCAGCGCAACAGCGACAGGCATGCCCTCGGGGATGAAGGCTACCACACAGCCCATGACGTTGTTGAGCATGGCCACGACGTTCATGTAAGCCGGGTGATCCCTGCGCAGCCATCCAAGCCATGTGAAGAGGATGAGCAGAGCGAGGACAAGCGTCAGCGCGACAATGATGTACACGAAGCGCGTAATCTCTCTCTGGATCAGCGTCGGCCGTTCCTTGGCAGAGGCAGTGGCAGTGGCGATCCGGCCCATGACGGAGCGAGGACCGGTCAGGACAACGACGCCCACTCCGCTGCCGTTGACGACGAGGGTGCCCATGAGAGCAATGTTGCGGCTCTCGAGGAAGTTTTCGTCCGTCTGGTCGACCGAGGCCTCAATCTCGTCCGACTCTCCGGTCAAGACGGCTCGATCGAAGCGGAGGTCGCCGGAATGGCTGATGATGCGCATGTCCGCTGGCACCTTGTTGCCGATATTCAGATGGACGACGTCGCCGCTCACGAGCTCAGTGGCACGCAGCTTCATCAGCTGACCATCGCGAAGCACCAGCGCCTCGGAAGGCAGAAGATCGGTAATGGACTTCATGGTACGCGAGGTGGACCAGTCCTGAAAGGCAGAAAAGCTCGCCTGAAGCACAATGACGATGATGACGAGGATGGCCAGAGCCAGGTTCGTGGGCGAAGGCGGGTTGCTCAGGGGCCGCCAGCAGATGAAGAAGATGACGACGCCCACCCACAGGACGGAGCAGAAGCCGCCAAAGACGTACGTGAGGATCTTGCGGAGGTAGTTGGTCTTGGGATGAGGAAGCGTGTTCCTGCCATCGCGCTGGAGCCTCAGCGCGGCGGCACTCTCCGACAGGCCATCGTCCTGAGAGACGTTGAGCTGCTGGCAGAGCTGGTCGACCTGGAGCTCGTGAAAGGTCAAGTTGGAAAAGTATTCCTCCTTGTTCTCCTTCCGAGGGGCCTTGATGTCGGCCAGGTTATCAGATTCGACGTTGCGAGACTCGGAGACGTGAATGGACAAGGTGCGGTATTCAATCTGGAGTCCAGAGTGCGGCGAAGCAACCCGTTCGTGTTGACTACTGGTCGAGCCACGGCTCATGGACCTCTTTCGGTACAAGGAGCGAGGCTGGTCGTGGTCGAAGGCGTTGCTGCGACCGGCAAGGTCTGCAGGGTGGGAGGCATCGTCAAAGGTGATGCGGAGGTCGACGTTGGGCTCTTTTTCGTCCGGCTCGGGAGTCATGTTTTCAGACATGATGGAAGAGGAGGATGGCTCAACAAAGGTGTGAGAAGGCAAAGGGTAATGAAGTTCAACAAAAGTTTGATTTTTCAGAGCCTTTATGTTGCAGAAGAGAGCAGAAGAAGAGACAGCTGCGTATAAGCCAACGAGACGTCCTTCGACAGCAAGTCCTAGTGCAACGAGGAAGCTGATGAAAGAAAGGAGATGAACGATCCCAACAAGCAGCGAGAAGGCAAGAGGCTTTATGCAGGCAGGTCAACAAAAGCCAATCACTCGGGGGCCTAACCCAACTACGATAAACTTTCAAAGCTTGACCATCGAAACGAACGAGGGCTTCGGCTGCTATACCCTTCCGGCCCTCGTTGCCATATGCTCTGCACCAAGGGCTGGGGCAGGGCTGTGATATCTCTCTGCCCGGCTTACAACTTGACCTATCAACTGTAACGCCGGCCACAATACACGCGCGATACCCGGCACCTCGCGCAGACACATGAATATTGGCCAAGTATCACATCTGTATGCATCGGCGTATGGGTGCCATGTCCTCGCCCACGCCCAGAGACTGGCTGAGAATAGGGGGGCGTGTCGAAAGAGCAAGGAAAACCGCTGTACAGAGCCAAAATATTTCCCGCATACAGAAGGCAACAATACGATGGCCGAATTTCTTCCCTGTTGGTTTGTGTTTGCCGCCCAGCTTACTGGAACCAGCTAGCAAGAGGGCATACATAATTCATAAGGGGGACGAAGGTTCGAGGCGTGAAGGCAAAAAGTGAAAACTATCATCCTGATCTGGGATGGCCTCAACAAAGAAAGGGGGGAGCCCGTACAAGGCAGCTAATGTAGTTCTGCGTCTCAGCCTGTATGTATACTCCATTCCTCTTACAAGCATTGAATAAACTGGATCTCACACAACCAACGTCCTGTCCTGCAATACACGTATCACGGCACAGACAGAACGAGGAGATACAAGTCCTCCGTACAAGGTACATCCGCGTGCCTCGCCATCATACAGTGCGCTGCTTTCCCGTCAAAAGCCCCGCTACCCGCGATTGGCCATGGCCGGAGTGGATATGCAATTGTATGAGGGAATTTCGACAACTCTGCTGTCCCCCTGCCAGGGCGAGCCTGTTCTTGAACCTCTTCTCTGTCCTCCGCTATTGCATCACGGCGGGACATGGGCTTACCGCATCAAGCATCGCTTCGGGAGGCGTGAAGCTTGTGAAAGTGCAAACCGCGAATCCAGCCCAGGTGAAGAATCCAGAACGCAGCGGATCTTGCAGCTTTGGTCAGAGTAAGAAAAGAAGAGTGTGGTTACGAAAGTAAAGTACAGAAAACTTTTCATTCGTCTAAACATTTCCCTCAGCTTTTCCTGCTCGTCTCCAGCAAGCCAGTTGCCCGCGCAATAACTCCCCGAAGCCGTGCCTCTCTATCTGTCCGCCCATTTACACTCTCACCCCATTCCAGTAACCCGCATGCACATATATGTAACCTCGCTACAAGGGTGCAGACCCCGCAGTATGCAATGCGCAAATGCCACGTCCCCCTCCTCGTTTTGCCATTTTGCCATTCCGCAGTACAGAGAGGTCAGAAGGCCCCCCACCACCTCCTCCCCCTTTGCCCATCGCATCTTTCACCTCTTCAAAACATGGTATACTCTATCTCACCCTCGCGGTGCCGGTAGTTAGTATACCGAAGGCTTCTTTGGAGTCTCCTCTGAGAAATCTGCCTTGAAAAGAGATGATAAATGCCGCATTTCCTACTGCTAATCATTATCCTGTCTTGTTCACTTACTCCCTTTGAGTCTGCAGGGACTTGGAGCATCCCATCCTGCCCTATCTTCGCTTCACCCATATCTTCCCTTCGCGTACGACAAACTCTGCTCACCTCTTCGGCTGTGAATGGCTTCTCTTCATGTCTAAATCACAGAAGCTATTTTCTTTATTCCATACTACGAAAGGTTTCATAACTACGTAGCCCGGCGTGCATCGCGCTTGAGCATGATACATAGAAACAACGTCCTACATGAATTCTTGTTGTTTTCTGAACAGCCATGCAGAGATTCGTATCATCTCCTATCACAGCAGGACGTGGTGTCACTGAGATAAATAACAAATATTGCTCTTATATGCCTTCATCACGCCGGTGAAGATTGCTCACGCTCCTCTGCACTGCACTGCTTACAGAACCTAATGTCATATACATTCATCATACTCAAAATACCGCAATTCACAAGACAGCAATCCACCCTCCCCAAGTCAATCCAAGTACCACTATCAACTCGAATCAACTATCAAACTTAGACAACTCTCAACATGCAATTTCAAAATAAAAACGCCCTCCATCACAAAGACCACACCAACCTACCAATAAACCCCCTCTCTATCACAAACTAAAGAATCACAGCCCTACCATCCTCGTAAAAAAGAGCACATACCATCCGATCCACCCGCCCAAAATCCTCGACTGCATCAAACGCACGCACCCTTGGCATCGTGACCCCATCGACAACAGGACCCCGGCACCTCTGAGTGGGGAAGGCTGTCGCACACCTGTTCGGCATCTTCCGGGCCTTTTCATTGGACCGACGGCCAAGACACACTCAAAAGACACGATGACACCCGTCCAAAGGCTTCCTGGTAGAACCCCCAACACATAAACTAGAAGAAGTAGAAAGAAGATTTTATGAGAAAGGAATGAATGACTAGGTTGTATTAAATAAGTATATATTCAACTATGGAAAATCCTGGGTATTTTCTCTCTTCTTCTTGCTTCTTTTTTTCTTTCAAACTTTGGTAGACTGTAGCGCGTGAAGGGCATATATAACGAGTGGTATCCTTCATCAATATGTAAAAAAAACACCATAGGCCTCATATGCACATGCAAGTTCGTCATGAGCCTAAATCTCAACAAATAAACAAAATCCCTCCCTCCTACTTTCCAACGCCATCACGCTTTTGTTCTGCCCTACACCCCAAAATTAAGGAGACACAGGCCGAGTCTCACCGTCGGCAGAGATCTTGGTAATGACCTCGGAGTCGACGCCAGGACCGTGGGACACCTCCTCGTCGTGGTGAGTAACAGCGTAGTCGTCCTCGCCGCTGAGCTCCTCGAGCGTCTTGCGGGCGGTCTCGGGGATGAAGATGGTGGTGAAGCAGCCGAGGAGCATGAACAGGGCGTAAATCTCCAGCACGTGGTCCATCCAGGGGGCGGCGTTGTCCTTGGTGGCGCCGCGGGTGCGGAGGGTAGCGATGGCGCCCTGGCCGATGATGGAGCCGATCTTGCCGGAGGCGGCGGAGATACCGTGCGAGGTGGAACGGTAGCGGGTGGGGAACACCTCACCGGGGACGACGAAGGTTGTGGTGTTGGGGCCTGTATCTTGTTAGCTTATCATGCGATATAACATCTGATACTGCTCATAAATGCTCACCGAAGTTGAAGAAGAACTGGGCGAGGACGTAGATGGCAAGGAGGCCGTTGGAGCTAATGTGGTTGTAGGCGAAACCCATGACGATGAAGAGGACGGTCAGAATGGCGAAGCCACCGAACTGGATCGTCTTGCGGCCGAGAATGTCAATGGTGGCAACGGAAACCCAATATCCGGGAACGGCACCGGCAAGGACAATGACAATGTTGCCGACGGCGGTGTTGTACAGGTAGCCGTAGACGTCGTCGACTCCCTTGGTGGAGTATCCAATGACGTTGAGGATGGTGCCGTTGTTCAGGGAGAGACCGTAGAAGGCGACATCGAGGCAGAACCATGAACCGGCGGTGCCGAACAGGACGAGGAAGTTCTTGAGCTTGCCGTAGTGGTGGAAGAAGTCGCTCAGGCTGGCACGGGGCACCTGGAGGCTCTCCTGGGCAGCCTTGGAGGCGTTGATGCGGGCAATCTCGTCGGGGTGGCCCTCACGCTTGCCAGTCATATAAGCCTTGACATCGTCGCCGGCCTGCTCGACGTCGCGGGCGATATCGAAAGTGTAACGAGGGGTTTCGGGGATAGTCAGACGGTCTATCAAACAGGGTCAGAGAGCCATCCAAGAACCTGTCAAATATTGTGATTCACTTACAGTAGAGGGCAATGCAGGCGGGAACGGCACCGAAGCCGATCAGGGTGCGCCACATCTTGTCGACGGCCAGCTGGCAGACACCGCTGCACTCGGCAATGGAGGCGGCAGAGGACAGTGAGCCCTTGAAGCCGAGGGTGACGAACAGCATGACGAGGGCAGCAGTGAGCTGGCCGAGACCCTGCATGGCAAAGACGGCGCTCATCATGGCACCACGCCACTTGGTTGAAGCGAACCTGTGATAGTATTGTGTTAGGAAGGGGCCCCTTTTCTCCCCTCTAGTCTTCCGGGAGAGGGCAATATGATAGAGCACGGAAGACTTACTCGGAAGTGATAATGGAAGAGAGGGGATAATCACCACCAATACCGATACCCATAATCACACGCCAGAAGATGATGAGGCCAATGACATCGCAGGCAGGAGAGCCGCTGGTCAGGGCCTGGCCGATGGTAGCAAAGATGATGACAATCAGTTCGAGACCGTACATGCGCTTACGACCGACCAAGTCGGCCGCGATACCGAATCCAACCTGGCCGATGACGGTACCGGCCGAGGTGGCGAGCTTGATGGCGCTGTCGGACGAGGTGGGCATGCTGCCCGTGCCCTGGTAGAAGACGATGCCCAGCATGATGGTCAACATGGAGGCCGTGAAGATGTCGTACGAGTCCGTGAAGAAACCGACACCGGCAACGACGATGGCGCGGACGTGGTACCAGCCAAAGGGGGCCTTGTCGATCTCGGCGAGGGCCAGGCGGCGGCGCTCGTTGAGATCCTGGACGTGGAGGAAGTCATTGTTGTAGTTGTGGTAGGCACTGTTGCCTCCGGCAGTCTTTCCGAAAGCCATTGTGAAGGCTGGAAAAGGGTTCTTTATGCTTTTGTATGATGAATAGGAGAAGAGAAGAAGAAGGAGAAGTAGATAAGGTTTAAGGAGGGACAACAACACAAGCTCTATATCAACCCTTTTCCGAAAAGAAGTGTAGATCTACAAGACAAGGGGGGTCTTGAACGCCTGTTGTTGAGAAAACAAGACAACAGAGAGAAGAGGAAAGAAGAAACCCAAGCAATGGCTACCGACAGGCCCAGGGGTGTTATATACAGCAGTACCAGGGCCGCCACGATTCACGTCTGCTCTCAAGGAGGGTTAATTTTAATCTTCTTCAGGCAAACTTGGCCCATCATGGACCGAGTCCTCGGAGCCTTTTCCCAGCCCAGACGACCGAAGGGGTCAGTATAGCACCATTTGTCGCACATTAGTGGCTTGCAGACTTGCCTCTGCGAGCGGGCCAAACCGATAATCGCAGACGCGAGTGCAGCCTCAAACGGAGATGCAGGGACAGGGCAGAACAGAGGATCAGGCACCCTGACGCTATCTGGGACTGGCCATTGGCTGCAGATGCTTGTCGGGCTGATGATGAAGAGAAGCCCCAGAGCATGGGCGATATCGTGTGGTGGTGGTTGTGGTTGTGGAGGATCGACCAATGGCGAGCGGCAGGCCCAGCACGTTGCCTCGATCAAGCCGTCTGATACGGGGCCTGCATCGCTCCACCCTGGCATCTGCATACACTCAAAGTATCAAATGGTATCCTCCAGCTGGGAATCTCCTCCGGCCGCCTGTCGACGCAGCCATCAATGTTTTCAGCGGGCTTCTGGAGAACCGTCCAACGCCATCATGGGTCCTGGCTATCGCGGCACGTTCTGCAGCAGAGCCATTGACTCCGGCCTGCCCTGAACGACGTGCAGCTGAGGATCGTGAAGCCCTGTGCCTCGGCCACCCGCGCCGTCGTCCTTAGTCTGGAGACCGAACCTGTCCCTGAGGCGGGCGGCCCCGGTTCGGTTGCCCGTTTGGGACACCGATGAGGCCCCCGGATCCGATCCGTCCTGAAGCCCTATTCGCCTGCTCGGCCCTCTGTCCACTTCCATCTCCAGCCTCACTTGAAGCCTCTCCGCGCACGATGCCTGCATCCTCCCACGTGCTCGCATCGAGCCTCTGCGGGTTTCTGCCTGCGATTCAGCTGCAAGACGGCGTGATCATCCAATGCTGTGAAGGCATTTCATCGTGCATGCTGCTGATCAGTTCCAAATTCACGCAGAGCCATAGGGGACCGCCACCCTTGCGTCTTGTCAGCCCATGGCTTGCCCCCGGCTGCAGTGAGTAGCTTTATTTTCAAGGTTGATTTTTACCTTGACTCTGAGTCTGAGTTTTTTCTTTGTAATACTCCGTTTGCCCATTCTTCAACCGTGAGAAGGGGGGAAAGAGAAAATACATCAGTTCGAATTAGTTCAGCTTGTTCCCGTACTCGAATCATCCCTTCATTCTCAGCACTAGCAGCACAACCGAGGGGCGCATCTGTTTTTTTTCTTCAGTCAGCTTCTCGCAACTGAGCCTCACATTCAATGTCACTCACCACGCACACGCAAACCCAAACCATGGCAGACAAGCCAAACAACGGCCCCGACGCCGCCAGCGATGCGCCAGACGGCGTCCTGCCGCTCTCGTACAGAGTCGTCACGCACGACAGCGAGAAGCAGGAGGCGCTGCGCCTCGTCGCCGACAGCATCGCTCAGCAGCGCCAAACCGCCTCGGCCGCCATCATCTTCCACCCGCTGTGCCTCGCAGGCCTGCTCGCCATGTGCGCCGGGACCTATCACCAGTACCAGCACGCCGGATACGGAACCGTCATGACGATGCTCTCCGGCGTCGTCATCGTCTATCTGTCGTTTGTTCGGTTCTACACCTCGGGATACATTCAGCGCGCGGAGTCGTTTCGGTGGAGGGATTTCATCACCGGGCCCGACGGCAGGGAAGACACTGTCATTGCCGCAGTCTATGGCAAAGATGTCATCGGGGTCCTGGTGTTGAGGTTGGAGGGAGATGAGAAGGATTTAAAGAAGAAGAAGAAGGGCGGCGGCGCTCAGGCCGGCAAAGAGGGTCGAGGCATCATCCGCGCCTGGACCACCAAGCTGCGATACCGAGGCATTGGCGTTGGCTCTGATCTCCTTCATTTCGCCGTTCAGACGACATACCGTGCGCTCGGCCCGGACGCCAGCGTCGAGTTTGACCCGAACCACCCAAACAGCACACATCCGCTCCCCGGCATGTTTCTTCGACCCTTCAAGAGGCGCCAGCAAAAGGCCGCCAATGCGTTGAGGCAAGCATTGAACCACCATGGAAACCCGGAATAGAGCGCATTTGCCCAGGCATCTTGTAATATAGTAATATTAGTATAGAAATAATAGTAATGACCTTTGCGCTTTCAACTCCTCAAAGTACCGGGAAAGGCAACCTTTCAGCAGAGTGACTCCCTAAATTTACATACTACATGTAGGTAGGCAGTGATGCTCGACTACTCGTATATTGCCATCATGCTTCTTTGCACAGTCTCTCTCTCATTCCTTACAGCGCGAACATCACCGGCACTAACAAGGCGTCAATCAAACCCGTATAGCACGTTGCACGGCTCATTAATCTAGCAATTAGCAACTAGGCATGCGACACAGCGGCTAGATAGTTGCGCTATGGCGGCCAAGACACTTGGCGATGGGAGTACTAGCATGCCGATATCTTCTCTCAGACAAAGACGACATATCCGGCGCATTCCCGGCTTTATTCTTTTCTTTTTCTTCTTTTTCCTCTCCATCGTTCGAGTTCTAGACAAATTCCGCGTTCGTTAGAGCATCAAAAGGCCTCTCTTCTTGGAAAAGGATGAAAACCAAAGGCTAGATGGTGGTGGCGAGGATCAGTCGACACAGCCAAGCAAACCCAGAGCTGCAGCACGTGGGAGAACGACGGCAGCCACAATATCGAATCGCCGGATCAGACTTCCGGCCAAGGCTGCGGGCGTCGACGGGGTCTTTTGGTCAGTCTCCATCTTGGGGTCTGGTAGCTCACCCACGTGTCTTGCTTGAGAGCTGGTTTGGCGGTACCCACACCATCTCTTACTCAAGACGCGACACTATCGACGGTAACTATCAAGTGCAAAAGCTGATTATTTCCTCGTGGCCTCTTTTTCCACGTCGTATCAAGGTTGTTATCATGTCAGGCAAGCTTTGGACATTGTGAAGGGATTGGTCTTGACGTCTCGGACATTGGAACAGACGTTCAGCTCATGCGTCTCTCGACCGTTGCAGCCAGTTGCGGCGCAATAGGCCGAAGAATCAATCGTCTGACATGATGAGTATCCGGTTTCATCAGTATATTCGACAAGACTGCAACAATAGACAAAGAATGAAACGCGGAGTCCGATAGAAGGAGGAAGGTCTGTGGAGGGGTCTTCACCTCCTTCGACCGAGCACCAATAACCACGTAGTACTCAGTAAATTACGTGCAGAAGAGCTCGAGTTCTACTAGAGACACCTTAGTAAAAGATCCGAAGCGGGTTCCCAGAGCCATGTTAAGCGAAACAGTTCCCCGTACATAAAGGAAATCGTTACCCAATTGTTTCCACGATGGTTGTCGGAGCGGCTGCCGAATGGATACGACGAAATATCCCTCGCGTGCCCCATCCCACCTACCTAAACCTTGAAACTTGTTTGATGCCTCGGGTTTGGCATCTAAGCGTGATAGGATCAATACATGTCCCAAGTCTCGTAAAGCCGCCGCCTGCCGTGGTCCATTTGGTGGATGCCGTCTTAGCATGGTCTGGCTAAGGTATGCATCAAGACAACTTTCTCTCGTAACGGATAGAGCAGCCAAAGAAAACTTTGACAAGTGGCGCAATATCGAACGGGCTGTTTTAGCGCTAGAACATTGGCGTCCGTGGTTGACACAATATGCCCTGGAATTATCCCGCAGGCTGACGTTTTGGTTCCGCTGGCAGAGGACGTACTCGCATGGCTGTCGGCGCAACTGGCACAGCCGCGTGGCTGCTGAGTTTGCAGTGAGTGATGGTATGGAGAGCTGAGGCCATTCTTGTATTGGCCTGTCGGTTTTGAGAAGAGAAGGCAAGAGTCTCAGCTGTTGTCAGTAGAGTGCCAAGGTCACGTCCCAGGTGGCAATTCGGCAACAGCGTGGGCAGAGAGAATGCCAAGAAGAGTTTGAAAGCAGAGAATAGAGGCACTCCAAGCCGTACCTAGGTAGTTCATATAGGACTCATGAATCTTCTGGCTTCAGCATGCACGCAATCAGCCACCATGCCAAGCATTGCGCTCGGGACCCTCCGTCTTCTCCTGTTGCTGCATTCGTCGCCCTTGCTGGTCAACGATGCCTGTGATAGGCCGAGCAGGCAGCACTACCCAAGTCGAAGGACGCAGTTAGCGGCCACTAGATGGCTTCGCTGCCGAGCCCGCTTTTGGGGGTTTAGGGCTGGAGGTTGTGCCCTGAGACCAAATGCCATGTGGAGTGTGGGAGCTGCTTTTCTCTCCATGTCTGCGGTAGTAACCCTATGCGTGATTGACGTGTCTGAGCTGCAAATCCCTCGTAATCTCTCGTGTTGATGTAGACCGAGACGAGTTCAGAGTGCCACTCGTACTCGGACGTGTTCCTCCAAGGAGCATGAAGGCAGACGTCAGACCAGAGGAGGAGGCCAAAGGCAGCTCGTCGAGTCCCTCTGCAACTCGCTTCAGGGGGGGCATGGGCGTGTTCCTACACCAGATGCCAAGGCCTCGCTTTGTGATAAGCTCATGGCAAAGTATGGGGAGGCAATTTACTGCCATGCCAGATTGAGGCGAGGCGTGGCCGCGATCCGGTTCGACAGGGGACGAGGACTTACAAGGTTCTGCTGCAGGCATATGCAACGAGACGCAGGGATATGCGCTAATGGGGGCAAATATGCAGCTACACGCTACAGTGCTCCAGCCTCGTGCGTAATGGTCCAGCCAGTGCGGACTCCCGCCAGTCGGCACTGGGCTTCCACCTCGCCAAAGTCGCGGGTACGAGCTGGGGGTCGCTGACGGGCATGGCGTAAGGGCTGCAGAGAGCGGGCAAGCTTCCACCGGCTGGTCCCCAGAGCGAAGTGTTCTCTTGTTCTACCACTTTTACGGCCGTTTGTATGTAGTATTTCGTATGCTGTTCTATACCAAGATACATTATGCTGCTTCACATAAACATTGAGCGGTCAGCATGCAGGACAGCGACGTGTATAAGCCGTACAATTGCATGTATTTGCAGGCTTTTCTATACATCTCATACAATACATGTATCCCGTGGCATCATGTAGAAGCAAGACCGCAGGCAAACGAGCAGCTCTACAACTACCGCGTATACTCAATGGCGTATATCAATTACACGTATAGACTGCCCTATAGATAAAATACATGTATCGAAAGCCGCCAAACTACAGACATGGAGTAACAATGTTCACCAATACAAGTCCACCAGTCCACCACTTTGCCCGACTTACACGAGCACCAGCTCCTCATTCCAGTCAACGGCACATCGACCGGTCCAGACACGGTTAAACCAAAAGAGCGAAGCCCTTCACCGCAACAAACCAGACAGGAAACCGGCCAGCACAGCCCTTGCCCGGCCTCAAATCCAAATGCCTCATACTATATCACAGCTCTGCTCACAAGATAGCAGGACGGAGGGAGGCCTCCTCAGCCAAACCAAACCGAGCACCCTGTGACGTAGGATGACCAGCTGCACGCCCAGTAACTCGCATCCAGCCCGGTCTCCTCTTCCCCCTCTTTCAATAATCCGAGAGCCTCAAACCAGCCCATTATCCAACGTCTTCTCTGCTTTGTCCCAACTTACTGCATGTGGAACTAATGCAAAAAGACCCTGACCAACTGCTGGCATCCTCTCGCCCAATCACAGACTCCGTATTTATGCATCTAGCAACTTGTTCACTCCCTCTGCCGATCCCCATACTTCCCGGCTCCTTGTTCCGCGTTTAGTGCCGTGCCTAAAAAAGCCGAATAAACAAGAAGTATGTAAATAATGGATAATGGGAATTGGGGAATTCCCAGCTCAGCAAGCCACAAGTGCCCTGAACGTATATCGCTCATACACACTGTGAGCAGAGGGTTCGTCAGCGATACTTGGTCTCTGTTATGACAAGACAAACACCAGGGCTAACCATCGCGCCCACCCAGGGTTGCCCCTACACGTCGACGCAGCTTCGACCGAAAGAAGGGGAGAACGGGGGAAAAAAAACTCAAAATTTCACGCCTCTCTCTCTCGTTTGGCGTGTTATGAATCAATCCGTTTCTCTCACTCCCTCGCCATGTCTAGGCCTCGGATGGATTCATCGCCGTGGCATGGCGCGGCTCTTAGAATCAATACCATAAATTCCAGACTTGGAATAATCACCGCTCCGCATGTTGTGATGTTTTACTTCCTGAAAGGGCAGTTCCTTGAATATCCGCTGCTCGATCAGAGAGGATAGAGGCGAAATCAAGTGCTGCTCCATCCTGAGGGAGCTGTGTAGTTGCTACCTCGCGTCCCCCCCCCCCCCCCTATTGCAAATTACGGCGGTAATAGATAGAGCCTTTTCTCTGTATCCCATTGTGTGCCCTACTTGGACACAAATTTCCCTCCCAAGCGCGTTATCCGTTTGGCCTTGTCCCTCCCTCCAATATCAGTCCCTCTCAAGACATGCCCTTCCGTCTCAGGGGGGGCAGAGGGCTCTTGGTTCTTCTTTCACCGCATCTCCGTCCAACTCATTTGCACACTATCTCTTCAGAAGCCCTTTGCTCCGGAAGGTGTAGAAAGGCAGATACCAGACTCTTACAACGGACTCTGAGCCATTGTGCCTTGTCGGTCTCTTGTTCTTCTCCTCTATTTCACTTTAGCAAAGCTACCTATTCGACGCTCGCTTGCTGGCTGTCCCTTAGACCAGAGAAGGCCGACTCTTGAAATGGCCGATCCAATCCAGAGCAATACACAACTCTTCTAGGAAGATGTAGGGGCTCATTCAAATGACTGAATTGCACAACTAAACTTCAAGCTACGAACGCTGTCTCTCCTGATTACCGTCCAGGAAAGTGCCTCCCTCTTGGAGTTGTAACGTCGGAGGCAGGTGTTCAACGAGCCCCTGTGCGCGTCGAATTCGCGAGACCTTCCATCATCGGCCTCCAAAGCGTCTCATGACATCCCCTAGCAACAGCCCCCTTTTAAGAGAGATGTTCTGAAGAGGGCAGACCTTAAGCGATATGTCTTCTCGGCGACGGTTCGAATAGGGGCAAGTATGCGTCACAAGCAAAAGAGGGTAAAGTCTGTGGGCGTCCAAGGCAATCCTTCTTCTTTCCCTTTGCTGACATTTCGCTAATCAGAATGGTGTCGGGAAAATAATAGATACGCGTCTGCTTGTCGGCCAGTTTCCAATGCTCGAAGCGACAACTCATGCAAGCAATCCCAAAGATCTCGAACGAACACTTATACAAACATTCCACATAATGAGACGCATTTCTCCTCAACAAATATTACATGACTTGAGTTGATGCTCCTCTGCGAGAATCTATAACAAACCAGATGTTCGAAACTTCACTCCTCGCTGATGGAAAGACCGACGTTCTTCTCTGGCCCCCCAAAGAGCCAGCGGTACACCAAGCTGTCATTACATCAAGCCGCAGGATGGCCCTAGCCAGGACGGCGTTTTCCTCAGCTTCGTCTTCATCGGGATCCAGATTCTGGCTCAACGGCTGTTTTCAAGTCCTTAGGGGTCTCTTTCTCATGCCGAACATCGAAATTCCACAACCTCAGCCGGACGGGGCTGACGGTGTTTGCGTTTGGCGGTGAAAGGCCTTTGCTTCGTGGTCTCCGTAAGTCTAGACATCATCAATCGCCGCCAGTGACTACCCAGTAGTCCTTGTTGTGTGGTTGGATATCAAGTCTCCGCCGCTTTCTTTCGTTTTCTATTCATTTTATAGTTTCCTAGAGCCAGGTTCATAGGTTTGAGTTCTTCTCCGTAAACAGACATACAATCCATAATCATATATCGTCTCTCAAGACAATTGCAAACTCTTCAGAATCGATCCTTCCATTGCGCAGCTCAGTCCTAACCTACCTGTACCCGCGTGACATGCTTTTTTCAAATGTGGCAAGTCAAATAACGCGCAATTTTCTAGCTGAGGTAAAGAATCCAGTCGCTACTTTACGAAGCAAAAGATAGATGTGGACACCCACCCCTAACTCATCACTTTACAGTGTTGCTATCATCTATACACTATAGCCACAGTACATATTACTCACACAAAGTGGCCAATATAAGTACGAACATAACATGATAGTAGCCAATCGTCAAATCGTAGAGGTATAAATGTCAGGTCACCAGCCCATATATGCAGATTATCCAGACAATTACATACATATACTCCAAAAATTACATAACAGGTCATCATATCCATCATGAAGAAGCAGCGTTCAACTTGGCCTGCACAACCAGCAGATCCGTCGTCACGCCGCTGGCAACAAAGTGAGCAGCAAGTGTACCCAAACAGCTCTGGACATCCTCCCTTGGCCTATTCGCCAGCTTGCCCTCGTCCAACTTGATGCTTCCGCCGCGGCTCAAGACAACCAAGGTCGGGTTTGCAATGTCTGATTCGTTGGCGCTGGGAGCGGCGTTGGCAAGGTTGAGCAGCTCCTCCACAGTAGGAGCGACGGAAAGCTTCTCCACCTTGATACGAGAAGATGTGCTCCTGGGAAGCTTGGCCATGACTGCATCAAAAATGTTGTCGCCCGCTGACGTGGACTTCTCGCTAAGCTCGGAAACGTTGATAATTGTTGCAGTCACACGCTCGCGCTCGAGAAGCTGCAGAACCAGACGAAGAGCAAAATTGTCGTCGCGGCCTCCGAAATAGACAAAGAAGATGTTGTGAGCCTGCGGCACCAGAGGGGCGGTTGGGAATTCGCGTCGAGAAACATCATACGAATATTGCCGGCGAAGCCTGGCTTGCTCCTGGCCCTCCTTCTTGCCTGTCTTGACATCGTCTCGGCTCCGTGTGAAGAAGATGCCGACGTTGTGGTCGATGGAGCGAAGAACCGACTTGACAAACGACAGATAGTTGGACGCAAGCCTGTCTTCAACATCCGCGGAAGATATAATCTGCGCATCTCCCATGCTGCCGGTCTCGGTCCAGGGCATCAGGAGTAGGTCCGCTCCCATGTTGGAAGATCGCGAAACGAGGGCATCAGCGAAGCGGTCCTCTGGCATAATAGCGACCTCGCCAGATGCTGAGATGTTGTGGAGCTGGCCGACGCTGCGGAATATGTTGACGACGGGGTCGTGCCTGGTGTACTCGTCGACCTGGGCGACCGTCATGACGGACGAATCACGATCCGTCAATTCGAGGAGCCGAAGGCCGTGAGCTCGGACCGGCCCTTTGAATACGTCTTCATGACTCCTCTTGGAGCCTTCCTCCGACGTTCCGCTTGGGGTTTCTGCGGCATGAGAGCTTCCGAACAACGAGAGGAGGTTAAGCAGCGCAGGCATGTTGTCCAGTCTAAGGTAAACGAGCAGCCGCCTGACTCTATGGGTGGACGTGTCTGTTCCAGGAGTGACGCTGATTTGCGTAATTGGAGCACCAGTGTCCCAGTCAATCTCACCGCGCTTCCAAGCGGCAATCTTCTTCTGGTACCAAGGGGGGTAGAGGAAAGAGACGACTGGGGTGGTGAAGAAGGTGGTGAGAAGAGCCATGACGACGAAGATGGTAAACGTCCTGACGCTCAGAATCTGTGCCTGCAGACCAATATTCTGGCAGGAGAATAGATGTCAGTACAGCTGTCGTTGTCAAAGTCTTGTTCTATATCAACTTACCAACACGATAAGCTCCACAAGACCCTTGCAACTCATCAAGACACCAATAGAAAAGGACTCCCTCCAGACGAGGCCATTGAGTCGAGCCGCTAGAGACGCACCAATGATCTTGGTGATGAGGGCGACAAAGGTAGTAGCAAACACATAGCCCCAGGCCGTTCCAGTGTTGAGAAGACCCAGGTTGGTGCTGAGACCAGAGAGGGTAAAGTAAAGCGGCAGGAAGATGGAACCGACGAGATCCTCCAGCTTCTCAATGACGCGAATGTTGAAGCCATGCTCACGCGGGATGACCAGACCGACAACGAAACCGCCAAAGATGGGATGGATGCCGATGATTCCTGTAAAGAAGGCGGAGGTGAGGGCGATGAGGAGAATAAGCGCGATGGTGCTCTGAGAAGGACCATTCTCGATATTATTGGTCTTCCGCAGACCAAATCGCAAGGCAGGCTTGACGACCAGGACAAGGAAGATGACGTAGCCAATGGCCACCAGCAGAATGTAAAGCGCAGTGATGCCCTGTCCGGCGTTGACCAGAGCAACGCAAAGAGCCAGCAGAATCCATCCTACAAGGGTTGTCAATAGCCGTTTAACAACAGTAAGAGAACAAGCCGATGCTCACCAACAACGTCGTTGGCAACGCCCGCTGACAGAGTGATGACACCGACTGGGGTATCGAGCAGCTTCAGTTCGGTCAGAATACGGCAGAGCACCGGGAAAGCCTAGAAATGTCAGAGGTTAGATTCACGAGATGGACAGCGGGCGAAGTGGACAAGCAGGAACAAGACATACGGTAATGGCGACCGCGATGCCGACGAACAGCATGTAGGTGCTAAAATCAATGGGCTTGATGCCGGGATCCTCGCGGAAGGCATTGTATATGCCCCAAGCGAGACCGCAGCCAACGCCAAATGGCAGGGCCAGACCAGCGAAAGCGACCGAGGTTGCGACGCGCCAATTGCTGAGGAGAAATCGAACGTCGGTCTCGAGACCAATCATAAACAAGTAGAGGACCAGACCAAGGTTGGCGACAAGAGTCAGGTTGGGAATCGAAGCAGCGGGGAAGATGGCGTCTTTGAATCCGGGGATGTGGCCCATCACCGAGGGCCCCAGAATGATTCCTCCAATGACTTCGGCAATGACTCGGGGCTGGCGGATCTTGGAAAGAGGCCAATGCAGGATGTGGCAGATGATGACGATGAGGCCGACCTGTATGCGCCTGGGTCAGTCACCACGACAACATGCCAACGCTTAACGGGGGGGTCTGGTTAACTGACCTGGATGATGAAAATGGTGAGAGGGTTCTTGGGATCGTACTCGGACGGGTTGGCCCCCTCCAAGACACCGCCTTGCGGCGCGACCCGGACGGCGGTCGAGGTGGCCGCAGCCGAAGATGTCGTTGCCGTCGCCATCGTGGGAGGATCTTCTGAATCGGGAGCTAACAAACACGCAAAGTCGACGTGAGTCGCTTAGATGAAGCTCCCACAGCAGCGCAAACGGCCTGCGGGGCGGGCAAGCAGACGACTTCAGGGATGTCGCCGCTGTAAGCTTGTCAGATGTAAAGAAGACCAAACTCAGTGACTGAAAAGGTCTTGAGCCCTCTTCAATGAGAGAAGAGAGGATGATGGAAGAAGAAGAGGAGAAAGGCGGAGAGAAGACTCGAGGCTGGCGTCGGCGACTAAATGATGACGCTCCAACGGACAGCTGAGGCGGTTCAGCAGCGCCTCGACCTCCCAATGCTGTCCACAAGGGTCCTCTCCGCTATTTCACCCACTGGACGACGCTGATCACTTGACAGGGCCCGGCACGAGCCCGAAACGAGGCAGTTTGGTGGAGGCTACGGACTGGAGTCCGAGAACGATGCTTAGCGCCACGGCAGACCTGGAGATGCTTCTGCTAATGTGCTGGTGCTGCCATGTGATGGCCAGTTGCGCACTGTGTACCTGGGAAGCAGTACTTCAGGGCGAGAGTTACGTCTGCTTTCAATTGTTGAGACATGGAGTGAGACGAGGATGAACGCAGCCTGTAATGTCTTGGTTCTGAAAAGCGCCGATCAAGCTGCTTGCGAATAACAGCTGGCTACAGGTATTGAGTTGAATGAAATTGAGATATCGCCAGTACTGTAGGCAAACCATAGTGTGAAGTCATCGTCAACAGGGACTCGTTCATTCAGGGATAATGTGACGAGAACACCTACCAACAAACAGCAAATGCACGCAGCCAACACCGGCCGGCTTGGTGTAAGCGCATGGTCGAGCCGGGGCCATGGCACCATAGCAGCTTTCCCTCTTATGACATGCCACAAGCAGCAACAGTGGTGCTAAGGGTAATGTCATTCCTGCTCGTGATACGATGGCAACCTGCAGGTCGAAGGGAGGTGGTCAGGCTTTGAAGCTTCAACCGGACGGCGAGCTGGTGGTAAGATGCGCCTCGACTGGTTCAACGTTATCTATCGGCCCCCAAAAGAGGATTCGTGCATACCGCCAGAGGCATGGGATAAGTGCAATCCTGGCACTGCGGAATACCACTTCGACAATGCAACCGTAATTGCGAACCAAGTGCTCTACGTGCAACAGCCGCGATTACCATACATGAACGATTACATCCATGCTATCGCATCATATCCTCTCTTCCTCTCTGTTCATATTCTTTTACTTTTGTCCAACAGGAGCCTTTCCTGCCTTCGCGGTGTGAGAGCTGCCCGCAAACTGCTCATACGAGGACGGTCACCCAAAAGCCAAGGGTCATGCCTGTCGTGATAAACATCCCAGGGCTGTGCTTTAAGTACACGAACTGCCTCCACACAGTATCCCGAAACCTTCCAAGAACCCCGGTTCTCTTCGTCGTCGTCACCAACTCTCTTGGCAGCACGCTACTTAACTTGTAGTCAAGCAAGCTCCAGGCCAGCATCAACAGGCGTGGAACCGAATGACATTCGTTCGTTGTCTGAATTGAGACACACGGCGGCCCGTTGTTTCGCAAACTTTAATTGTTGGAGAGTGGCAAATGTAACGCTATTCAGGCACATGCGAGACATGCAGCTACTCAGGACTCGATGCTATCTACAACACAGCTTGAGGCGTGATAGTCAAGTTGTCCAGCCTACGAGTTGAGATTGGTTTAAAGAAACAACTCTTGCCAAGCGCCAAGTCCCCTAAGGATAAACGAAAAGCTTCTTACAGTGTCGTTTCCTTGAGAAGTCTTTTCAGTCAAAATCCCGCGCTATTGTACTTGAAAGCTCATTATCGTGTTCATCCATTTCCCACCGCTATTTCTTCTCATAACCACACCGCAAACTCGTCCGATGCGACAACTTCACATAAACGAACTTACTACTCTCTGAAAAGCAAAGAATAAACACCAAAAAACGGCTTATGAGAGAGCCAGAGCCACGCATATCAGATCCATCTATGCACTGTGAATACTTCGACAAGCTGCACCCACAAAACTCCATCCTCCCCAGCCGCAGCTGAATGGCGCCCGTTTCATCCTCATAGTTACGCAACAGCCGCCCCTCATACTTCATCGTCCCCAAAAGCAAGATGGCACCTCAACTCGTTCTCCAATCTATTCGTCCCTCTACCCCAAAAGCTTGTTACCCCACACGCATCCCATCTCGCCTGACCCATCCACTTACACGCTAACCCATCAACCAAACCTCCGCATTGTACATTCACTTGGGACATCCAAGTCAAATCCCGCTATCAGGTGCTCCATCTCAAATGCCTCCAACATTTACGATCTGTGTGCGCCGGCCTCTCTCCAAGTGCCCAAGCAACCAAAACAACCAAACAACAGCCATCACCACTCCCCTGCCGCCATCTCAGCAACCAGCCGAGCAGCCAGCTTCCGGCCCCCATATTCCTCGCCCTTGCGCGCAAGAGCCTTGGCATTCTCCCGCATGGTCACGCTCCTGTTGCCCCTCAGCGTCTCCAGGAATGCCTCGGCCAGGCCCGCTGCCTCCCAGTCCGGCGCCAACGTCTGGTTGGGCCAGATGCCAACGCCCAGATACTCGGCCGTCTGTGCGTAGTTGTAATGGTCTGCCCAGAGCGGGAGAACGACGCTCGGGACGCCGGCGCTGTTTGGTTTGAAGCCATGTTAGCAGAGTCCATTATCGGACAAGCTGATGGTGAGGGAATAGGGGAATTTGGGGAGAAAGAGGATAGTGCAAACAAGAAAGACAAGAATGCCAACTCACAGGACGGCCTCGTAGAAGCAGTTGGCACCTCCATGATGCACTGACACCGCAATATCCCCCGTTTTATACAGAGACATCGGATCGACCTCGAGCCACTTCTCCAGCCGTAGCCTCCCAGCTTCGACATACTTCCTCACCGGCCCCATAAAGTCGTCCCCATACTCATCCGTCTTGCGCATCTTCCACAGTATCTGGGCGTCAGAAGCATTCAAGACAGCAGCAATCGCCTCCGCCATGATCACAGCCCTCGACTCGTCGTACTTGAAGGCACTCCCCAAATTGACGAGAATTGTAGGCGCCTTCTTGACCCAGGCAGCCAATTCGGCGCTCTGCGTCTCGGCCGGAGCAACGTCCAACACCAGAGGACCAGCGATGCGAAAGTTTTCAGGGATGACCTCGATCGGAAAGCCTGCCTCGGGATAGCTCATGGCGATCCACGGCACGTCTTTCCGGTACATCTCGAAGAGATTCACGGCGTTCGAGATTCCATGCTGCTCGAGCCAGGAGCGCTTGTTCTTGATGGCCGGCGCCGTCAAGAACTTGATGATGAAATACACCTGCTGGTATATGTTGTTCGGGATGTCTTTCCAGGGGACTGGGAAAGGCAGTCCCGAAGCGATTCTTGGTGTCCCAGCACGGTCAGCATCTCTTCATACAATCTACTAGGTCTCTGGGTTGGACCACAACAACTCACCCTGGATACTTCCAGAAGAGCTCTCCCTTGGGCTGCAGAGGAGCCAAAAGGTCCGTCAACGCATTGGGCGTGATATAAGCACGCGTCCGGTTCAGATTCGCCGCAGCATCCAAGGCCGGCCGGAACAGCGAATCCAGCACCACAACCGCCGGATCAACCTCCCGAATCAAGTCCGCCGTCTGCTGGTACAGGCTCAGGTGAGCCTCGTTCGACCACGCCGTCATGACGAAAAACACCATGTCCACAAACGGCTTGAGCCCGGCCAGCCCCGGCGGAGTCACAATCCCTTGCACCCCGCCCACGAGGCTGATCTCGTCCACAAGGCTCGGCCCATCGAACTGGTGCCAGTGGATCTTGGCTCTCGGGTTCGCCGCCGCCTGAGCAATCCCCGTGATGCGCTCAATGTCCGGTGCTATGCCGGAGAAGGAGGCGTAGTGCACCTCGAGGGACGGGTGGTTCTCTATCAGGGCCGAAACCGTGGCGAGATGCGCGTTGCAGAGCCCATGATGGCTGTCGGTGATGAAGAGGACCGTGTTATTGCGGCCGCTGATGAGAACTTGTTCCTCTTGGGTCGGCTGTCTGGCTAGAAAGACCGCAACGAGTGCGCCGAGGATGGCGAGAACAAGCAATGCTCGCCGAAACATTTCCAACAACGGGCGGCTACGGAGTATCACAGTCGCTAGCAGTTGTACGTCGACACCCGCGCTCGCGGAGGTTTGGCGGTCGACATAAGCAATAAGTAGCGACAGCCACGCTCTCTATTAATATCATTGACGCCCGAGATACCTGTACCAGCTGAAAAGACGGCATGTCTTATCCTTGCATCTCCTGTTCCACAGCTCAATGGCGCCCTGAAGGATCGCAGCGGGGTCGAATTGAAAACTTCGATTGTATCCAGTCTTAATATAGACTATCTCGCATCTACCTGTATCTTGGAATGCTGCCTAATGTACGAATTAGCATTCATCTGGCTAGTAACGTAAGAGAGTGATAACGCGAGTAAGTTGCAACTTGGCGATCAAACCCCACAACTCCTCAGGTCTCAGCTCACATCTTCGGTAAACAGAATTTAGGCCCGCAGTTCATCTCACCAACGGATGCGAAAAGCACCAGAAACATAGATAGAATCCCCTCTTGTCCAGTCGGGTTCTCGACGTCAGAAACTAGCTCGTCGTCCAACGCCTCCAGCACGCGTTTCTCGTGTCAGCAATCCCGCGTAGTTCGGCATCGTGGTGACTGTACGATTGTATGATGGGTGACATTCCCCATAAGACCATCGATAGCTGCTGTCAGCGCAACGGGCCCTACTAAAGCGGTCGTTGCTATTTGCAAGAGCTACGCGTCGGTAGCTGATTTGTTGAAGATTGGAGAGCGTGCCTTGTTGACCTAGTATTCGGCTGTCGGCAGGGCTGCCATGGATCTTGCTCATGACCCCGCGACGAAAATAGATGTCAAATGGATGATGGCTCAAACACGGATTGAGCCCGGTTCTGGTGATGAGGTAGCTTCAGCTTGGCTTTCCAGTCTCGTATGATTGTATTTTCAATTTTTAGTTCTACTATCTGATACTAGTGCTATATCATTCTAGTCTTCTTGTATTCTTCTGTTTCTCGTAGAATGAGCATATATTCACTCCCTTTTTCACTTGATATGCCAACTCAGTTATAGGGTAGCTTGAAGCGCTGCATGAACCACCACCCATCGATAGTAATCAACGAGAATCAACACTCGAGTGAAGGACATTTTGGTCAACAAGCATTGAACAACAAAAAGCCCGAGCTGATTTTATATTGTCGGGTTGTCTTACCACTTGCGTTGGTTCCTCAGCCTTGAACAGGAGCTGGATTTCCTTCTGCCTGATTAAAGCGACAAGGGCTTATGGTTCGAATTCAACACAGCAATCACATCCGGGACCGTGTACATGTAGAAAAGCGTTGGCTATTAACACATAACCAAGTCATAAGCCGGGACAAGACGACTTACAATACCCCACTACCCAATACCCAAACAGCCAATTCAGACTTATACAAAGCACACACATATAAATTCTTCAAAACACCAACATCCAAAACACCCATATCCCCTTTAAATACTCACCCTAAACATCCTCAGCAGCACCAACTAAATAATACAAGAACTCCAGCAAAGAACCTCCCAATTAAGCATCAAAACCAAATCTAAGATCCCACCCCCAGCGCCGGCCTCTCGCCTATGCCTTTTCCCGTTTTCCCGCACCTTTTTCCCATAAAGAGAACATGTATGTACGCTTTCCGCGCGTTCCGTTCCGCAGCTCAAGGTACCACGTAACTTGAGGTTGTCACACACAGCGCACACACGCACGCACGCCGTGCCATCCTACATCCATGTCATAATACTCCGTACCACAAACGCGATATCGTATGCAAGATAGGCCAAATTCCCTCCCGGCGGTTTGACCGCGCGGGTGCATCCCGCATTTCCCGGAATAGATAACTATATCTCAACACATTGATCCCCCTCTCCACTCTTTCTCCCGTATGTATGTCTGTAAGGTAGTCGTATTAAAGCCATGCATGTCTCACAGAATCAAATCTCACACAATTTACACCCATATCACCCAATCGCTTTCTGGCCGATTAGACAGAGGTAGACAGACATATCACAAAGGAGTCTAATCTCACAAATATTGTTCGGCCCCCAGCAAAACAGATAAAGTGGTAATAATCCTGCCTCACAAAGAGCCAGGTCCATCTATTGCCTATTCCAGGACTCAAACCTCCGTCCACCCATCATCGGCTACATTCCGTATACAACTAATAGTTCTCGTCTCTCATTCACCCAAAGCGCTGTCAATCCTCATCCCAAACCTCCACATGACTCAACCTCTCGTAACACCAAGCAACCCACTCCCCTCAACTCACATGCCAAATTCCCCAACTCTCCATCTCACTGGCCCAAAAATCCAAAACCCCAAATGAAGGATCGACGCTCAGGGTCCATCCCATCGCCGTCCCCTCAACCACTGGCAGCTCTCCAAAGCACTTACACACTACTAGTAGTACTAACATGTGCTTCCTACCCCAAAAACACCCATCACAAGAATCCCTGTCGACACCGGCCAATATAAAACTTCAAACATCATGCCACTTGCTACAAAGTAGGGACCAATAGATCCGCCGGGCTCACTCAAGGCCGCTCCCGCATATTATTGGCACACACACTCTCGCACCTTCAATCAAACGAGCAACGCGAATGGGAGCTATGAGGACATGCATACTACTTGCACATGCAGAAGCACCAAGTCTCCAGAATCAATGGCACCCCAACCTGCAGATCCCAAAGAGCGGCTTCTCATCCGAGTTCCTTCAGGTCGGTCACATTATACCAAAGTTGGTATGTGTAACACATGTCAACCGCACGTAGCATTGGGGGGTTGACTGGGGGGGGGGGGGGGGAGTGTATGTACATCTTCCCTCCCTCCAACTTGTAAGACAAGTACGAAGTAAGAAGTGGCAAGGGCAAGGAAAGTTGAATTTCACCGCAGCACGCTGAGTAGATGAAAAGAGTGTAACCCTCACCCTGGCCTGCAACTGCTACCTTGCGGCCTTGCGTGTCTAGCTTCTTTTTTCTCCGTAACGTGTGTGTCGCTTGTCGCCAAAGCCCGCCGGCCTGTCAAAACTACTACTACATACATGCATCAGACAGTCTAGTCGGTGGACAAGCTCCCGCTGCTACATCGAATATTGATGGTATGTAAGGTAGTAGTAGTCGTATCTCGTTCATCCTTACTTTTGGTGGTGGGATCCAGTACCAGCACGGAGTTTTGTTTGGTTGAAGGCGAGGTAGTATTCGAGCCGTGAGAAGTTCGCTCATACGGAACATTTTATGCGACAGAGATTGCTTTGTCTACCATCCTCTCAAGAAACGCGGTAGATCAGCCTGTGACAGGAGCAACTAGTGTATCTCATCAGGCAGTACTGATAAAGTCAACATGTGCTACAGCCTGTAGAAACAGCAAGATAGGATTCATCCTGCAGTTAGTGTCACATCCGCGCACGTTTGGGTTGGAACAGCAACGTGATTGATGGTGTGCGAGGATTCGGCCAACCGAGCAAAAGAACCCATGTCCGTACCAAGTCCCTCACGCGCATTGCAGGACTGGGAGATTTGGACTGCAATACGTGAGAGAAGCAGTCCTACTGGGAGTCCGGAACCGGGTCAATACACAGGCTGGCCGGCCATCGTCTCTTCGGTAGACATGCAGTCCAAATAGCCCAGCATTGCTTGCAGCATTAGGCGCAACAGCAGGCTGGTGCGTGGAATGGGTGGTAGTTTCAGGGACACCAACATCTGGCGATGCAGCATCGGGTCGCCACCCCCGATCAAGGCGAAGCGCAACGATCCACCGCCCGCTGTCCCATCAATCGATAGCCATCGCGATCCTGCTCCGCGCTTCTCCTCTCGAGGTTGGTTCAAAGCAAACCGATATTGGCCTGAAGCAGGCATGACAGACACAATAGAACTGACAGGGCGGAACGACAAAACGCCAACCCACCTTCCTCGGGGCGTCTCGGCCATTCAGCATCCCTTTCTGCGAGGTTGCTCTGCGGACGCTTACCCGCTGCTCGTCGGGCCGCTTCTTTTCTTCTTCATCGTCTTCTGCTGCCCATGGGGTTGGGATCAGAGTGGGACTCTCCTTTGTTGTGCGTTGGTAGACGGAACATGTCGTAAATAGTACGTATATATGACCGAGGGCACTCCGCGAGCTGCTGCCGGTGCTCGGCCTTTTTCTCCATAGTGTAGCAGGTTCGGCGGATACTGCATAATAGAGCAGGTACCAAGTACCTATAGCGACGACGACGAGGGAGGCATACGAGCATGACAGTACGGAGTACGGAGTACAGTTGTAAACGATGAGCACGACTAGTATCAGCTGTCGGCGGCTTCTGTGAAAATCGGTTGCTTTGGAGGCACGGTTGATGTCTGCGCCGGAATGCCGACTGCCATGCTTGCTTGCTTTCTTGCTTGGGGAAGAGTCACGACAGTTAGCCTTGGCTTCTGAGTTGCTGGTGCCGGTGCTCGTACGAGTTCATCTTTTCGTATGAATTGCGACTGCGACCTTTGCGGTCCTTCTCGACGGCCTCCTCCTGGGGGTTCTGTAAGACGGCTGCATGTTAGTAGTACCAAAAGGAGTCTCTCTCCGAATGCAGCTAAACGGCAAGCCACATTGCCACGAGGTAAACAGCCATGGGGCCACCGCAATCACAGACGAACATCATTACCAGCGAGCAGCCATGGAACAAGGCAAGGAAAGCCAGCACTCAATCCCGTGGTTCGGCTACTGAGCCGGATCTGCTGGCTGGATGGCGATTCCCGTCCAAGTGCAGAGCGCTGTACGAGTATACGCTCTCCCGGGCTGAAAATTCTATGCCTCACCTTGGCCCCTGACCACTGTGTGTGTCATGGAATATTGGTCCCGTGATGAGAGAACCAAAATTTTTTCCCTACCCCTTCTAAGTGCCCCATCGTCCCCTGTCCCCCGTACTTTAATCAGATGAGCAAATACGGGGCAGCGTTCGGTCTCGATCTAGCGCCTGGACCTGGTCTGGAAAACAGGCCCGGCATGTGTCGGCCAGTCAGCCAATGTCTGCCTCGGTGCGAACCGATACATGCAGGCTGGCCAATCAGCGCATCCGGCATGGCAAGGCGACGCGGCTGAAGGATTTTTGCCTCTCAGCTAGATATGGCCTGTGCTCCGGGAATCTTCCCTAGAGCAGCGACAGAGTCCCGTGTACGTGGAAAGAAGGATTTTTTTTTCTCTTCTGCCCTTGGTACCTCGTAATGTTACTACTAACGTGACCTGAAATTTGCAGACCAGCTCCGCATTGTGGCGTACCCTGTGGAGGAGAGTGTTCGGTCCGGAGACGTGCATGGTTATGCTAGCGTACCGGAGTGCGTCCAAGGGGGGTGCCCGAGCGTTGGGTTCGCCCTGTTATGAGGAGGAGTCGTTAGTCAGTCAGGCGAGAGAGTCGATGACAAGCAGCTGAGCGACGATGTGGCATGTGCCTAGGGCTAGCTGTGCTTGATCTCTGATGTTGGCCCGAACCGATAGTAGAGACAGCGACGGTAGGTCAGCGAGGCAAAGGCTCCGGGTTGTTGGTCGCCTTCGACGTAAAGCAAAATGATCAATCTCTAGTCAGATAATAGTAATACGGCCGAAAAGGCTATCATGCGGATGTCTTGCATTGCTGTTGCCATTCCAGGACGAGCTGAAAGCTTGCGGCTCGACGCCAGACGGGATGGTGAAGTCATGAAACGCCATGATCAATTCGGTGACTCGTAACCTTGGGCCCATATGTATATGTTTCGGCCAGAGAGATCCGAGTCGACTCCAGCATTTAGACCAGACGTCTCTCGTCGCGAGATGCAGTAGCATCCCGTCTTCAGCCTCGCTCTTGGGCAGATCTTGGCGTGGGCCGGCATCCTGTCACGTTATGAATCCAACCGTGTGTGGCCGGTGTGTGAGGATTGATCAAGCAATGGCATAGAGCAGCAGTAGTCAATATCTTGCATGCGCGGGCTAGGCGGCATGCGGCGAGGCATGATCCGATCGAGGCCAGCCATGGGCGCGGAGCCAGATGGGGTGACGAGGGCGTTTGGCGATGCTCGAGTCCATGCTGCAGGCGTGGTATTATTCGTTCGATACGATGCTAAGCCATGCCAATCCATAGTATAGTCGTAGTAGCCAGATCCTTACCAACAGCAAGGACCAGCACTAGCGAACCCGGCAAACGGCCGAAGAGGCGCCCGTGACGTGATGTGATGCGGACAACAGAACTTGAAAGACCAGATGCTGCACGAGAACGGCGACGGCCCTGGGCGCATGACTTGTAAAACCGTCCGCGTATTGCCGCTGAAAATGGCCATTGCTGACCGGGCGCCCTTTTGGTGGTCACAGCGACTTGACAGCGCTTTGCTAACGCTGCTAGCAGCAGTCACTGACCCCGGATTGCAGATTTGCACGATGCGCAATTGGTCGCCAAGCCGTCCCGCGCTCGGTCAATTACAATCCCAGGGACACAGCTCGATGGGCAGCAAGTGGGAAAAAGTGAAGCCGGCCGTTGGAGAAAAGCTGCAGCTGGGGGCTGAAAGAGACGCCCCTCCCATCCACCCAAAAAAGACAACACGACAGACCCCATGGAGAGCAGGAAAAAAAAGGTGGAATAGCGCCGTTGAGTATGACCGAAAAATGCCCTTTGGGAGGCAGCGCCGGCGGTCATTCTCCAGCTTTCGCAGCCCCTGGTCGCTCCCCCACGACCTAAGCCGAGTGTCAGCACAAGGCCCATGGGGAAAAAAATAGAGTGCCAGGGAGCAAGTACGGGGGAGGCGGCGCCGCAACGGACCAATTCTGTCCCTTTGGCCACTGCCTCTGACTGTCACCGTCGTGTCATGATGCTCGTATGGCCGCGATGGAGTGACGGTTGGCTGCTCTTGGAGTCCACACGCCGTATGCAGCGACCGGTCGGTCTGTTGGGCAACACACCGGAGGCGGAGCTTGTGGGCGAATGGTCGCGGAGCTTGTTTTGACTTTTCGGGCTGTTTCTCACGAGGACTCTTTTTCGCTTTCGTCTCCCAGGGATGCTTTGCCAACGTGACACGATATGGATGGAATCATGCTACCGGTGACCTGAAGGTAGCAGTAGCAGTAGCATGATCGACAGGAGGCTCACGACAGTTGCTCCTCGGGGCCGGATCAGATAATCCGGTACTTGCTGTACATCGGTTGATCAGGTAAGGTACTTGTAATTACAGGGAAAGAGCAAGCAGGTGCTTGTATCGTCCAATTGGAGGGCCAGCGGCCACAGGAAAGTGCACGCAACGGCAACCACTTCGCTGCGGGATGTGGACAGAAGTTCCATAGCGACTTCCATAACGGAGCCTAGCCCTCCAGGTTGCATGCACAAGAAAAGTGCAAGAGCCATCGACGCTAGTGCCCGAGCTGGCGGCTCCACCTGTACATATGGCATGTGAGTTTGCATCGAGGCTGGCGATGGCATCGTGAGATTCGATCATTGGTGTTTTGGGCGCTCTCCAATTTCCAAGCAGCCACCAATCCTGCTGCTTCGTGCCAAGGTTCTGACCGGCTCGGATTCATGTGTCATGAGCAAAGTCAATTCGCCCTCTGGACACCAGAAAACCACCGCCAGCAGATGCCCGCAAACGAGGGACCAACCGGCCCTTCTCGGCGCTTCTCTGCCTCGCCTGGCTAGGGGTCCTCGCACCGGCCCAATCAGCTGCGCCGGCGCTCTTTGGGCTGCGTCGGCGTTACCTCGTAGCTCAGCAGCCTCCGGGCCCCGCAAATCCCCATGCGGGCTTCCCCAGACGCGTCTGAGGCCGCGCAGAGGAAGCCATTGTGAGCATCTCGCAGTGAATGGACGACGGGGAGACGAGCTGCAGAGGCCAGGGGCCCCCCTCAATCTCCTTTGGCGGCCCCTAGCCTGATCCCGGTCTAGCGCCCTCCCTAATGCCTGCGCTCGCGTGCGCGCCACACCCACCCCGGGCCCCTTTTTGGAGTGCGAGTCGCTGGTGTCCCTGTGGCTCAGCTCGTCGTTCTGTTGGTGCAGGTGAGGTGAGGTGCTGTTTTGTTGGCCCCTGTTCTTCTGCCTGCAATGGCTAGTGCGAGGTACCGGTACCAGCACCAGACCTCACCTGTGCCCTCTCCCCGCTGCTTGCCCTGGCTGTGCTCACTTTGAAGCGAGAAAATATCACTGATGGACGGGATGTACCGACAGAAACACGCCGCCGCTGCTGTTGTTGCAGGTTGTCTCGCATTTCGCTGGCCCCAATCGCTGCCTGCGCGCGTGACCATCGCATGAACAGGCCAGAACGTCTCATCAAAGCCGAAATCCAATAGCCGTGAGGTGAGGCAGCGCACGGAGAATGCCGCGAATCGATCGACGAGTGGCTATGGCGCGGAGCTGCACTGCACGAGATACGCGCATTGCCACTGCAAAATTTTGCCAGTAAGCGTCGAGCACAGGCTCACCCCAATCTCTGCCGGCTGCGTACCGGTACCGGCCTCAAGCCACTCATCCACTGCAGCGCCGGCTCAGGGCCTCTGGCTAGCGGTCTTGCTGCCCCTGTGAGGCCCTAAGCTTCCAGCACGCCGAGCGCTAGGCCAGACCCGAACGCTGGCCAAACGCTAGGCGGGATGCGGCGCCGGGCTAGGAGAATACTCGACGCCTGTAGCTGTACCTAGCAGCCAAGGTTGGCGGGGGCAAGTGGGTGAGGCCGAGCGCCACTCCAGCGCCTCCACCAACCCGCGCATCCTCTCCACCGCAAACCTCGTACCTCTGCCAGGAACATGCGCCGCCAATTTTGCAGCTGTTGTGCGTGTTACTCATACTCAGACTACTCGTACTGCGACTCTGATGATGGACCAACGACAGCACCTCGTACAGGGGCCCGGGTAAGGTACTTCGTGTACCACGCCCTCCCCCCCCGGTTCTTCTCGCCCGGCCGGGGAGGGGGGCGTGCAACAACCAAGCACCAGCTTCCCCAAATCGACGGCGTCTCTCCACAATGGACCATGGAGAGGCTTCTGGGCGCTGGGCTCGGGCTTGCCTCTGGTCTGGTCTGGTCTGGTCTGGTCTGGTCTGTTCTGGATGGCTTGACGCTCGCTCCTCCGGCTGACTCTTGCTGTTGCATCTGCCTGGACGGACGGACGGACTCGCTCGCTGGTCCCGGCGTCACGACAATAAAAAGGCCGGCCTGCCTCCCGCCCCCCTCTGCTCCTTCTCCTGTCTCGCCTCGTCGGTCTCTGTCTCACGCAACAAAAGAGTCGTTCCGTTCACTCGGCCCGGGTCTCGTCTTTCCTCCTGCCATCCCGCAGCCAGCATCCTCACTCCCACGCGTCAAGTCAACAAGAGTCCCCTGAACCAAAGACAAGCCCAGCGTCGACCGCAGCCATGGCCGACGTCCATATTGCAGACGCCCCGGAGGGCCGCAAGCAGTCCATCGGCATCCATACCACCCAGGATGTCGAGCACATCGAGGCTCCCATCACCTGGAAGGCCTACCTGATGTGTGCCTTTGCCTTTGGTGGTATCTTCTTCGGTTACGACTCCGGATACATCAACGGTGTCAACGGCTCTGCCATCTTCTACAAGGCCGTTGAGGGCATCAACGCCACCAAGCTCAGCGACAGCCACACCTCCCTCATCACCTCCATCCTCTCCTGCGGTACCTTCTTCGGTGCCCTCATCGCCGGTGACGTTTCCGACTGGATTGGCCGCAAGTGGACCGTCATCATCGGCTGCTTCATCTACATGCTCGGTGTCGTTGTCCAGATGGTCACTGCTCCCAACCACGCCCTCGGCCCCATTGTCGCCGGTCGTCTGATTGCCGGTCTCGGTGTCGGCTTCGAGTCCGCCATTGTCATTCTGTACATGTCTGAAATCGTAAGTTGACTTGGCAAAACAGCTCCTCTTTACTGCATTCCTCTCTAACACCTCCTTGTCAATAGTGCCCCCGCAAGGTTCGTGGTGCCCTCGTCGCTGGCTACCAGTTCTGCATCACCATCGGTATCCTGCTCGCTTCTTGCGTCGTCTACGGCACCAAGGACCTCGACAACACCGGTGCCTACCGCATCCCCATCGCCATCCAGTTCCCCTGGGCCCTGATCCTCGGTGGTGGTCTGCTCTTCCTCCCCGACTCCCCCCGTTACTTCGTCAAGAAGGGCGAGATCCAGAAGGCTATCAACTCTCTGTCTCGCGTTCGTGGCCAGCCTGAGGACTCCGAGTATGTCCAGAACGAGCTTGCTGAGATTATCGCCAACGAGGAGTACGAGCGTGCTCTGATCCCCTCCACCACCTGGTTCGGCTCTTGGGCCAACTGCTTCAAGGGTTCTCTCTGGACCGGCAAGTCTAACCTGCGCCGAACCATCCTCGGTACCTCTCTTCAGATGATGCAGCAGTGGACCGGTGTCAACTTCATCTTCTACTACTCCACCCCCTTCCTCCAGTCTACCGGCGCCATCAAGAACTCGTTCCTGATCTCTCTCATCTTCTCCCTGGTCAACGTCTGCTCCACTCCTCTGTCCTTCTGGACCGTTGAGCGATTCGGTCGTCGTACCATCCTGATCTTGGGCGCCCTCGGTATGCTCATCTGCCAGTTCCTCGTCGCCATCATCGGTGTCACCGTCGGCTTCAACAAGACCCACCCCGACCCCAGCGACCCCAGTCAGAACCTGGCCGACAACATCCCCGCTGTCAACGCCCAGATCGCCTTCATCGCCATCTTCATCTTCTTCTTCGCCTCCACCTGGGGTCCCGGTGCCTGGATCGTCATTGGTGAAATCTTCCCTCTGCCCATCCGATCCCGTGGTGTCGCTCTGTCCACCGCCTCCAACTGGCTGTGGAACACCATCATCTCCGTCATCACCCCCTACATGGTCGGCACTGACAAGGGCAACCTGAAGTCGTCCGTCTTCTTCATCTGGGGTGGCCTCTGCACCTGCGCCTTCGTCTACTCCTACTTCCTCATCCCCGAGACCAAGGGCCTGTCTCTCGAGCAGGTCGACAAGATGATGGAGGAGTCCAGCCCCCGTACCTCCGCCAAGTGGAAGCCTACCACCACCTTTGCCGCTCAGATGGGCACTGGTGAGTACCTTGAGAAGCCTACCGCTGAGGTGTAAAGGACTCTCCTGCTTCCGGATGGATGCGTGAGACGTTTCTTTTTGCCCTGTTTCTTTTATTTCCTTTTATTTTATCAAAGCTTTTTCCTTTATAACGCGGTGGGGGGTGGGCGGCTGCAGGTAATGGCTAGGTTCTGCAGCCTTGTGACGAAATCATACCCAGGGCCACTACGGAGTGTGTCCGTCGAGACGTGTTTGACGACGTGAAGACGTTTTTGTAATGCGGTAGATGTGGACATACAACTAGCTTACAAATGTGAACAACATTCAAAAAAATCTGCTCTTCTTTCCCGCTTTTCGAGGGCGTTCGTATGAACCCCTTATTAGCTACCTTTTTTCTACTATAACCTTTTTTTAATACGATCACTTGTTTGATCAATTTCTTCTTTTTTGTCTTTCCTCTTGTCATTGTCTTGACTGCCAGTGCATTGTTTGAACCCTGCGGCTCAGCTGAAGTGAGATTGTTGCCATGTGGTGAGACTCGGCCAATCATGGGGCACGCAGGCGTTATGCACAATGCCAGGGGGTATCGCCGAATGGGGCAAGTCGGCATTGTTGTTTGAAAAGAGGGAGGAGGTGAGACTGACTTTCTTTTTTTTGGTACTCTGGAATGAGACTTCTGTGGTTATGATAATGTGGCGTTTGAATTGTAAGAAGGGTGCTGTTTTGGCGATGTTAGGTTGAGTTTTGGATTTGTTGTATGGGGGTGGGGAGCTTATTTGATGTTACTGTGATGGGGGTCAGTTGGATGGTTTTATCGATGTATCTATGCAAGGACTGGATAGCTTGGGATGGGGTCTGAATGGATCAGGTTCTTCTGGCATGCTTTTTGAATTGTTTGATGATGGATGATGTTTTTCTTTTGGGGGATTTGGCCTCTAGTGCTTCCGATGGGGGGTTTGATTGTTCATCTCCATGTAAAGGTTCACGACTTGTATGCATGAGCAAAGTAGATGTTTTGGCTTGTAACTCTGAATTCGAGTATATACAATGTGGCCTGTGGCTCTTAATTCAAGTACATGATGAGGCAGATTATGTCGTTCCTTGGACAGTATGATAGATGAATGAACATGTATCAAGTACAACTCCTCTAGGTTGCAGCTTCGAATCCAACTTCCGAGATGGGGTATCTATTACATATATCTCGACATGACAATCTTCATAAATATAGAACAAGTTTCCAACCAACTCCAGTGATGAACAGCACCCATATAACCAACAATCACATGCTCCAAAAAACAGCATCAATCGTGAATCTTGCTCCCACCCGCACGATCCTCCCCCCCCCTCGACCCTCGACCCTCACTCATCACGCTCACACTCCCCTCACTCACCGACGCAACCGGCCCTCCCCGCAAGATATTCTCCGTGCTCTTCTCCCCATCATTCCCTTCATCATCCTCGCCGCAGCCACCGCCGCCGCTGCTGCTCCCCAGGGGCCTCATCCTATTCTTTTTGGCCGCCCTCCACGACTGCAGCGCATACGGCCCCTCGCCGCCGCCGCCTAATCTCGTGGAATTCCTCCCCACCGACTTTCTTCCGCTTCCGATCCCGCCACCGGTGCTCGTATTGTCATCTCCGCCGCTGTTGCGCGTCTTCTCGGAAAAGTACGTGATGAGGGGCGCGAGCGTGGGGACGCAGGCGATGACGATGCCGACGGCGGTCTCGACGATCGACCACTTGATTGCGGAGGCGGAGTCGAGGTAGTTTGCGAGGTTGCTGATAGTCTGGATGCGGATGATTTGGACAATGGTTACGAAGAGGCCGAGGGCGAAGAGGCAGAGGAGGGCGATTTTGCGGCGAATCTTCATCTGGAGTTTGAGGAGGATGGGAAAGGGGAGGACGAGCCTGGGTCGATGAGTTAATGATCACTCTTTCGAGATTGGTGATGTGTTGCGAGTATCGGATATGGCATGTATGTTAGAGAGAAAAGGGGGATTGGACATACGTCGTAACGTCAAAGACGATAGTTAGGGATGAAAATGTGAGGTAGAAAGGGACGGCATCGGCACAGTGTCCGGGGACGAGAGGCTCCCATTGTTTCTTAACCTGCGTATTGAAGTCATCAGCATACTCTTCCGTACAATAACAGAAAGAACGCAGAAACAGCAATGTCAGAGAAACCTTACAGGGATGCACAGGAACAGAAAGACAAGCATAAACGCGATATGCGCCATCGTAATGATGACGGCAATCGAAATGGGTATCAGTCGATACGTCCCGGGCACCAACCGGACGTACGACACGAGAAGACTGGTCTTGAAGCCCCAAATGCCGAGAACGTAGCTGGAATGACATGAAAGAATCGTGAGCCAACAAGATCGTCAGGGGGAGTCGAGACGAGAAAATCAAACTTACAACGGAGCCCCGATATACTGCGTCTAAAAACATATCGAATTGTTCAGTCATCGGAAACGGATGGGAAGGAGGAAAGAGACAAGGGAGCAACTTGTCAGTTACCTTGCCAAAGTTGAGGAGGTTTTCGTCTGGCATAGAGTCTAGCTCAATCAGCCCGAGGCCCCATTTCGTTTCTGTCCACGTACAGAGAATTAGCAGTCTGTCCGTGTCTAATTAGCGATCATCGAGGGGGGTGTTGAACGTACGGACGATAGTTGCTGTAGTGTAACCGCAGGCTCCAATCTATACACAACGATTATCAAAGTCAGCAAACAAGTGCGAAACAACACAAAGTATCCTCGAAACCATCTAAACGCTGTGGACAAGTAAGCGGTTCAAGTGACAACATACCCAGCTCGCAATAATCAGCCAGTCGTCTGTGCTTCCATCAATCAGTACTCATAAGATCCAAACCTTCCTTTCCAGAGGATTGCAATGACGATCGCCAGGGTCTCCTTTAAGCTGACGTACCTAGACCAACGGCCTTTGTGATCCTCGTCCGGACATACATCCTTAGACACAAGGCAATGAGAGCCAAGCTTGTCACCGTGAGAGCAACGGCAGCAATGGTCGGTCCATTATTGGGCGTGCCGTCGGGCGTGTTGTACGCCCACGCCATTGCTCTCTCTCTGTCTCTCTCTGTCTCTCTCAGACCTCGCCGTGCTCCAAAAGGGGGAACAAGACGAGAAGAAGTAAATGGACGTGGCGGGATACCCCTTGGTTTTTCACATAGCGTAGACAAAACAACAAGGCAGTGTCATTAGTAATATTAAGGCAGTAAAAAAAGAGACCTGCGCAGTTCCCAAATCCAGAAAGAATGTTGTACTGCCGGAACAGGGAGGAGAGCGAGAGTGTAAGAGCGTCAGAAGTTTGTGAGAGGGGGGTGCAGTATTACTCGTATGTTTTGTTCTGGCCGTAAAAGGGGATCCCCAGAGTATTATACCTCCGTACTCAGCTATCCTTTCCCCAGCTGAGAAACGTTCCCGGAGGCTGTCATAGGTAATGAAACGCCGCTTCTTCAAGAATCGTTAGTAGGAAAAAAGAGGCATCGTGATAGCGTCTCTCTGACCGAGTCTCTGTTCCTGGGGGCAAAAAAGACGGCTTGCAGCTAAACAAGCATGAACCAACAACTAAGGGGCAAAAGCAAAAGAAAGAGGGAAAACAAGACTTGAGACATACAGAATAAGCTCAAGCTACCCAATAACAAGCTCTGCTGTCACTTCCCTCACCTCAGCCCCCGAACCCTAAAGCAAAAGAAAAGGATTGAAAAGAAAGGGTAAAAGCGAGTAGGTAAGGCCATGCCGACTGCCGGACCCAACGAGAAGGGACAAGCCTGTCAAATGCCGCACGCCATTTCCGACTTTGCCCAAGACACTGGGTATCTCCGTCCCTTGCCTCATTTGCTAGAGGTCTTGACCCTTTCCATGTTCCCCGGCTTGGCTTGGCTGTCAGGCTGCCTTGTAGGGAGAAAAACCCGCCCGCTCACGCTCCAGAAGGCAACAGGCGCGATGACCAGTAATACTACCACCTTTACTAATACAAAATAATGTAGTCGGGCTCCTCATGCTGTGTTGACAGGCCTTAGAAGCTCTAGCCTGCTCGTACTGTGTTTAGCAATGCGACGTTGGGACGAAAGGGGATAAAAAAGCGAAAGGTCCTTCAGCACATGCGGCGACATGGGCATGGCACGTGTCCTTTGCCGGTTTGCTACCCAGGTTTCGAGCAAATTGCCGGGCTGAGAGACACCGCCATAGAGAACCGTTGGACCTAGTGTTGCAGACATATCAACAATTGATGCAACTCATGTGGCTTTTTTTTCTTTCCTTCTTCTTACCTCTTCCCACACCTAAACACTGCAACGCATCCATTGTCGTCTCCCCCTTGGGGGCTACCATCATACGGAAATTCCACCAATCCCGGCCTTTGAAATGACAGTTATACTTGCCAGGCCCTGCCCCAGTCAGCAGGTGGCATGCCTGTTCAAGCATGTAGCATCCGGAGATGACTGGCTTGATTCCATGCGCAGCTCAACAGGGAGAACACGCGCGCGGTTTGGACGACTGCATTCCGTGCTGACAAGGCATAGCCGTTCCTGCCATATCTAGTTGATGCAGTAGAGGTGATGTGTCGCCTATTGAGGTTTTGTGAGATCTGATTCTGCATGCCATGAGGGCATTCAACCTGAAGCACGACCTTGTCGAGGGGAGGGGGGGAAAAAACCATCGTTGAATACCCTGGGGGCCTGGAACGTGGGCATACCCTCTGCAAGCTGCGCAGCTGCAGTAGGTATCAGTAATCCCATCATTTGCTCGTAAGGCGGCCAAATTCGTCCGCTGTCCAGACGAGGCTATTCAGCTTGGTGCTTCCTTTCGCGGCTCGAACCAAAGCCGCTAACGACTGTCCAGAAAGTCTTCCCCCCGTCGTTTCGCTGTGGCCCCGGCCCGCGGAACTCCACGTCCAAGAGCCGGTGGCCGTAGCTTGAGCTTGTTCCAAGAAGAGGCATGGCCTCACAATAGCCTTCTGTAGTCTGGAGTCGGCTGCGGGAGGATAGAAACCCGCGTAGATCCCCCGAGGTGGGGATAACTGGTGAAAGGCAGCCTCCTTGTGAGACGGACATTCGCGCAGAAAAGAAGAGAATGCACAGTTATCTCGCTCAGAGCAGCATCTGGCGACCCAAAAAGCAGCACAATTAGCAACGCTGCCCTCTTCATGTTTCTGTGTAGCATCCAGACCGGTGCAGCAGCGAGACCCGGGCTCCGCGTCCCTGAACGGCACCCCTGTCTTTATGCAGCAGAGTTCTGGCCCTCATGCCTCCAGCTCGTAAATCCTTGCCGAAAGGGACAACGCGGCATCTCATCAATTACACCAGGATTCTTGACGGGGAGCAGAAGACAGGCACTAGGGTACATGCGTGGTAGTGCTGAGGACTTCGGCCCGCATAGCATCCCAGAACAGCTCGATAGCGACGGTGAGAGCAAGAGAGCCGAGGCAAGCCCTGAGGACGGATTCGAGATCGAGGTCCAGACTCGACTCGACGCAAAAGCCGGAATTTTTTCCTGGCTGTTGGTAGCATCGGCGGCGCCAAGTGCCGGTCCTGGGATGGAAGGAAAACGAGACTGCCCCCAATACCACCTCTCAGCTTGCAGCGAGGCCATGCAGGTCCGGCAGAGCGTTCGCCACACGGAAAGGAAACAATAAAGAGACAAACGCACGACGCACGCTACTAATACCCCATGATCCCCAGCTTCTTCAGCTCTTGTTCTCTTTCCTCTCCTCTTCAAGCCTCAGCTCTCTCCCTTGTCCTTCAACCTGACCAATGATGCCGCCTCCGGCCGGGTTACTCGGGTCACGCTCTCATTGATGCGCCGAGAAATGCGGCCGTTTTGCCGCCCCCAGTCGGCCTTGAAAGAGGGGCCTTGAGCCCAAGCGAGCAGAGCAAACGCTTCTGTTTCGTACGACCGCGGACTTGGCAACGTGGGATGTGAGGCCCGCGCATCGAGGTCCTTTCATTAAGGCCCCAGCATTCGTAGCATCTCAGCTATCGACTGAGGCCGCCGTAAAGAGCAATAGGCTCGTCAAATTCGGAATGAGGGGTGCCGAGATGGATATATGCGAGCCGCGAGATCGACGGCCCAGTAAATCGTGGCAAACGCTTCGATAAAGAGTCCGCAGATCCGCACGTCTCGCCGGATACGACCTTTGTAGCTCAACCTCCTCAGCTCTTCTCTTTCCACCCTTCCCTCCTCGCCACAAGGAGCGCGTCACTGGGTGTCCAAGATGTACCGTAGCCGCCTAAGTTCTGCACTCCTGGCCTTTGCGAGCCTTGCAGGCGTCGCCAATTCTGCGCCCGCAGCCTCGACCACATCCACGTCGTGCAAATGCTTCCCCGGAGATGCCTGCTGGCCTAGTTCCAGCGACTGGGCCGCGTTCAACAAGACTGTGGATGGGCGTTTGATTGCGACGGTTCCCCTGGGATCACCGTGCCATGGCGCATCGTACAATGAGACGGAATGCCAGTTCTTGCAGGACAATTGGCTGTTCCCACCAATCCAGTAAGTATCGTGCTGCATGAGATGCCCATTCCCCCAGTCTTTCACTTGTTCAGTCTCACCAGACGAACGCTCGCATAGTCTAATATGGAACTGTATCAGCTTCGATTCCTCGTCTTCAGTCATGGCGCCCTTGTTCGCCAATGCGAGCTGCGACCCGTTCCAGCCAGAGGACTCGCCTTGCACCCTCGGCAATTACGTGCGATATGCCGTCAACGTGTCAACGGCTGCTCATGTCTCGGCAACGCTGAAGTTCGCGGCGGAGCGCAACATCCGATTTGTCATCCGCAACACCGGACACGATTACAACGGTCGTTCAACCGGCGCGGGCGCCCTCTCCGTATGGACCCATTACCTCAAGGACACGGAGGTGCTCGACTGGGAGGACCAGTACTACACCGGCAAGGCGCTGAAGATCGGGGCCGGCATTCAGGGCTTTGAGGCTCTTGAGGCAGCACACGCGGCGGGATTGATCGTCGTGACGGGCGAGTGCCCCAGCGTTGGCATTGCAGGAGGATATGTCCAAGGCGGTGGCCACTCCGCCCTCAGCACCAATTTTGGCCTTGCAGCCGACAACGCGCTCTCATATGATGTCGTCACGCCCAATGGAACGCTCGTGACGGCCACGCGGACTCAGAACAGCGATTTATATTGGGCTTTGAGCGGTGGCGGCGGCGGCAACTATGGCGTTGTCGTCTCCATGGTGTTCCGTGCTCATCCAGATGCCATCGTCGGAGGCGCCAAGTTCTCCATCGACACGACCTCTCTGGGCTCCGAGACGCTGTACGCCATCATTGATGCCTTCCATGCCGCGCTGCCAGATATTGTAGACTCGGGCGTCATGGTCATCTACTTCTTCGGCCCAGGCTTCTTCCAGGTGCCGGCCTTGACTGCGTACGGCAAGACTCAGGCCGAGACGGAGGCGATCCTAAAGCCCTTCCTCGACGCGGTGGCCGCGCTCAACGTCGACCTGCAGCCAACATTTACGCAGTTTTCCAGCTACTATGACCACTTCCTGAACTATTGGGGTCCGTTTCCGGCAGGTAACATCCAGGTCGGCACGGACCTGTTTGGTGGCCGACTGATTCCCCGGTCCGACCTGCCGAACTTCTCTCCGACGGCGCAAAAGCTGGTCGAGCTCGGGGTGACGTTCATCGGCGTCGGGCTCAACGTGTCGCACTTTGGCGGCGACAACGCCAATGCCGTGCTTCCGCAGTGGCGCTCGACCATCGTCGAGGTGTCGCTGACGCTGCCGTACAGCTTCCAGGTGCCCTTCCAGGACATGATCGCCACCCAGGACACCATCACAAACGTCGTCCAGCCCGTCATCGAAGCGGCCACGCCCGGCGGCGGCGCTTATATGAACGAGGCCGACTTCCAGCAGCCCGACTTCCAGGAGACTTTCTTTGGCGCAAACTACCCGCAGCTGCTCAAGATTAAGCAAAAGTACGACCCTGATGGCCTGCTGTATGCGATTGCGGCGGTGGGCAGCGAGGCCTGGACGGTTGCGGAGGATGGCCGAATGTGCAGAACTCAGTCATGATGCTGACGTGCTGCGAAGTTGTAGAAGTCAATAGGTTGATAGTGAGAGAAGCAAATTGATGACGGTTCAAGACTACCTACCTAATAGATGAGAGTGGCTCAGGAAGTTGAAATGGCTTAAGTAAGCCATGTTCTGTAGGTTGCTACATAAGAGAAAGGCATCACCCATGTGCAGCGACTCTGAGATTCAATACCTTAAATTCTATCGATTGCTCTTGCTCTTTGTGAGCGGCTTAGGTACTTGTTGGCCTATCAATATGCCCGCCTTGGGTAAGTTCGGAAGTACAGTAACCCCTCTTGATATTGGAACAGGGACGACGTAGACAGAATTCTTGAGCAATGACAACATTGAAGACGATTTACGCCACATGGTTCGTTTTGTTATCTAAATTGCTATGAAGTACCGTAGTTGTCTTGCCGTGCAGGTGTGGGAGGATCGATTGGACCGAAAGGCGCATGGAGCCAATCCTCTCGTGGCTTCGACAACGTAAAGCCATGAGACGGTACATAATGTACAGAAGAGACTGCGTGGCCTGATGGCCATATCAGACCATTTACAAAGACACGGAGCGGTGAAAAGCAATCATATGTCGCTGCAAGAGATGGTAGAACGATCTGTTGTGTAATGCTGTGGAGGAGCAGGAGTCGTCTTCGGGGAATGGTGTAAGACGGGATATGTTACACCACGTCCTGCCTCAGCTGGACACATCATTGGTTACCAAGAGCCCGGAAACCACCGCAATCAATAGTTTGATGCTAGTTGATGACCTTCGAAGGATTTAGCTGCAATGTTGGTCTGACCATGTAGCGTTGCAACACGGCTGAACAAGGCACTATCGTGAGAGTCCATCGCTCTAGATTCACAGTCTCGTTGATCTAGATTCAAAGACCCGTCAATCTCGATCTCTTATCGTATGTTCTTCTGTCTTTACGTAGTATCTCATGATAAACCAGATATGCCAACCCTCACACAAGATTCGACATATATTAATCCAGCAAGAGTCCTGGCTCTGAATGGAAGCCATTGAACGAGGAACCCAAAAACACCAGAAGCTATCGAAAAAGGATCGCTCTCAACCTCATTCACAACTCAGTTCACATTTCAGAGATCTCAAAATGAAGTTTACCTGTGTCCCCATCGCATTCACTCTGGCTCACATGGCCGTTGCTCAGTGGACTTGCGATCCCGGCTTCCAATGCGGCTCTACAATCATTCATCGCGGTGAGTGACATGTGCACCCTTACGCTTGCAATGTTTACTAACTGCATCCAGATGACAGCTCCTTTTGGGTCAAGAACCTGAAGAATGCCGAGATTACTGTTGGCAGAACAGATAAAGACCCCCTATGGGATCTCTTCCGCTGCAACGGCGATCGTACCGTCTCCTTTGTGAAGCACTGTTCCGGCAGGTGCCTCTATGGAGGAGCCGGACAGGATCGATGTGAAGGGTGAGTTTTCTGTCACGAGCGAGTAACCGTTGTGATTGCTAAACTGGCCGATCCCAGGGATCTATGATTTGACTAGATCAAGCGCTTGCAAGGGGGGGCATCATGAAGTCTACAGATATAGGCGTGGCTTGCTTCAACAGCATGTCACAGTGACAGTACAGAGGGCTCGGGCCATTCAACATGATTTGGTGCCCCGCAAATACTCGTTTGTTAAGCTTTGATAGTTGCCTATAATGGAAATTTCTGCTATCCTGGCTTGCCTGGTTCAGATCCACTGCATTGACTCGTGTTTGACAGCTCGCGACGATCATGTGTTGGCGATGGCATCAAAGAAAACATGACTAAGCTGCCAACTTGGTCCTGTTCTGTTCTGATAACAATCGGGTCGCTTCTCGTATTCGCATCTTCATATGATGTTGAACATTGACATGCGGTTGATGCCTGCAGCAGATGCTGCATGGAATCATACGCAGATAAGCGCACGTCATGCAACAAGTCGGGAAGTATCTTCGGCTATGGCGCTTGTGTGATTAGCGGGCTGTGAGGCATCATGGCGATCGGCAGCAGTCCCACGCAAGCACTCAACCGCCCCGGAGGATTTCGTGACAGGAAGAGCCCTCGGTTATCTCTTTCTTGTGGCTCGGGATAAAAATTGTAGGACGGGATGATACGTTACTGCTTGTGTCCAATCATAGCGTGCGTGTAAGTGCTAATAGACGACGGATGCTGCAAAAGGGCGTCTTCCCACCAGCAGCCCCATACATGCCGCGTACCCAGATTGAAACGAGCAGCAGACAAATTGCGGATGGACGGCGATTGAAGGCAGTTTCGTATTACCAATCTCTGGCTCCTCGGGCTTGATCTCAATCTCGGTTGACTCTATCCAGAATCATAATACCCGAAGCTGAATACGGGTTCGTCAGGTTAAAAGACGACGGGCATTTTCTGCTCGTCATGGTTGCATATACACGACGGAAGTTTACGTGCAGCAATTACTCCGACGAACCCATGCAACGAGTTTCACCTTGACCAAATCCTACCACTCCCTGCCTTTGAAGAGAATCAATTGGTTCCAAGTATACCTTAGGAATTACGGACAGAAGAAGGATGTCCTGCCTCTGCCACGGCGCCTTCCGATGGCTCTTCGAATATCTTCGCCTGCTGATCGGGATTAATCAGTTTCCAGGGTCTTGGCTCGATCGGGTTATTTTAGCGTGATAGCCACCCAAAAAAGGTTCCGGTTTCTCCGTCTCCACGCCGAGTAAAGTTCCAGTCCAGTTCGATATTGAACAACAACACCAACCAATACTTAACCCGCTTCACCACCCTCTCCAGCTGCACCCGAACCGCAACACCGCCATGCCTCTCCTCCGCCGCCCCTGAAACAAAAACAAACCCTCGCCCGGCCGTGTCTTGTCTCACCGAAGGACAACGAGAAGAACGCACGCAGTGATCAGTGATCCAGAAGAACCGCCCTCGATGGCCTCGCCGCCGCTGTCGCAGGTGCTGCCTCCCCTGCTGCTGGGGACGGCCACCTTCAACCACCAGTACCACCCCGACCCGTCGCGCATGCCCTACGTCGACATCGTCCGCAGAGCCCTCGAGCACGGCATCACCGCCTTCGACACGTCGCCCTACTACGGGCCCTCCGAGGTCCTGCTGGGCCAGGCCCTGCGCCTCGTCACCCCGCCGCCGCCGCGCGAGGGATACTTCCTCGTCACAAAGGCCGGCCGCATCAAGGCCGACGAGTTCGACTACTCGCCCGCCTGGGTGCGCTACAGCGTCTGCCGCAGCCTCGAGCGCCTGGGCACGCCGTACCTGGACCTGGTCTACATGCACGACGTCGAGTTCGTGTCGCCCGCCGAGGTGCTGCAGGCCGTTGCCGAGCTGCGCCGCCTGCGCGACCAGGGCCTGATCCGCTACGTCGGCATCAGCGGCTATCCCGTCGAGACGCTGGCCGCGCTGGCCGAGACGGTGCTGCGCGAGACGGGCGAGCCGCTCGACGCCGATCCTGTCGTACGGCAACTTCTGCCTGCAGAACTCCCGCCTGGGACGCCCGGACTTTCTGCAGCGCTTCCGAGCCGCCAGGGTTGAGTGTCTGCTCAACGCCAGCATCCTCAACATGGGCCTGCTCACGACCCGCGGCGTCGACAACGGGCCCATGGCCTCGTGGCACCCCTCGCCGCCCGAGCTGCGCAGGGCCTGCGCCACTCTGTCGCAGATAGCAAAGGACGAGGGCGAGCATCTCGAGGGCGTGGCCATCCGCTGGGCGCTGGAGAACTGGGCCCGCGCCGGCAAGGATTTTGGCACCACGGCCTACGTCGGGGCCGGGCCGCGCATCGGCGCCAGCGTCATGGGCGTCACGGCTGTCTCCGAGCTCGACGAGACGTGGGATTTGTGGAGGAGTGTCATCGGGCCCGTCATCGGCACCAAGGACAACGCCGCAACCGAGAGGAGCGATAAGATTGCCAGGCTGGTCAGGGACAAGATGTGGCCCAGTCTGGGCTCGTGGAAGGACTACGCGTGGGAGAGCGGCGGCGAGGCGTTTGTCAATGCCAGGGCGACGCCTGGACAGATTCCCAACGACGAGGTGGCGGAGAGATGGGGGCTGGTCCCTTCAGCAGCAGCAGCAGCTGTTTCCAAATTGTGACGCGCGACGCCTAATTATCATAGACCAGCATGCTCTTTTTTATTCCTGACTCTGTATAAATTTCACAGTACATACGTTACCTTGGCTGCATATGAGATTGATTGCCTTGGAAGGACTGAACCAGATCCGATGCTTGTATCGAGTCCATTGCACTACTGATGCCCTCGTATTACCGCTGCTACCGAATCACGCACGTATGACAGAGTGGCATAATGTAGGATTGCAGCTGCTTAGCCCGCCTAAGCTGCAGTTGCATGGATGGCCATCCTCCGATCCTCCGATCCTCCGGCTATACGTATGACACGATAGATAGTTAGACGCAGCTCCAAAGGAATCAGGCGGGTCGTCGGCCTCTTTGTTGCGAGATGTACTTTGCGCGGGCTCAGCTCGAGGCCTGTTGGACAATGTGATAGCTGTGATTACGTCTTTCAGCTGATTGAGTATAGCATCCGTGATGTTACCTCTTACACGCGCAGAGTGAACATCTCGAATCTAGCAGAAATGGACATTATCGTAGCGCGGCCGCTGCAGGCGCTTATACGCGGCCTCATCATCATAGCAGTCATCACCATCACCAGATTCCTATGCCGCGGTTACAAAGTCAGAAGACGTGTCCGACAGCTCCAAGCCCAAGGCATTGTACACAAACTCTTGAACAGTATGGCACTCTCAGACCTCAGAGACTGACCCATCTCACAGCCCACTCTGCCCCATTCTCTCGTCTTCGGCCATATCCCCGTCCTCCTCCAGTTCCGCAAACACCACCCCGAAGACGTCCACTTCGGCATCATCATGAAATGGCTCGTCGACAACTGTCCCAGCTGGATCCCAGACCTCCAACGTCCGCCTCCAGTCCTCTACCTCGACATCTGGCCCGTGTTCCCAGACATCATGATGATGGTCTTTGACGGCCGTCTCTCGGCACAGTTTACGCAGACGAGGAGCTTGCCCAAGCATCGCATCACGCGCACCTTTTTGGAGCCCCTGACGGACAATCTCGACATGACTTCTGCTGACGGCAAGCAGTCCAAGGTGTGGCGGTCGCGCTTCAATCCGAGCTTCAGCCCGAGGAACATCACGATGCTCATCCCGGAGCTTATTGACGAGATTGTCGTTTTCAAAGAGTTGCTGGCGGGAATGGCTGGGCCGAATGGGCAATGGGGAGATGTCTTTCAGCTGGAGGAACGCACGACAAATCTCACCTTTGACGTGATTCTCCGAGCAACCATGTGATTGATTCCCTCTCTTCTACGTAATACTCGATATCACGCACTCACACGGCATGGCATATAGGGATGAACGCCTTCACGAACAGATAAACCCCCAAGGCAGCCCCCTCAAACAAGCCCTCATCAGCCAAATCCGCCTCATGAGCAAAGTCCTCGGCCTCAACCACATCCTCGGCATAAAGCGCTGGCCCTGGGACTCCATCACGCGAGCGCGCAACAACGCAGCCCTCCGCAGCGCCCTCCTCGGCCACGTCGAGAACGCCATCAAGTCTTCCCCCCGTCCCGCAGGGGCAAACACCGAGACCAACAACAAGAAGACGATTTTGAACATCGCGCTGAGTCGTACACTTGCCGAAACGGGCTGTGCAACGCCTGACAAGGAGGAGATTGAGGCCGTTTTGGCCAACTTGAAGCTGTTTCTGTTTGCGGGTCATGATACCACGTCTTCGACGATTTGTTGGATGTTCAAGCTGCTGCAGGATAATCCAGAGTGTCTAACCAAGCTTCGTGCAGAGCTTGACGATGTTCTGGGGCAAGATCCCAGCCAAGCTACCAATCTGCTACGAGATTCGCCACAACTGCTAAACAGTCTGGCATACACCACCGGCGTCGTCAAAGAAACGCTGCGCTTCTACCCGCTCGCGTCCACCGTGCGCCAAGGCGAAAAGGACTTCTCCCTCACCCTTCCTGGCTGTGGTGTACGGTATCCAACGGAGGGCACCGCCATCCACGATGTCCCCTCCGTCATCCAGCTCGACGAAGCCGTCTGGCCGCGCGCAAATGAGTTTCTCCCCGAGCGCTGGATGGCACCGCAGGGGGATCCTCTGCATCCCGATAAGGACGCCTGGAGGCCCTTTTCCATGGGTCCGAGGAATTGCATCGGGCAGGAACTCGCCATGGTGGAGATTAAGCTTGTGGCGGCGTTGGTGTGCAGGGACTTTGATGTTCGGGAGGCGTGGGCTGAGTGGGATGCGAAGCGTGGAGGGGTGGTGAAGAAGGAGATGGTTGGGGGGGAGAGGCTTTATGGGTGCGGACAGACTGTTCAGCATCCAAAGGATGGGATGCCGGTGTGTGTTAGGCGGCTTGGATAGGCATTATGTGAGTATCTAAATATTGGGGTCTTTGCTTTAAGCTTGGTAACTGAGCAGGAGAATATCAGATTGACTGTAGGGAGGTATGAGATTGAACCCCCTTTTTGTTTCTACCTAGTTCAGTACATATACCACAGAAACATTGAAACCGCCAACAGCACTCCCATAAGGCCCATCCACGCCAATGCCGTCCTTTTGAAAACATATCGAGCTGTTTCTTCTACTGCTTTTGAATCATTTGCCCGCGGAAACGGGCAGTCCGGAATAGGCTTGTCCAGGATCTTGCACAACGGGGCCCATCCGTCACTGAGTTCAACCCAGTACATACGGTTCTCCGGGACGATTCTTTCTATCTTGCTGTAGTAGTGCTCGAGAATGCCTGAGCCCGACAGCTTGAGTCAATTGTCCATCTCCAACACAGGCAATGAGTTCCAATGATAGAGACTTACCGGGCCCTGGTCCCTTATCATATCCATCTTCCGTCAACATCTCTCTCCCTCTAAAACCCCCCAAATCACCATTAGCCAACAATCGCCATCAGCACAAACCATCTTTCACCCTCACTTACCTCTTGCTCATTTCCCCCATGATAACAGGAAACCACCTCCATCCAGGCATGATGATCAAATACCACCGCAGCCACCCCGGCATCGCATGCTTAATCATCTGCTCCATGCTCTTCCACCACTTCTCCGGATCGCGCCTCCATCCAATAACTTGAGCATCAGGATAAATCTCACAGAGATCCTCGATAAAGTGCGTGCCGGGGGTATCTGTGATGGCGACAAAGCCCCGTGTTACCTCGCGGAGGGCGGCGAGACGCTTTGGCTTATTGTCTTTGGCGGCGTATACGGCGAGCCATTTCTGCACGTAGGCTTTTTCCATACGTGTGAGAATTCTTGAGTGTAAGAAAACAAGATAGGGGAGAGGGGCGAAAAAAATAATACCGTCTTCGCGGCCGAGGAGTTGTGTGCCTCCATGGCAGACTGGACCGTCCAGAATCTTTTCGAGGGCCAGGGCCATGGAAACTGTCCCAGTGCGAGCAAATCCTGCGCCAATGACCTGCAGGGACCGGTTTGGGTCTGTAGGGACAGATGGAACACCACCCATGATTAGTATTGCAGCCGTAGAGAAGCGTTATCGTAGTGTGCTTGACTGTGAGGTGAGGAGTGTGAGGGTGGTATGTAAGTATACGAAGAGCGACGGCCCGTTTAGATCCTTCAGGCAACAGAGAGCGATGGGCCGTTTAAATACAACAAAGCTCGACAGACAGGGGACCGTATTGGATTGATGAGATGGAGCGGTTGACGCCACAGCGTTGCATGCAGTTCTAGTGCCTCGGTCGTAGGATGGCTAAAACCAGGTTGTGTTCCTTTGGATTGAGCACGAGGCTGAAAGCCGACGAGGAGTGCTCTTCATGGGGGCCATCTCAACAAGAGTTCCGATTTCACTCAACCCATGCCTTTCGCGGGCACTAAGATGGCACATTCGCTTGGGTGAGGTCTTGATCCATTTGCAGGATGCCTTGTGCCTACAGAATCAAACTGACTCGTCCAGCTCTCATGTGCACTTACGATTATCAAGCAGTTCTGGCAGGCTTACTTCGTATCTGAGGGCTTATGCTTCAAATTATGGCAGTCTGCTCGTCTTGATATCTTGTCTGAATTGATAAGCCAGGTTATGATTAGGTGTTTACAAGCGTCCGTTTACTCCGGAATTTTGGAAACTACAAAGAGCTGAAGCTCTTGACTATGAATCCGCCTCATCTACTGCTTCCTCCTCCTCACAGACAGCTTGTAGCCGATGGGTGGCGGCGAGACGTAGCTAAACCACTGTACCATATCCGTCAGTTCAAACTCAAGACGGCTCGTGAAAGGAAGATGCGTGTAACTCACGGGGTTCTGAGGCCGAGGCTCAGTATCATGCTTGATGTCGTACCGCATCACAATCTGCGACAACAGCAGCTTGAGCAGATGATTCGCAAAGAACCGTCCAGCACTGCCCAAGTCAGCAAAAACCATTCAGTCTATCAAACATCTCGAGAATCTGCTTACCAGGCATATCTGCCGTGACTAAAAGCGAGATATGTGTCACTCGTAGCCGCAAACTTGAGCCCCGTCGTCTGCGCCTCAGCCTTCTCGTCCAAGAACCGGAACGGATCGAACGCAAACGGCGACTCTCCAGGATACACCTCCGCATCATGATGCAAGCCGTAGCTCCCGATGCCAATCTTTGCCCCGTACGGAATGTGCTCGCCCGTGGGCAGATCGACGCCCTCCTTCGCGACGACGACCTTGATGATGCCGTGCGCAAAGCCCCAGAGACGGAGACTCTCCGTCATGACGCTGTCCATCTTGGGCAGCTTCGCGACCTCTGCGCGCGTCCAGCGCACTGCAGGGTCAGCAGCGTCAGCAGCAAGAGCCTCTTCGCGCAGCTTGTTCTGGATCTCGACGCTCTGAGGGGTGTGAGCAATATCAATGAGAGCATTCTCAAGCGTGATGCCCTGGACTTGAATGGCCGCCCAGTTGAGAATGGCCAAGAGCTTGCTGCTGTGGCTCTGGGACCTGCACGGGTCGTCGTTGCGACGGTAGGCTTCCTGCATCAGACGAGACAGAAGATCACTAGGCTGGTCGGGATCCTTCTTCTCGCCATCCTCCATCTTGCCAAACCGTCTCGCGCGCTCCCTGATGACGGGATTCACACAGCGGTCCATACGCTTAAACTGCATCCAGTCATACTGCGCCAGAAGAGGACCCAGCAGCGGCCGGAGAGGCTTCGGCGTAAGCTGCGCGAGAAGAGCCTCGACGAGAATGAACTTTGCGAAATGCGTCGAGCTGGAAAGATACGTCTGGTCCCGACAGAGCGGGAGCCCGACATACATGCGGCTGACGATGCGACTCATGAGCTCCAAGCAGACGTCCAGGAGCTCAATCTGCTTCCAGCTGGTGGTGTCGTTGCCCCAGAGGTCTTCCAGGGCGACTTGGATCTCTTCAATCACGTCGTTGGTCTTGTTGTTGAGTTCTTTGGTGATGTCTTTGATGAGGTTGACTACAAACACCCATTCGTTGTCGTCGGCAGCGACGCAGTTGAGGAATGTGTGCTTGGCTGCGAGGAACTCGTTGTTGCTTTCTCTTTGGCTGAGAATGGCTGCTGGCTGCTTCATCAACCATTGCAGATTCTCCGGGGGCAGGATGACTTGGTGGCCGGTGAAGATGTCAGGGAGGATATAAGGGCGTCCTTTCTTGGAGTACTGCTGAACCTGTCAATCTTCTTTGTTCGGGCAATGATAGGGCTTTTGGGGATTGGAGTCTTACGTCTCGGTGGCCTGCCCATAGGAGAGTGTTGACTTCGAAGACAGAGCCAAGGGAGGCTCGGCCGCGGGAGAAGAAGGATCCATCCGAGTTGGCAAAGGCCAGGCTCTTTGGAATTCCTTGGTAGGAAAAGACACGGTACCACACGTAATAGATGCTGCCAACAAGACCAGCAACAGCCAGCCAAGGGAGAAGAGCTAGAATTGTAGCCATGATGATCAATAGTTACAGAGTCTCTGTTTTGAAATCCAAACTCCTGCCAAAGTTGGGGGATATACTATTGTATATCATACTGCTTACACAGCTATCTTGCTGAATAACCTCCTGCTCTCAACCTCACGCAACTTGCTCTTACGCGCATAGATAGCAATCCATGAATGGCACCCTACCTTCGGATACTCTCGGAGCTATGAGGCAGACTTGGGATGCTCCGTGACAGCATTTTTACTCACAGGAAGGATCATCCGTCTCACTTGATTCTGCCCCCCTCACCCACTTACAACTCTATGTATAGACGCTATGGAGCTGCTGGAAGAGAAAGCAATAGTTGGTTCTGCTGATCAAAAAGTGAAACATGGCTGGTAAAAGAACCTACATGTCTTGTCATCGAGTCTACGCTACCTTACGCTTGAGTCCTGGAAACAAGACAGGTTGAACCAGCAGCTGGATTCACATGTCAATGCCTCCGGAAACACTTCACGCCAATCAGAACCGTAGCCCACCATGCCCACCATATCCCACGTCTCACAGGATTCACCTGACTACTGCGTCTCCCCCACCGCAAAAGGCCGATGGATCAAGAAGCTGACAGCAATGGGATCTGTAGGATCGCAATCCGTACAACCCTACCCCATAATGGCCCGCGATCTGGCCGCAGCACGCTCAGCCTATCGCCGTCCAGCCACATCCCATCAGACATTCCAGCGACTCGATCCTTTCAGTAATTCAGCACTAGCAGAGCTGTTGTGGCTCGGCACCTCCAGATCCCGGGCAGAGGCGTTCGGCTTCGCACCCGAGGAGTTTGCCGGTCACGGGCTGGGGTTCGCCGAGTCCTGCGGTGATTCTTCGTGGCAGGATCAAGATTGCGACGCTGGGGCCTGTTTCCATCTGGAATGCGAGCCTTGCTCTTCATCTGTACATGTACATGTGTGTCTCGGCTTGCATACAATTAGCCTGATTGAATTATGTGGTGAACTCAAAGGAAGCTCATGCTTACCCATTAGATTGCATGCATACAGGAAGTTGTCATGATCGCAATTGCATCAAGTCAGAAACAGTCCATGAGTCGTCATGTTTATGCATTCCCCGTATAAGCACTCAATAATCACCCAATCTTCTTTGGTATGCTGCCCTGAAAATAACTCGCAAATCAACAGCGGCATTGCTGACGGCAGGCCATAAGCCAAAGGAACAACCTGAAAAGTTCCTCTAGGCTTCCAATGGCTTAAACACGCTGTGTCGATCCTACATCAACCCAGAATAGATACATAGTTTCTAGGAATCCTCATACCAACCATCGCCTATTCTATAAGCCAGCTGGACCAGAGGATTGCAGTCAGGGATGTCGATCCAGGAACACTAGGCCAGAGAAGCGCCCGCAAATCGCAAATAAGGACCGAGAGATTCTATCACGTTCATAGCCCTATAGGTCGGGCTTGGTGACGTACTGCTTCCCTTGGTGCATATCTTCTTTGCCGCATGTCCTCGTAAACGACATAGAACAGTCCTGCCTCGGACGACCTATCACCAAAGGACTTGATAAGCTGTCCTAAGACTCTGGGCTTGACAGTCGGTGATGTGCTGTCTAGAGAATTGAGATTATCTTGCTACTGGAACAAAAACTAATCAACGACGAGATGGACAACCAGTTACTGACAGGCCATCCAATGGCACCCTCTGAACTTGCTCATCTCAACAACTCACCGACACCCAACCTTCAAACTACAGGCGAAAGCCTACCATTACCTCCACCACCGGTGAACAGATTGGTTCAGGATGTTATTGAAGATCAAGTCCTCGCTCGGCCTGATGCTCAGGCAATTGCCTCGCGAACCGTGAATCTCACTTACAAAGAACTCGACGAGAGCTCTTCGCGGTTAGCCACACAGATCTCATCTTCAGGTGTAAGCCCAGGCTGTATTGTGCCCATTCTTCATGAAAAGGTAAGATGTTCATCAATCTGGAGTTGCGCTTTCGTTGGGGAGGGGGAACGATCACCAGAGATGTCTCATCAGAGAAAGATATTATTAGCAGTCAACTAACATGCTTCATAGTCTGCCGTTACCATCGTTGCCATGCTGGCGGTGCTGAAAGCTGGATGTGCATTCACTGCCCTGGACGTATCCCACCCAACACAAAGACTGCTGGAAGTCATCGAGGACACCAACGCCCCTCTCTTGCTGCTCTCTCCAAAACAAGCTGCACGCTTCAACAGCTACACCAAAGTTCCCATCATCGAACTCTCCCAATATGTGTTTTCCGGCTCTGCCACCACCATTCCTTCCCACGCAGCTCCATCTGCCATCTCGCCGCGCCATCTCATGTATACAATCTTCACATCAGGCAGCACAGGCCGCCCAAAGGGCGTCATGATCGAACACGCAGCCTGGCTCACCAGCGCCCTCGCATACGGCGCCGACCAAGAACTCGGCCCCAGCTCACGGGTCCTGCAGTTTGCCTCGTACGCCTTCGACATGTCCGTTATGGAGATCTTCACGACCCTCATCTTCGGCGGCTGTATCTGCGTGCCGGCGGAGGAAGATCGTTACGGCAGGATCCAGGAATTCGTGAATGAGATGGGCGTTGACACTTTGATGCTGACGCCTTCTTACGCCAAGTTGTTGGATCCTGCTACGATGCCTGCTGTCAAGATGCTCATCACGGGGGGCGAGGCTGTTCCGAGCGACTTGATTCAGCTGTGGAATCCGCATGTCAAGGTCTACATTGCGTATGGCCCAACTGAAGCTTCCATACAGGCTGCAGGCGTAAAGCTCGAGATGAGAACTGAAGCAGTCCCGTCCGGGCTGATTGGGCGTCCGACAGGCTGCAATCTGTGGATTGTCAGAGAAGACAACCACAACGAGCTGGTTCCCAGGGGTGAGGTTGGGGAACTGGTCATTGAAGGAAACACCCTCGCAAGGGGCTACCTGGGTGACCAGGCAAAAACTGCGGCCTCTTTCGTAGACATGTCGATTGGCACGGACACCCGTCGCGTATTCAAGACGGGCGACTTGGCCCGTCAAACGAACGGCGGCGACATTGTCTTTGTTGGCCGCAAGGACACCCAAATCAAGATGCAGGGCCAGCGCTTCGAACTCGCTGAGATCGAAGCACGGCTATCCCAGACTCTGCCTGTTGGATTCAAACTCTGCGTTGATAAAGCAGAGAGTCCGCATTTCCATAACGGAGGTGCTATCGTGGCTTTCCTCGGCGACTCAGTCAGAGTGCCAGACGACGAGCATCCCGAAATACTCTGGGACCAAGTCGAAGCCATGTTGGACAGATCTCGCGAAATCACTTTAAAGCTGGAGAAAGTCCTCCCGAAGCCAGTGATCCCGTCCCTCTATGTGCCGGTTTCGTTCATCCCCCTAACCACATCCCACAAGACAAACCGCAACGCCTTGCGAGAGCTGGTAGCGGCTCTGAGCTCCGAGGAGCTTCAACGCCTCAGAAGGCTGGACAGATCCAGGGGCGAATCCAGGGCGTTGACTGACGATGAATTGATTCTGCGGGAACTGTGGGCATTTGCCCTCAACATGGCGCCGGAAAGCATCCGGCCCGATGACCACTTCATTCAGCTCGGAGGCGACTCGGTCACCAGCATCAAGCTGATAGCAGCGGCTCGCAGTCGCGGAATCTCGCTCACGTCCACCGCCGTCCTGTCGAATCCAGTCTTGAGCGAGCAGGCCCGTCTGGCATTCACTTCAGCCGCCGCAAAGCGTGACGAGGACATCCAGCCGTTTGGGCTGCTGGGAGATCGTGCGCATGAACTCCGCGCAACAGCAGCCGCCATATGCAAGTTACCCGTTGAAGAGATAGAGGACGTTCTTCCCATGACGATCAGTCAAATGCGGTGGTACGGCAAGACTTTGGTGAAGCCAGACGCGTACGTAGACCAGTATCACTTTCAGCTCCCCGGCGACGTGGACCTCGTGAGATTCCGCTCGGCCCTCAACTCCGTCGTGCAAGCGGCCGACCTCCTTCGAGCGCGGGTGCTCGCCACCAGAGACAAGAAGCTCTTTCAAGCCATCGTCAGGTTTCATCCCGTCGAAGTCGTGAGCTCCAGTGACGCTCTGGAAGCTTACCTGAGCCGAGATATCGAGACTCCCATGGGCCTCGGCGCGCCGTTGAGTCGCTATGCCATCCTTCACCACGACCACTCCGCCAGGGTATTCGTCTGGACGATCCATCATGCCATCTATGACGGCTATTCTCTGCCCATGCTCCTTCAAGCCATCCAGGACGTCTATCACGGCCTCGAACCAGCCCCTTTCACTCCATTCAACCGCTACTTGAAAGGTCCTGATGAGAATGGCCTTGAGGAAGGCGAGGCTTTTTGGAAAAATTATCTTCAGCAAGCGTCATGGACCAAGTTCCCCGCCTTGCCGCCTCCCCAAGAGACGGCCTCGCCGCACATGGGTAGGCTCTTGAAGACTCTGAACGTTGCCTCCAGACAAGCGCGACTTGGCGATGCCCAGGGTTCTCAGGCTGCCACCATGGCCAATGTGATTCGCGTCGCATATGCCGCCACGCTCTCGCACTTTGCCACAGACCAGCCCAGTTCAGTCCTCTTCCTGGAATCCCTCGGCGGTCGAAACTCGAGCGTAGAAGGCATTGAACGCGTAGCAGGACCGACTCTCGTCACCGTTCCCACAAGATTGGAGCTGCCGCGCGAGAAGCCATGCAGCCAAGTTGTTCTTGAGGGGCAGAGATCGCTCATAGAGAGGATGAGGTTTGAGAGCTTCCCCTTGCCTCGTCTGCTGCCTCTTGCGCCGCCGTTGGAGCTTCGCAGCGTGCTCATGATTGAAAACGAGGCGTTTCTGATCAACGGGGACGGTCGCGGTTTGTTTGGCCGAGGAAAGGAGGAGCTGAAGTTGGAGGAAACAGAGGGACTGCCCATGATATTCCGCTGCACTGTTTTCCAGGGCCGACTGGATGTGGACGTTCGATACGATAGCACCATTGTCGCTGATGAAGAGATGGACGCATTTTTGGCCAGATTCGAAAAGTTCTTGAAAGAACTGTGGGAGGGTGATGGGACTCGACCGTTTGATGTAGTTGCTTCGTCGTGATCAGCAGCTAATGGTGCCTGAAGGGCGACCTTTCATAGCTTTGATTACTTGGCAGGAATTCTCCATGTTACTCTATTTTTTACGACAACCTGGATAAATCAGCTTCAAAGTCTTGGGCAGCGTGACCTCATCCGAATAGAATATTTCATCATATTATTTGAAATTTCCATTGAGCATCGTCTTGAGAGCCATGACTGCGTTCGGTCATGCTCAACTCTAGGGTAAGCTCTTATATCACTCCGGATGCCCACAATCTCCATCCTCGGCCATCCACTTCCGGCCGCCGCTTTTCGCACCTCCAACCCACCTTCCAACCCCCGATCTCCGGCTCCGAAATTCTTCACGAACCGACCTCTTCCTCTCCCATCTTCTTCTTCTCTTCCTCCCCCCCCCAATGGCCGGCGGTCGCAAGCCCAAGGCCGCAGCAGCCCCCTCCCGCCCGCAAACGACGCTCGTCCTCGACAACGGCGCCTGGACGCTCAAGGCCGGCCTCGTCCACGGCGGCTCCGTCCCCGAGCAGCCGCGCGTGGTGCCCAACTGCCTGGCGCGCGACCGCTCCAAGAAGATCTACGTCGCCTCCGAGCTCGACCGCTGCCGCGACCTGAGCGAGATCCAGTTCCGGCGGCCCGTCGAAAAGGGCTACCTCGTCAACTGGGAGGCGCAGAAGGAGATTTGGGACCAGGAGCTGTTTGGCCATGGCGACAAGGCGGGAGCGCTGAAATGCGACCCTACCGAGACGCGGCTGATTCTCACGGAGCAGCCGAATGCGCTGCCCGTGCTGCAGACCAACTGCGACCAGATTGTCTTTGAGGAATACGGCTTCTCGAGCTACTACAGAGGAATTGGTATGTAGCAAACATCTATCTACAGTATACCTCCCAGCAGGAAACAAACATTGACAGGCGAACCCTCCCCTTCCCCAGGCCCGACGTTCAACGCCTACCACGACCTCCAGAGCCTCTTCCGCACCCCCAAGGACGCCCTCACCGCCGCAAACGTCCCCGCCGAGGTCATGCTCGTCGTCGACTCCGGCTTCTCCCACACCACCGTCACGCCCCTCCTCGGCGGCCGCCCCCTGCACTCGGCCATCCGCCGCATCGACGTCGGCGGCAAGTTCCTCACAAACTACATGGCGCGCCTCATCTCCCTGCGCCACTTCGACATGCGCAACGACCTGTACATTGTCAACGAGATGAAGGAGGCCGCGTGCTACGTCTCGGCCGACTTCAAGGCCGACCTCGAGCGCACCTGGAAGGGCACCCGGGGCGAGCGCCGCGACGACTACCTCTCCGGAGCGGGGGGCATCGTCAAGGACTACGTGCTGCCGGACTTCCACACCAGGCACAAGGGCATCCTGCGCGACTACGACCCGGCGCGGCACGCCAAGTCGAAGAAGCTCGCCGCCGCCGCCTCCTCCCATGGCGCTGCAGGGGCGGAGGAGGACGTCCTGACGCTGCGCAACGAGCGCTTCGCCGTCCCGGAGCTCATCTTCCGCCCGTCCGACGTCGGCATGCGCCAGCCCGGCCTCGCAGACGCCATCCAGCAGTCCCTGCACGAGCTGCCCGTCGGTCTCTGGCCGGGCCTCCTCGCCAACATCGTCGTCGTCGGCGGGTCCTCGCTGTTCGACGGCTTCATCCAGCGGCTGCAGAGGGAGCTCGTGCAGCTCGTGCCCGACGACTGCATAGTGCGCGTCGCGCGGCCCGCGGACCCCATTACGAATACCTGGCACGGAGCCGCGAACATGGCCAACCATGCGAATATCGAAAAGGTCGTCGTTACGAAGCAAGAGTACGAAGAGCATGGCAGTGCGTGGATAGCTCGCATGTTTGCAACAGGCCTCTTGACTTGACCCAAGGGGGAAAAAAGGCAATTTGGCAAGCACTGCGGTGTCTCTGATGCGCTGGCCCTCTCTACGTTTTCTTTTCATAGGAACAGCCTTGCAGCGACGTGAGAAAGGGGGCGTTTCTGGGCACCGGGATGGGGACATGTGGCTGCTTGCTATGATTGGATGGATAGCTACAGTACGGCGGCTGTGTCTGGAGGTTGCCACGAGTATGGCTACACAATCAGCCTTGCCCGTGGAATCGAAGTTGGAATGGGTTGGCGTCACATGTGACAACATGAAGGACGTTGCAATATGACAGAAGCCCAACTTCCGACAAAACCACGCTGGGGAACTCGGCATGCGTCTGGATACGCAAAGTTGCAAGCTTCCGGTTGGAAGCACTTTGCGTAGCCACCTTCGCCAAGCCTACCTGTCTCAGGGGAGAACATGACATTGGCTGGGCAGTCTGTGCCCAGGTCAGGCCGAGACGCGTGTTCTCGGACCAGGGCAGCACTGCAGCAAAAAGATAAAGGACAACGAGACGATTGCAAGGAAAAGAAAGAGGAGATTTGCAAATGAGAGGAGAAAAAGGTCCATTTGATATGGTCTGATCTGATGCCCAAAAAGCAAGGCTAAGTGTATCCGAAGAAACACGTCCGTCATCAAGTTCTAAACTATATGACAAAACGTCGCTTGCACGCAGAAAAAAGAAAGATACGCTCAATACTCCATACGCCGTCATAAAGCTGGGCATCCTGTGCCCAGAGGGTTAGGGGAGAGTTTCCATTGATGGGGAGCATCACAAGAGGGGAGAGAGGGGAGGCACAATGGTTCACGTCGCTCAGAGACGGCCTAGACCTCGTCCGCGGGACACGCACCCTGCATCAACGGTTAGCACTCTATCACTCCATAGCCGAGTTGTTGAACACAGTTCCAAGGAAAGGGAGGCTTTACAATCGCACTATTGGTCGTTGTGTTAGCCAAGTCCGTGACTCTACTCGTGATAGTGGTGGCTAGGCAGCTTACGTGGTTCATCGAACATCCCTCATTATGAACGAGGCAATATCCAGCGCAGCACTTCTTGCACACTCGCTGAGTGCTGTTGATGCAAGTTTCGCACTGCAAGATTTCCGTCTCCCCGTTAGCAGCTCTCTCTCAAGCATAGTGAACATCACAGGGGAGAAGCAGGATGAATGCTCACATTGCTACCGCATTCCCAGCAGCTCTTCGACAATCGTGGCTACGGTTGGGCAGTTAGCAAAGCTCGTGGTCGCATCAAAGTAATGCAACGCGAAGACAATGATGCCTCCGTTTCTGCAGTGATAGCATCAACGCGGCGGGGTGGGGGACAAACGCTGCGTACAAATTCGAGAGGTCTGTCTTCGAGACTGGCCTGATCGGCTGCTCCAATCCATCACCGGCTCGTTCTGTCGCAGGGAGTCTTTCATCCTCCTCCTCTTCATCCATTGTTCGTTTTCCCCCTCTTTCTTCAACTACCGTTTGCAGTTTCCTCCTGGGATGAAGAGCGGGAACATAAGGGACAGAGACCGTTTCGTACCTTGAGTTTCATCGTCGGTGTCGCGAGATCCAGATCGCCGTAGCTATTGATCGTCTCGTCGTCGACAATGGTGATCCCTGAGCTCTGGCCGGGAAGCTCATAGCATGACTCGCACCACCACTTGTCGCACCCAAGGCAATATCGCTCGCGGATGCAGTCCATACACCTGGGCACAAAGGAGCCGCATGGCTCTCTGGGTTTGGTCGCAGCCCGGAGGGATGAAGAAAGGAGAGGCAGCGGGGCTAGCAGCGGCAGATTGGCCACGGAGCTGCTGTCTGGGTGAATGAGACCTTCAGGAGCGCCGTGACAGCCCTCGCAGCCGGCGAGTGAGTAGGTGGCTACGGCCGGAGCGCTGTCGAGGTCCGATCCGCCCCTGTAGGCCGGCGAGTTGCGGTGGCGTGGCCCGTGGCAGAGGACGGCATCGAAGGCGATGATGCCACGGCAGGCCAGCATGCAGTTGGCCCACTCCTGGCTGATCGGCCGAGGGAAGATGCGGCCCTTTTCGTGCCACCAGACGTCCCCTTGGTGCTGTAGCGAGGACGCGAGAGCACTCTGGCTCTTCTTGTTCCACTCTGCGCTGATGGACATGCCGGATCCATCGGATTGCGGCGAGGCAGTCAACATGTCCCTGGAGCCGAAGACGTACAGTGCCTGGAGCTTGGGAGAACCTGCTCGCCGGGTCGGGCGACACGCATACTGAAGCGTTTGGCGCAGCTTGCCGTGGTTCAAGTTCTTCACTTCGCGGATGGACAGGATGCGGACGTTGAAGGTGGCGTCATTGATAATCTCATGGCAGAGCTCCGAAGTGACGGAGAGGCCGTCAAGGACCAGCGTCTGGACATTCTGCAGAATGTTCTGTCGCCGAAGCGTTGAGAAGATGCCCCTCAGCGGGCCAGAGTAGAAGCTGCGAAAAGTGAGCTTATGAACTTCGCATGGCATGACATGGCGCGGGTATATTCCATCGTGCACTCACTCATCTTCGGTGAGGTTTTCGTCCAGTTGGACATTGCGCCAGATCTCGCCGCCGTGGTCGATCTTGTCAATCTCAAACTGGACCGCCTTGATATGAGAGAGAGCAAGATGGCGAAAGACTCCTGGGGTCTCTAGGACGAGAGTTCGGAAAGCTCGGCTTGTAGCAGCAAGGTTCACGACACTCGAAACAGGCAGATAGGAGATTACGTGTCTCAAGACGAGCGAGTTGTGAATGGTGTCGTAGAGGGTAATGCCTGATTCCTCTGTTCCCGATGTTGCCAGTAGTTGGAGCTCTAAACGCGCTGGGTCGTCGACGGTAGCTAAGCTCATGTCAGGCCACTGAGACCTGGAGAAATCGAGAATTCGCAGGCGATGGATATTCGTCGCAGGCGAACAAGACAACCTCAGATTACACGGGAGAGCTTTGTACGGTCTGGTCCTTGATACTGGTTCGTTGTTCACTGCGCGAGGTTGTTTGGCACGGATGGCGCGAGGCGTGGCCGAAGCTTATAGACCTTCTCGGCGCCTGAACTGTGGCTCTTGGCTAAGGCTCTTGGCTAAGACAGGGCAATCTCACAGCTAAAAGCATGCCTCCTCCTTATCAAGCCATGGTGGCCAATCCAGAAGCACGGGAGATTGGGGGTGCCGCAGAGCAAGATGGGGGCTTTCACCGGCAGGCCGCACAGCGTATGTGAGCCGTTGGTGGGCTTGCCAGCGGCGCCAGCGGCGGCTGCGTCGCCCGGGACCGAACCAGACCAAACCAGGTGAAGTGAGGTGAGCCGAAGGGGAGAAGCGCCGAAGCACCGAAGTAACCTCCTACCGGGTGAGCATTGAGTAATTTCGTAACGCGTTGGGCGGATAAGGATCGTCGGCTGAGATGGAGGGACTGCTGGTGGCGAATGGGCGGCCAAGACGTAATGCGTTTATGTATGTAGCACGCCCGTAGGTATGTAACGTCCTGAAGCCTGCCAGCCTGGCTCATCGTTGTATGTAGGTGCTCCCACCATCTACCTACTAGGTATGTACTTGTACGTCGCATCATCTGGCAGGATCTTGGGAGACGAATCAGAGCGGGCAACGATTAGCGCTCTTTGCGTCTTGGGAGGCTTTCGAGACAAAGCTTGGCAGTCCTCTGCTGTCGCCTGGACACATGTGCTTACCCCACAGATTCCCAAGCTGATCCCTTGCTGTGGAAGAGCCAACACCATCAAGCTCATACACCTGAATGCAGTGCGGGGAGCCTTTCGAGGAACAGGTCCAGCCATCGCTACCATGCTGTCGACGTGTGTAAGTGACTGAATGAGATGCCTATGTCATAGGGGAAAAATGTCTTCTTGTTCTTGGGTGAGTTCAACCCGGCTTGACTGCGGCACACTGCAAGTATGTAGTATCTCACCACCCCCTCCTTGAACCTACTGCCCATTTTGTTCTCTCAAGGGTCTGCATGCACCGGAGCCCTGCCGTCCATCACCCGGCCTGATGAGCAAGATCCTGGGCGTGGGGGAGACAGCGGTTTGGTCGCACGATGGCTGGTCGGTTTGCGGGGCAATCGGTCTCTCTTTAGCAGTTCGTCTCCTGATGCGTGTTAGTCAGTAGCCGCGGCTCTGGAACTGCACTTTGAGCTGCGATGCTGCAGGATAATGCTCTTCAACGATTGTGTGTATCGATGATGAAGGTTTGCATGGCTGTCCGGAAGATGCTTGATGCAGTCATTTCTCTTCTCGACTCTGGCCAAAGTGAAGAAGGAAGGCATCAATGAATGCTCATTGCACTGCACATGGTTTTGCACGTGCACCCTGCTTACCTCATCGCCGCAGCTCCAAGGCACTCCATAGAATGGCACGGAAATGCTGACTTATCGCAATTGCCCCTCTAGGCGATTCTGGCCGCGTCTTCCAGCTGTCGCCTTCGCAACCGTGTAGATGATCAGACGCTTACCTTATCTGCGATACAGTCTGTGATATTGCGACAGCTAAGAAATGGAAGCTCTCTGTATCTACAAACTCCGGTGCAACTGTGGCTCTTTAGCTACTTCTCTTTCATTGACACTCTGACAACCTACAAACTACATACCCTCTTTTCCTGTAACCGTATTCTGTGCTTGAGCACATCATACTGTACCTTGCATACAAGCAGACCAGCATCATGGACGAGCCAATCCCCCTTCGCTGGTCCGATTCCTTCGCCATACTTCCTCCTTCTGATCCGATCTGCAGCAGACTCCCAGGCGACAAGATCATCCTCCCTCCCTCCGCCCTCCAGCAGCTGCTTTCAGCTTCGTCTTCCCGGACCACAGCGTCTACCAACGGCAGCTACAACTACTTCGACTCCAGCTACCGGACGAGTCACTTATACGGACAGGAGGAGACACAGCAGCTCCCCAATCCCCTCGTATTCCGCCTCGTCAACCCGAAGAATCACAATGTGGTCTACGCCGGCATCAGGGAGTTTTCTGCCCCAGAGGGTACCATTGGCTTGAGTGCACTGCTCCTTGAAGCTCTTGCCATCGGGCCCGAGGATCACCTTTCAGCGACCCCCGATGTAATAGATGTCGAAGATCCCGACAGCCTAGCAAGGAAAAATGCGAGCGCCGCGAGCAGCAGGATAACAGTACACGCTGTAGAGCTTCAGAAAGGAACGTATGTCCGACTGCGACCCCTCGAGGCTGGCTACAACCCCGACGATTGGAAGCCACTGCTAGAACGACAGCTGCGGCAAAACTTCACAACCTTGACCAAGAATACGGTCATCCCTGTCCAGGGATCACAAGGAGAGCAGTTCAAGCTGCTGGTGGATAAGTTCGCGCCTGATGGTGACGGCATCTGCGTGATTGACACGGATTTGGAGGTTGATATCGAAGCTCTCAACGAAGAGCAAGCCCGAGAGACTATGCGCCAAATCATGGCACAAGGCCAGGCGGGTTCGTCCTCTGGCAGTTCCAAGGGCGGCGAGTTAAGCATCTGGAAAGACGCCGAAGGACAAGTATTGCCTGGCCAGTACGTGGATTACACGCTGCCATCCTGGGACCGATCGCAAGAGCTAGTCATCACTCTCAGCGGCATCTCCGACGCAGACAGCCTGGACCTCTTCGTCACACCGAGATCGCGCCAGCAGCGGGCATTGCCACGAGACTCGGTCCACGTCTTTGGGAATTTTGCGCCTGCGCAGTACGGCACCAAGTCCATCACGATATCACCAAGCAATGTCGAGCTTGAAGATGCGGAGAGCCTCCTAATATCGGTTCGCGCGTACCAGGTTCCCGCCTCCGAGAGGGCCCCGGCGAACTCAACTGCCTACACTTACACTCTTCGAGCAAAGGCGGCGTCCTCGAAAGGAAGCTCAGGAGATGAGCCTATAGAAGTCGACCAGGAGGAGCATTCCTCGGATGAAGAGCAATGTTCGAATTGCTTACAGTGGGTTCCGAAGCGAACAATGGTTCTACATCAAAACTTTTGCTTGAGGAACAACATCCTCTGTCCCATCTGCAAGTCGGTCTTCAAGAAAGGCTCGCCCGAATACGATGCTCACTGGCACTGTGACCATGACGACGGTCACGGAGATTCAGCCTTGAGCAAGGCCAAACACGACTATGTGTTTCACACCGACCGCGGATGTCCGGACTGTGAGTTTTCCACCAACTCGCTGCCAGATCTGGCTCGCCACCGCACGAGCGTATGCCCCGGCAAGATTATTCTGTGCCGGTTTTGCCATCTCGAGGTTCCTCAAGAAGGCGATCCCTTTAACCCGTCGCCAGAAGTGGTTCTCTCGGGGATGACAGCTCATGAACTGGCAGACGGAGCTCGTACTACTGAGTGTCATCTTTGTGACAAGATTATTCGCCTACGAGACATGGAAACTCATCTAAAACACCATGAACTCGACAAGGTCAGCCGGGCCAAACCCTTGATCTGCCGGAACGTCAACTGCGGAAGAACGCTGTATGGCGTCGGCTCCAAGGGCCAGATTGGCACGCCGGGCTCTCCAGTCAAGTCCCCAGGCAACGACATCGGCCTCTGCTCATTGTGCTTCGGCCCCCTCTATGTCAGCATGCATGATCCTGACGGCAAAGCTCTGCGACGCAGAATCGAGAGGCGATACCTCAGCCAGCTGATGGCGGGTTGTGGAAAGTCGCATTGCACCAACGAATGGTGCAAGACTGGACGATCAAACCTTGGCCTCGAAGCCAGGGGATCTTCTGCCGCCGCGGCACTTCCTCTGGTCAAGCCGTTTCTTGCCGGGGCGCTTGATGCCTCGCAGCCATGCTACTTTTGCGTTGACGAGACGAGCCAAAAGGGCCGCAAGCTGGCGGAGCTGGTGGCGGCTGAAAAGGGGTGGGATCTAGAGTGGTGCGTTGCTGCCGCTGAGTTTGAAAAGGCCAATGCGGATAAGATGCGAGATTGGCTGCAAGCATGGGCGCCTAGAAGGTAAATGGGAATACATGATGGAGTTTATAAAGCATTAGGGAGGAGCTGTGTATTTCTGCATGGCATCGTGCTTGGTCTAAGATACCCCGGAGGGCGTTGCTGCTTTAGACGGATGTAGGTGGGAAGTTAATAGATGATACATATAGATTTGCGTTGGAAATGAAGTTGGTCAACATGTTCATGATAAAGAACATAGATTATTCGTCAAGTGAAAATAAGATTTATTTTTTTGAGTCGACAGCAATTGTATCCTGCCATTCCCCGGAGAGCATACTAATTCTGGAGTTGTCCCAAATTACCCCCTTGGCCGGCTAAATGCACGACTCAATGTTTCGCACGGCGGGATCGGAGCCAGGACGCACTGGCAGCTCTATCACATGCGCCCTGATGACGTTGACGGGCAGGCGTGCCGATCCATGATCTCATCATGAACGACTGTACAGTGCTGTTATGATGTTCCTACCTTGTCCAAGAACACCTCAAGGCTTGGAGGTGAGGTATTGACCCCTTTGAATGAAAGGACGAGAGACTCGGGTAAATTGAAAATGATAACCTGTAAGGTACACCGCTACAATCATGGCGCAACGGGCAAAGCGAAGGATTAGTGGCTAACGGCTTTCGAGGCTCTTCGTGTTCGTCGAAACGGAGCAGATGAAAGATGTGGCCGGTTCCGGGGAGACCTTTGGGCGTTTAGTGTGTGCCTCGCATCTACTACCAGTCCAAGACACGTCTCTTCACAATTGCAATAGTAATAACTAGGTATGGAGTTCGTTTGCACTGCCATGGTTCAACATGTTGAAGTAGGCAGCAAAGCGATTCTCAGGTAAGCCAATAAGCAGCCCGACGATTAGTATGTAGGAGAAGGGGCAAGCCCATCATCACGACTGGAAGCTTGATTTCGACAGAGCTGCTGTGCTTCTGTTTGGCCGGTTGGCAGGGCTTAGCACGTAGGATAGTCTACGCGTACGAGTGGACTGAGTCCGGCTGTCCCGAAAGTACCGCGAGGCCGCGCGATACTTGACTGCTGACCGGACCGGTGGAATGATATTTGGGGTGAGTTGATGAAGACGCCCGTCGTATGTAATAGCGAAGATGGATTGATCGGTCGTATTTGTTGGATTGACAAGTCGAGATGAGAGTCCGGTTGCTGCTGGACAGCTTCAGGCGACATCAGTCCGCCTTGGGGCACTCCGCCGCTGTATCCGGGCAGCGCACGCGGTGGCCTCGGCACCTCGAATGCATGTGGTCAGGGCTGCCCTGAGCCGCTGTGGCTGCACTGCCAGTACGGGCCATTCTGACAGGCATCCTCGCAATTGCCATGTGTACTTCTTGTGGACTGCTGATGTGATTGAACAACGAATATTAATATATTACCCACTGTTGTTTTCTACACAAAGGCGTATGGAGCGTACAAGGTGGAATATCGTCGTCTGCAAGTCATAGCGTTCCATGGCTGTACCTTATGTACCTCCCCTGGCGGAGGTACTTGTTGCGTAACCACGCCGGAGCTCCCCCATATTCCATGCTCTGGCAAAAGGTGGGGGAGGTGCTGCTTCTGGATTCTGCCCACACTGACCGTTATCGTATCGTTTGCCTGTCCCGCTTTCAACCAACCTCCGCCAGACAATCGCAGCGCATCGCAGCGCATCGCATTGCATCGCCTCTGCCTTCTCTTTATCCGCAGCCTCTCTCCTCTTGTCTCTGCCTCTGCGACTGCAGCCAGCATCTGCCGCCCGGCGCTTGGAGACGGTCCGGATTGAGCTGGAAGCTGGAAGCTGCAGGTCCTCCATCTGGCGAGCTGCTCCATCCGTTTGCCACCCGCCATCGTCGAGTCGCCGAGCAACGACAGCGCTCGACCATTTGACCTTGGTCCCTGCTGCGCGAAAAGGCACTGGCTGCCCGTCGGATAGTCAGTCAGTCGCGGACACCACTATGCAACTTCTGCTGTGCGCTGCAGTCTGAAGCCGCGCCCCGCAGAGTCGAAGCTCACATTGTGCCCGGCGGATCGCAAGCAAGCTGAGACGCTCGTCTTTCGGCTGCTGCTGTTGCTGTTGCCCAGCTACGAGTGCCGTATTTAGCGCAAATACTTCTCGACTCTTGGAATAAGCGCACCAGGCCTGGATACCTAGACGTCGTCGAGGTCCAGGCAGTGTTGGCTCGCATCTCGATCAGCCAGCCGGCCGTTGCGTGACTACTCTCTACCTGCGCCTCCTCGCTCATCATTATTGATAATCTATCCCTCCATTTCTATCTCTCTTTTCCTCTTGAGTCCGTCTTTACTGCGTTGCGAAATATCAGCATTACCACAATGGGTAACAACAACACAAGAGAATCGCGCCCCGACCATGCCGAGGGCCCCAACGATGGCCGGGACCGGCGATTCGACTCGCACATTGCCCGCGGCATCTTGGCAGATCCGCGTTTTCAAATGGGCAGGACGGAGCGCAGCAGCTTTCTCGGTATGAGCGGTTCCGCCTCTCGAAGCAGGGAAAATCCAGACGCTCCGTTTGAGCATCGCGAGACCAAGCAGGAACGCGAAGCTCGGAGGCTGGAGCGCGAGCGAGCCCAGCGAGCCCAGGACCGCGAGCGAAGCATACGGGAAGAGCACGTTGATGGAGGCTACCTCGTCACCATGGGCGTCTACGTTGGGACTGAGGATTTCAACAAGGCGGTTGTTCGACAGCTGCAGGTGCGTCACTTTATGTTAATTGATCTGCTACCTCCAAAGGAGCCATGTTAACTTTCAGCTAGATTGAGCGAAAGCTGGCCCCCTTTTGGCGTGGCCTCCAAGACTGGTCCCCCAACTGGGCCGAGCATCAGCTTATCGCGGCCGCCCGCGGCCTGCCCATCCCGGCGGCCGATGCTCCTCCGGATCCCGCTCTGCTACCCCGTCCGCCGCCACCCGACTCTCTTCCTACGCAGAATCTCAACGGCCTGACGGTGGAGATGGGGCCTAGGACTCTCTCAACTGCCTCGGATCGAAGCGGATCAGGAAGTGGCTCTGCCCAGCCTTCACCATCCACGGCTGGGCCTTCCAAGGGCTCCATCAAGCCAAGGGCGAGGGCGTTGGCGGCTGCCCTGAGTGTGGGCTCCCGCAATGCGTCCTCGACCGATTTGACGCCCAGGGAGATTCAACTGCCCCACGATCCATTCGTCAACGGCCAACCTCTCGAGGTGTATCTGTACAAGGATGCTACCGAATGCCCCATCTGTTTTCTGACATATCCCCCTTACCTCAACCACACCAGGTGCTGTGACCAGCCGATATGCAGTGAATGCTTTGTGCAGATCAAGCGAGCCGACCCTCACCTTCCCGAGCACCACCCCGATGGTCAAGCGCGAGATCCGAACCAGGGCCTCACGGCGGAAGACCCCCCGGAAATGCTTATATCGGAGCCTTCGGCATGCCCCTATTGCCAACAACCCGAGTTTGGCGTTACGTATGAGCCACCTCCCTTTCGGCGCGGCTTGGCCTTTGCTTCGTCAAATCTTGCCTCAAATACGGCCATGTCCTCTCAGAGCTCTCTGAACTCTACCTTGGCGCCTGCACCTGCGACAACGGGGCGGAGACGAGCACATAGTTTGTCGGTCAACGCACCCAATGTCATCACCACCGACCGCATCCGGCCGGACTGGGCGACAAAGCTGGCCACAGCACGCGCTCACCAAGCACGGCGTGCCGCCGCAGCCACCGCCCTGCACACGGCGGCCTTTTTGATTGGGGGTAACGAGTCTCGGTCCAGGATACGCACGAGTAGGTTCGGCAGAAGGAATGCCGGGACGAACAGCGGCGGCACCAACACCCCTGGAGGGGGGCACAGCGGCGGGACGCCCGATACGGCGGAGGGTCATGAGTCCCACGAAGCAGGCTCGGGCCGAAACCCGGACGTCGGCCGTCGAACTCGAATGGACGAACTTGAGGATATGATGTTCATGGAAGCGGTACGGCTGTCACTCGCGGCCGAGGAGGAGCGGAAACGCAAGGTGGAGAAGACTCTGCAAAAGGAAGCCAAGAAGCGCGAGAAAGAACGCGAAAAGGCAGAGCGCAAAGCTCTCAAGAAGCAAGGCAAGGATCCCTATGGGGGCGGCGCCAGCGGAGCCAGCGGAAGTAGCCTTTCCCTCCACCTGGGTCGCAAGCGAGGCAATAGCGCAGCCAGCAACCTGCGACTGGAGCTCACGCTGCCAGGGAGCTCCTCGTCGTCACTAAAACCCGCGGAGACTCCAGAGAAAAAGGCAGATGGTAGCAGAGCAGAGGGAAGCAAGGCAGAGAGCAGCGACGACAAGGGCAAAGGAATCGATCGCGGGCCCCAGCCAGGTGCGGCAGAAACGTCGTCGACACCATCACTGCCCATTCCTACCTCGAGCAGCCGAGGAGGCTCTCACCTGCGTCATATGAGCAACGCATCGTCCCTCGGCTCGTCCGGCGCGGACAGTCCATCGGGCAGCCTCAATGGACAGGGGCTCGGCGACTCGGACGCGGCCAACAAGCGACGGAGCATGGGCGGTCGCAGTGACAGCGGCGACGGTGAGACGGAGAGCGAGCCCATGTTCAACTTCCGCAGCCTGGCCGAAATTGTCGGTGTCAACCTGGATGACGGTTCATCAATGCAGCAGGTGGAGTCGGGTGACGGTTCAGTCCGGCCGCTTTCTCGGGTGCCAGAGGATGAAAAGGAGGAAGAAACGAGCGCTGAGCACATAGAAAGGAGTCTCAGGATCGAGACCTCGGGCGTGAGCAACGAGTCGGCGTCCACTACTACTACCGTGAACACGTCTCAGATGGCGCCACCCTTCCTCGACACGCCCGAGCTGACCATTACTCCCGAGACGCCGACTGTGGAAGATGGCGGGGCAGAGGATAAGCGACTCGGAGAATCTCATGTGTTGGCGCACGAAACCACTCAGGCTACGCATTGAAGGGGGCGGCGAGCCGATTTGCAGGGCAGCTTGATGCTGATGATGCCACCGTAGCGGGCTAGCGTGTTGCGGCAGAGGGGCGTTTTATCTTTGTTCTCCTATCTTCTTGTTCTATCATGAAGTAAATGGCCTTTCTGTGTGAATGGATCGGGTTGGTCTCGGGAGCTCGCCGGCAGTTTGTTTTAGGTGCAGCGCAGGTATATAGTGTTCAGCGGACGGATTCAGCGGCTGATGATGTTTAGTATGAATAGAATGGCATCACAAGATGAGGACGAGGACCTCCTCCTCTCTTCACTTTCCCCCAAAAGCTGTTACACTCAGGTTACATTGCCAATTTGTCAAGATGTGCTAGAAGGCATTCGAATCTATATGCATTGTGACGAAATTGGTCTATTCTATTCAAAACGCTTCGATGCCTTTCACCCTAATCCAACCCGCCGCTACCTTAAGAGAATTCAAGCCTTTTTGATCTCGCGCTGAAACTTGTCCGTCCACTCGGTAAACTCATCCCTCCGGCCATCCCACCCCTCGCCGAGCAGCTCGCTGACGGCAAACGCGTCCAGGAAGCACTGGTCCATGGCCTCGTCGATCTCCCTGGGCCGCAGCTCGTAAAAGGCGCAAGCCAGGTCGCCGAAGCGATCGGGCAGTTTCTGCAGCAGGGACGCTAGTTCGTCCAGTCTGCGGGGGACCTTCTCTCCTTCTGCTGCTGCAACGTCCTTGTTGTTGTTGGTGGTGGTGGCGGTGGCGGTGATTTGTTTTGGAGGAGGAGGAAAGGGAGGGAGCTTCTTCATGCGGCGCTTGGTGATGGCTTGGTAGAGGAGGATGACGAGGCGGAGGCGGCGGAGGGAGGATTCGAGGCGCGGGCGGATGCGGTCCGGGTCGGCGGCGGGGATGGTGCGGTGGGAGCTCATGAGGTCGTCGAGGATGTTTTGGGTTGAGATGTGCGTTGAGCCGATCTGGTCCGCGAGATCACTGACGCCATAGTCATCGGCGTCCTCCTCGTCATCATCATCGTCATCCTCGTCGTCGTCGTCAGGCTCCTCGTCGCCCCATTCCTTCATCTCCTCCATGATGTCGCTGAGCGTATCCTTCCACTCGCCCATCTTGTCCACAAAGAAGCCTCCCACGCCCCCGTTCGCAAGACCAACCACCTTGTCGCACGCGGCCCAGAGCACGCCCGTCGACGCAATGCTGCCCTTTCCCCCCGCAGCGCCGCCGCCGCCAAACCCTTCCTTTTCCTTCTTCAGCACCTTTCCATCGGTGGGGATCCTCCGCACGAGGTCCGCCAGCTCCGCCAGCACGCGCTGGCACCGCCACGCGAGCTCGTTGCGGAAGACGAGGGTGTAGCCGTTGGGGTCGCAGGCCTGCACGGAGGCGACGAGGCCCGGGATGGGCCCCGCGACGAGCTCGCGCAGGACGGAGGAGATTGCGCTGGGCGTGAAGGGCTCGTTGATGATGAGCAGGGAGACTTTGGTGGCGTGGGCGCGGATGAGGGTTGCGGAGTCGCGGGCGAGGGCGAGGGCGTCGAGGGGTGCTGTAGAGGAGGAGGGTTCTGCTGTTGTTGATGAGGGGGGCGCGTCTGGGTTGTTGCGGATGGAGGAGAGGACGTCTTGGAGCTGCTTGAGGAGGGCGCAGGCAGTTTGGACGAGGGATTCGAGGCTCTCGAGAGCCGCGGCGTCGGGGGCCATGCTGTGATTGCTGTGGAGGGTGGTGATGGTGAGGCTTGTGGGATGAGGTTATCGCCAACTTTTTTTTCTTTTCTTTTTTTTTTTTGCTACTTGGAGGGGCTTATTAGAGTCGCATCTCTGCAACCCCGCGATGTGGGGAGGCTTCTATCTGATGGCTTATCCCGAAAGCTGATGTAACCGATATTCTGCCGGCCAGCAAGTTTCAAGCTCTGGTCAATGCTCCACCCAGGCTCAGTGGGGGAAGGAACAAGACAGGACAGCTGCCACTTTGTCTACTTGGGGACAGCTTGGGCTCTTGCAAGCCACTTCCAGGGTCTCAAGCCAGCCTTCTCCTCCCGCACTGCTGCTTTTGGGCACTTTGTTTGTTTTTCTACTCGCTTTTTCTTTTTGCAAGTTCCAGTTACGAAGATGCAGCGTCCGGCGTCTTTGGCGCTGCTGGGCGCCGTGTGCTGCTGGACTGTGGCTGCTGCTGGCAGCGTGCCGCGCGGAGTTGGGCCAGAGTGTGAGTGATGCTGTTCAGAAGAGAGGGTCAAGGACCGATCAAGACTGTTGAGTCAATCCAGCTCGGCCAGACTGTTCCTGAGCCTCCTACAGCCCCAATTGATCCTTGATTGGTGTGACATGTCCAATTGCTGACTCGAATGCATCAGTCGTCTCCCACTACCAGAACAAGGACTCCTTCACCTGCATCGCCAACCCCTCCATCACCATCCCCTGGGACCGCGTCAACGACAACACCTGCGACTGCCCCGACGGCTCCGACGAGCCCGGCACCGCGGCCTGCGCCTTCATCGACCCTCTCTCTCCCGAGCAGCCCCTGATTGGCAGCCCCTCCGGGACGACCAATGCCACCCGCTCCCTGCCCGGCTTCTGGTGCCAGAACAAGGGCCACATCGGGGCCTACATCCCCTTCTCCTACGTCAACGACGGCGTGTGCGACTACGACGTCTGCTGCGATGGCACGGACGAGCACAACCATCCTACCGGCATCAAGTGCGAGAACCGCTGTGGGCCGATTGGCAAGGAGTACCGGAGACTGGCGGACGAGCGAAAGAAGAACGTCGCCAAGGCGATTGTCAAGAAGCAGGAGATGATCAAGGAGGCAGCGGAGCTGCTCCAGCAGGCCGAGGCTCGCATCACGGCGCTGGAAAAGGACATTACGAACCTCGGTGCCAAGAGGGAGGAGCTGCAGCGCAGATACGACCAAGTGCTGAGCGAAGAGCAAGGTAAGCTTGTCAAGAGTGAAGGCGGTGCCGGCGGCAAGCTCGGCGTGCTCGTCGGCCTCGCCAAGGAGCGCGTGGAGGAGCTGCGAGAGGCCCTCCGGTTGGTGACGGAGGACCGCGAGGTCCTGCGCAGCAAGAGGGACGAGCTCGAGGCGATCCTCAAGCAGCTCAAGGACGGCCACAATCCGGACCTCAAGGATGAAGGAGTCAAGGCGGCGGTCCAGGCGTACGAGGACTACGCGGCGCGCGAGGCGTCGGCCGACCAGTTGGAGTTCCTCGAGTCGGACATTCGCGAAATCCTCAAGGAGGACGACGAGACCAACGGAGTCAACTGGAAGGCCTTTGACGAGCTGCGTGATGACACTGACATTCGTAAGCACTATCAGCTTATCTCCACTGTCGCTCTGCTGTCGCTTTCTTTTCTGTCTTGCCTATTGTATTACTATGTTTTTGGCTGTCGTGCTGACTTGTGGTTGTTCATTTACAGTGTACAACTTTGATGCTTACATCCCTCCGTTCATCCGCGGCGTGATCCACGACAAGCTTCGAGTGATCCGCAAATGGCTGATGGACAATGGCATGATCGCCGACGAGACCAAGACCGGGGCGGAATCCAGTGCCGTCAGGGCTGCCAGGGAGGCGGTCGAGGCAGTCGATCAGGAGCTCGGCAACAAGGAGAGGGAGCTCCAGCAGGAGAGGACGGATGCCCAGAAGGACTATGGGCCGTCTGGCATCTTCCGGTCCCTCAAGGGCAAGTGCGCCGAGATTGACGCGGGCGAGTACACGTACGAGCTGTGCTGGCTGGACAAGACGCTGCAAAAGTCCAAAAAGGGCCACGCGGCGACCAACATGGGCAACTTTGCGCGAATCGAGATTGCCATGGCGGACGACGACGAGAGGGTCGACGGCAAGAGCCTTGGCAGCGGCCCCCGGATGGTGCTGCGGTACGAGAACGGGCAGACGTGCTGGAACGGGCCTCAGCGCAAGACCAACGTCTGGCTCGGCTGCGCGGAGAAGGAGGAGATTTGGAGGGTGACGGAAGCCGAGAAGTGCGTGTACAAGATGGAGGTGGGAACGCCGGCGGCGTGCGAGGACGAGGAGCCCGCGGCCAAGGACTCGGGCAAGAAGGACGAGCTGTGAAGGGGAGTGCGGGCGTGTCACTACAGGGTTTGGGCCTCGATTGTCGAGCATCGGGGGCCGAGACAGAGTACGACGAGCGAGTAGATGGGGAGCAGTTTGCGATGACACGTCGGTTTGCGGGCGGGAGACTTGCTATTTACGGAGTACGGAATTAGAAAGAGAAAAAGAGACAAACGAAGCACCATGCCATTTCTCCTGTCCGGCCTCGATATGGCTGCCAAGGGTGTGCGTGAGATGGGACGGGACTGTTGTGAGAGGTGACACGGACGATGACCTTGTTCACTCCATGGTAAAGCCAAGGCCCGGGTATGAATGTTATGATAAGAGTATTACAAGTACGATACCGACGGGCGGATTCCCATTACGGTTTTGCGTGTCTTCTTTTCGGGCAATTGGCACGATGCGGATACACAGCCTACCGAGGTAAGGGTGAATGAACCTCGACCTCTCTGAGAAGTGACAGAACCAATGTGAGAGAACAAGCAAAAGCAACCTCGGTTCGAAATCCGAAGAACGGAGGGGGGAAAAAAAGGCCACGAATCCTTGGGAACGCATGAATGTTCAATCAATAAACTGGCCTGCATTCATATAGAAAAAATCAAGCCACCGGTGACGCCCAGGCACAAGCGGACTGGTCCATTTCAAGCTTCCAAGCTGTAAGCGGCGCCAAAAGCTGATGCTGAAGCTCTTGTTCTAATGCTTCAATTCTCCAACGGAATAAAGGAACTTTTTGTTTTGCTTTTCAAGTTCTTTTCTCGGGCTATTCGGTTCCAGGTGTTAGTGCCCGAAATGGCGTCCCCCCCCCCCCTCTTACAAGAATAAGAGATGTAACTGGTTCTACTATATCGGTTCTATTAGCATGTCAAGTTAGTATAGGGAGACAGAAGAATAAGTGGTGAAAAGAGGCTTGACCGCATTGGAAGGCTAAGATGCCGCGTGGTGTCGCGCAGAATCCTGCCTGATCGGGTCACATAGTACTATCAATTTTTTTCCATTTTTTGATTCGTTTGATTTTTTTCGGCTCCGTGTTTGGGTCGGTGATTAGATGTGTAGGCTCCGGTCTTTGCATTTCCTTTCTTTTTATCGGATATTTTTCTTTTCTTTTTTGGAGATCTGATTTATTATAGCTGGCTTTTCTTGATTGAACTGCCTTTGCCTTGATGTTTGTTTTCAATATGTACTCTGTTGGTACGAGTGTAATGGAGTAAAAGCATCGTGTATGGGGTATGTATCATGGCACTTTTGCATGAATCTGCATGGATTCTGGTTGCTCCAAGATGGAGCTTTGGCTGACCGTCTCTTGGTTCACGATGCCAGTACCTAGTAGTATCTAGCAGCAAGAGACTGACAGCATCGTGTGGATTCACTTGGACTGGCAAACATTCGATCCATCCACAGCGGCCCAGGATCCCCCCGAGATGCCCGCCAGAGGGGGACTCGTGCCGCCCCAGTTTGTTCTCAATCCCGCCAACCTCAACTCTGTCTCGTCCCCCATCCGCTCTTTAAACCGTGACACTCTCACACACACCCTCAAGACAGTACAAACCACCGAAACCTGTCACTCATTCGAAACAGCCCGCAGAATCTCACTTACATCTGACATCCACCCTTTTTTTCCCATTCCGTCGGGGCCGGTATCATAAGCCTAGCGCCTTAGTACTTGTATCTGATTTTGATTTGACAACCAAAACTTCCCGCATCCCACATCACACATTCTTTCACACTTCCCTTATTGGGGGCTTGTTCTCTCTTCTTACGCTTTTTCCCGTCTCTCTTCATTTATTTATTTTCCTTGTTATTAACCTTTCCGAGGCTGTGGTCAGACGGGGGAGGGGGTTCTTCTTTTCGCTGATTCAAGTCCTTTTCGTCGGTATTTTGCGACCCAACTTGGGAAGCACAGACTTTTGGCACTTTTCATTACCAACTACCTTACAACACTTTGGTCTTATGTTGGCTTCTGCCATTGTCACAGTCCCTCGCCAACACGGCATATAAGAGAACGAAAACTCTCCACTCCGTCACTCGTCTCTCTCCATCTCATCTCTTATTCCAATTCTTCTTCACAACAAACTTCCTCATACATCATCAACCATGAGCAAACCAGCAGCCCCCCCGGCCCAAACCGCCGGCTCCTCCACATACACCCCCTTCCTCCTCAAGCTCTACGACCTCGTCGTCCTCACCATCTCCAACTCGTACGCCTGGCACTGCTCCACCACCGCCGTCCAGCTGCCCCTGTTCCGGTCCTCGCTCGGCCGCCGGCACCTCGACGTCGGCGTCGGCACCGGCTACTATCCCGCCAACGCCCTCAAGGCCTCCTCCTCCTCCGCCGCCGCCGCCAACGGCAACGGCAACGGCAACAACAAGACGCCCTGCCGTGAGATTGTCCTCCTCGACCTCAACCCCAACACGCTCGACCTCGCCGCCGCCCGCATCGCCGCCGCCACAGCCACCACCAGAAGAAGACCCGGCTCACAGCAGCGCAAGGAGGGAGAGGAGGACGGCGACGACGACCAAGGGGGGGTCAAGATCCGCTCCGTCGTCGCCGACGTCACCGACTCAGCAACGCTGCTCCCGCTGCTGCCCCCCGGCGACGAAAAGTTCGACTCCGTCAGCGTCTTTTACCTCTTGCATTGCCTCGCGGGCCCGCCGGAGAGCAAGAACCGCGTGTTCGACCTGCTCAAGGAGTACGTTGCCGACGGGGGCGTCCTCGTCGGCACCACCATCCTGGGGGAGGAGAGGCCGATGAACTGGCTCGCGAGGAGGCTCATGACGATTTACAATGCAAAGGGCATCTTTGACAACTGGAAGGACTCGAGGGCCGTGTTTGAGGAGGGGCTGAGGAGGAACTTTGAAGAGGTGGATGTGCAGATTATCGGGAGGACGATGGTGTTTACTGCGAGGAGGCCGATCAAGGCTTCTTCGTCATGATGGCTTTGTCGAATCTACAAGGAGGTGTGCTGAAGCAGAATCGTGAAATATGCTAGGTTGGTAATCTGAACCGAGTACATACAACATCCAACATGGGGGGGCGAAGGTTGGGCGTGCATATACAGCTTTGATAAGGGAGGGGGGGAACGGGTGGCGTTTGATTTGGAGAGACTGATACACGGGAAGTTTTTGATACCTTTTCTTTTAGAATGACTCTTCAGTCTTAATCTTTCCTAAGAAACGTATAATAACATCATATACACAAAGCTGAACGTTTCTTGTTATCTAAAGTACACAAATCTGACAGCTTTGACAGCTCGGAGTGTAACCCCCCCTTACTACCAAACACACACACGACGCAACCAATCAGTTGAAATTCATGCCCAACATATCAGCCAGGCATTCCAATACCAGCCTCTTAGAAAACACTCCCTTTTTTTTTCTCTTCCCCTTAGCTCCGTACCCAAAGCTGAAATGCACAGGGGCGGGTCCCCCATGCAGCCCGACTTTTCAGCTCTTGAAACCGCACCTTTTCGTTGCCCGATCATCAACAGAATCTCTTACGATTCTGCGAAACTTCAAGCCTATTCTCTGTTAAAAGGTAGAATAGACCTTGTAAGTGCCGAGGTTGTAAGTACATATCATGAATAAATTAGGACGTGGTTATCAAAAGGCGGAGAAAACACTTCCCATCTGCTTGCTCAAGCAAACGTCGGAACAAGTCTCGACCATATACCCCCCAGCAAAAAAAAGCTAACACATCATTGCGAAACAAATATACCATTCCGCCAATAACCGTCCAGACACGTTGCCAAGTCAAGTACTCTAATACTTTGTATTACCTATAAAAGTATCAATCCGCGCCCCAGAGGCGCCTCTTGTCCAACCCTCCCTTGCAGCCTCCTCTCGTCACGGGGGACCATCAACAATCACAAGCCCGGACCTTTGTATTTTTCTCTCCTACTTTTCTCTAATTCTTCAGAAAGTGACTATAATGAGAATACGTTACTGTAATCCGTGGCAGTGAGCATTACCCGTCTGATGTAAGAACGCCGCTGGAAGACATACCGGTGTCTGGTGATCCTGTGGCCCCTTTCCGTCTATAACCGTGCCAGACAGGAAATTCACCAAAGAGCATATGATCCCAGAAACCAGTGCGAGCAATAAATAGCGCTCTAATATTCTGCTTATCATGGGGGTAATCTGAAGCCTACGTCCCCTCTTACACGTTGTTACCTCTCTCCTGTACTCCCCCATCTTCCCACAGTGAAATCCCTATCTTCTACTTTCCAATCGTCTGACTAGAATTGCATTACCAAAGATCCTTCCCTCACCATCTATTCCCACATTAAAATAAGAAAAAAAGAAGAAAAAAGACCTCCGTATTTTTTCACACTAACAAAGTCCACGGAGGACAATCAGGGGCTCGTCGATTTCTTTTCCCAACAAAAACAGTTTCTCGATACGCACTTGCAACTATCTTTCTTCTTTCCCGTGCCCGTCTCTCTTTTATTATCCCTCACTGTATATTTTGCTATCCTTCCTCAGTCCGCAAGGTGTTAACGGAGAAAAAACGGACAAAGTCCCTCCACTCTTCGTTTGTCCCGTCCTACACCTGTCACTCAAACGAAGACCGAACACACCAGCAATCATCGGATCTCAAAAGCAAAGAAACGGCAAAAAAAGGGGGGATCTGTAGGACTAGGTACAAGTTTTCCCATTGTACGAGAAGAAAAAAGCACGGAGAAAGAAGACAGAGACGCAGGCCAACGATCAAGTTTATAAGCAAAACCCGAGAATAAGCTCATCCAACGCTGGCAAGATCTGACCGGCACATAGGAAACTCAAAACTACACTCTTCCCCGTGCCAATTCAGAAACGAGGTACGTAGTATAAAGCTGCAAAGTCCCTTGATGTGGTTCCGCTTGCTTACCCCCCCGTAAGATGATTCCGTAGGGCTGCTTACCCACACGGCTTATATGACTGTAGATTTCCAATTGATACTCAGTATGGTCATCTTATATAGACTAAAAGCCTCAAACACACTTTTACTTAACTGAATTTGCCGGTTGTGAGATTGCCTTGTATGTTGTAGCATGTGTGTCTCGTCGCTTGTGGGTGACCCCTGACCGCGCTACACAAGACGAGTTCCGCTGGAGACAGAGATTGGAGACGGTGGAGAAAATCTGTCATGTTTGTCCGCCAGAAATCAAGGGGCAATCCACGTCGTCAAGCATCCAGCGAAAGAGCAGATACTACTCCAGTCCCCTTTTCATGCCCACAAGAACCAGTGGCGAATAGAAGCAAGAGTTGCATTCAAAACTCATATCGTAAACACAAAAAGTACCCTGCTCGCTCATGACGATTACAATTAAAACCCCAGGCCGGCGCAAACATACTGCCATAGCCAAAAGCACAGTCCTCCCTTCCAAACTCCCGTCATGCTCAAGCAAGAAGAAGAAGACGAGGCGCAATCGTGTGCCCCTCGCTGATCCCGCTGTCCAATATCCCTTTCTGCTCCGCCCAGTCCTAATGTTGAAGCCCTGCTCAGCCAGCAAGGCCACACGCTGTCACCGACGACAAAGCATAGAATACATGCTCGCTATCCGTTCCGCTCAGTCCCCAAACCCCCCACCGCTGTCGCGGCCTTTGGCCTACCAGAAACTACACCATCCAATGTAGTGTTGACACAGATTCTCCAACTTAGTGGCTTCGATAATGAGCTTGTTCACCTGGTTGATGACATCCAGTTCCTCGTTAGGCTTGAAGTCACGTCCCGTAAGCTTCTGAGACACTCGGTCGAGCACCTCAATCGCTCTAGCGTTTTGGCTCTCTCTCTCCTCCGCGCCGTTGGCCTGCGCGTTTTCCGGAACCGTCGAGCTGTTTGTGCGGGCCCTGTTCCTAGCCATGGGGGGCGCCGACGCTTCGACATTAGCCATAAGTTCAGAAGGAGTCACGTCGGCATCCAAGATGGACTGTCGTCGGGCTCGCATGGCGTGGGGACCGGCCAATGCCACTTCGCGTTCAGACCGGAAGTTGGGGCCAGCTGGGGAGGCAGCATTGGTCAGTCTCCAGGTGAGCAGAGGGTCGTGAATAAACTGTCAAAGATGATTAGCCCTATGCCCTCTTGTCATCATGATCTGACCGGAGCATTGTCACTTACCGCTTCCAACACAGCCATTACGCTCTCCTTGTTATCTCGCAACACCCTCATGACGTGCTCGCATGTGATTCTGAAACTTCCCTCGATGTTGCTAACCTCCATAGCATACGTCAACATGCGAGTCAGCCGGAAAGGCACCCTCTCGGGATACTTTTCACGCTTCGTGGCAACCTCGAAGCAGTCGCCAAAGTCAATGTGGATAATCTTGCCCGTCACACGGTCCAGCATGAGATTCGAAGGGTGGCGATCTCCCAGACCTAGGATGTAGCCCACCATGGACATGACGCCCAAAGAGCGCGTGTAGTTTGTCCGCCGCTCCAGCCAGGCCTCGGACGACTTGGACTTGAGCCACAGAACTCGGTAAAGGTCCTGGCCGGTGGTGTTGTCCAGGGCATACCCAAACACCTCCACCTTTTGCATGAGCGTGAGGTTATCATAGTCAGGCGCCATCTGCAGCATGATCCGGTGCTCAATGTTGAGCAGAATCTTCCGGCTCTCGCGGTACTCCCGGATGAGCACGTGCAACGTGTCACTGTTCGGGACCCAGCCCAGCAAGCCCGAGTTCTGCGACAGGGGAATGGCGGGATAGCGCTGGATGTTGAGGTGCCGCTTGTAGCATTCGGAATCGTTTGCCAGCAGTGTGTTGCAGAGGCCAAACAGCTGCATCACACGCTCGTCCTGCCGGATATCCTCATGGCCCTTGAGCAAGAAGGCGTACGAGACGCCGTCGCTGCCGTTGATGTTGAGCTTTCTCGGCCTCTGCTTCGAGTTGATGACAGTAAAGGTCGAATCGAAGGACATTATCCTCACGATGGGCTGCCCACTCCTGTACGTTCCCGGAACGGCCAAGTCGAGGTCCTTGGCATTCAGCAGCTTAGGAGAGCAGTAGGTAAGCTCGAGGCTTGTAACCTGAGGCAACTGCCTGGTGATTCGGCGAAACACTTGATAATACAGATCCCAGGCTTGGTTCAGGTCATTAACATCTCTGCTCGTCTCATACTGGTGGCACCAGTCTTGTGCTTCCTTCAGGTCACGTCCAAAGGCCTGCGCAAACGATATCTCTCGAAGAGTCTCCGGACCCCTCTCCAACTGTTCGTGCAGCGGCTCCAGCGCCGCAAACATGCCCTCGATGTTGTGGTCGCCAAAGTACAGGCGCGAGGCTTCCTCCAGGCCTTCGTGCCAGAGCTCGTGCCACAGCACCGCCACTCGAATCAGCTCATGACTGACCGTATCTGCCTGGGCGACGAGGTTGGCGCTGTGCTGGCGCATGCTGTCCATGATTTGCGCTGCCGACCTCGACCGTCGACTGTTCTGCCACGACTTCATGGCAACGGTGAGCGGATAGACCAACGCCTGTGGGTGCGCCCGGCCCACGTCGGCCAGGAGGTTGTGCACCGACTGCTGCACGCGCTTGTTTGGCTGATTGATTCTAGCAATGAGTTGAGGTATCACCTCCAGCCAAGTATCGATGCTGACGTTGGCGAAGCCCTCTGTCACGGCCGTGTTCACATCCGAGTTGCCTCCGTGTGTGAACCACAACGTCAACAGACGCAGCGTGTCTTGGAGCGAGCTGCCAGCGGATAGCGCAATGGACTTGAAGAAGCCCTGGATAGCCGGCACGACGTGTTCAATGATCATCGACTGGTCGGCCCGTGTCAGCTGTCCTTCGCCCCTGGCGGCCAAGGTCTGAACAATTTCAAAGTTGGCAAGTGCCCAGGCGTGCCAGGCCTTGTACCAGCGCGGGTTGTACTTGGTGGCTTGCGAGTACGAGGATAGAATGTCCTGGATCTTGGTGTATTGCCAATCGTCCTTGTTGAGCGCAATCTGCCACTCACCC